AAATCTTAACGCATTGTCATCTTCCTCCTGCCTCCTCCTCCTTTCCATTTGTGTAGATACGTGAATTAGCAAGGATGCCAAGTGCTGTGGTTAATTCTGGCTGAGGACTATGACTGGCTACGGGGTTCGAGCGTTGCGGCTAGGACAGACCAGGGCTGGCCGAGCGCTGTGTAGTGTGTGTGTGTAGGACTAATACTTGAGGCAGAGCGTTGTTTTCTGGACAGGGGGCCGAGCTCTGATCAGTCAAAAGGTCTTTCACCATAGTTTCAGTTGAAGTAAATATTTCCATTTACTGTTATAGCGCCGATATAAGGATTCATAACTCTGATTGGATAATGAGATAGATAGAAAGATAGATGTTACCGCCATACTATTTCTATTGGTTCAGAATAGACAGCAAACACATGACTGAACCCTGATTGGATCAGGCGCTAATGGACTCTGCATACAAGAGTGATAATGGTTTATGTATTATGGCCTTTAAATACATCGCTCCAGTGATCCATTTACTAACAAATAATATTTCAGAGGGTTAAATAAAATGTTAATTGTCTGCACTGGATGACACCTTGTATCTATGGAGTAGAATATTAAGGTAAATTCTTTAATAATCAGCGAGGGTGGACGCACAATTTTAGAATCAGCGAAGGTGGACGCACACTTTAAAAATAAGCGAGGTTGAACACCACTTTTATAATCCGCGAGGGTGGACGCACACTTTTATAATCCACGAGGGTGGACGCACACTTTTATAATCCGCGAGGGTGGACGCACACTTTTATAATCCGCGAGGGTGGACGCACACTTTTATAATCCGCGAGGGTGGACGCATACTTTTTAATCCACGAGGGTGGACGCACAATTTTATAATCCGCAAGGGTGGACGCACACTTTTATAACCCGCGAGGGTGGACTCACAAATAAAAAACACTTTCAAGAAGACATTTTTGAGGTCGCAGAATAAGAAAGCAAAAATCATAAATCGTTGTTTAATATAAAAGAATTAACAGATTTATTTAAAGATGGGGAGGGGGTTGAAAGGGGACGAAAGAGATAAAAAGAGGGGTGGTGGNCATATTTACATCATCATGTTTTATTTAAAAACATGTGTCAAATTCTTAGTAGTTTTCTCAAATAAAGATACAGTGTATTCTGCATCATAGGCTTAAATCCTGTTTTTTTTTTAAATAAATTTGATCTAAGATAATTAATCTTTATCAAGATTATCTATCGGAAATTTAACTTTTAAATCAAAATCTGAGAGACTAGTATTATGATACAGTGAATCCCAGATATATGAACACAATGCAAGAGTTTTTTATAATGTTGTATTACATATTTAAGATCAAATGCCGCGGAAAAATGAGTTTAATATTTATTAATATATCGATTACATTCATATTTCAAGGAGATTAATTTGCCTTGAATTAAAGATAAAAAGAAATTTCTTTAGAGTTATCAAAAAACTTATGACGATCTGTGTATTCATATATATGGGATTCACTGTATAATGTTTGAAAAATAAAGTTTTAATGATAATAACAAATGCTAAAGTATTTCAGCATGGTGTTTTAATTTATAAACAGTTTTATCTATTCATACTTGTTCTGTCTATTTTAATTTTGTCTTTTTAATTTTCAAAACTTTTTGGTCGGTTCTTTTTTTAGGTTTTTTTAACGATAAAATACTGTAGACGTAATTTCAAGTAACTGTCCATTAATATACTGGCATGTATGATTATCTAAACGAGAGGTTACAGTAACTCAAAATTAAGAATTTAAAAAAATCGTTTATTTGGCAGCAAATGTTGGATGGCTGCCAATTAAGTGACAAAAAAATTGCGTAAATTCAACAAAAAGTCGCTTCATTGGTAGCATAAGTTCGATGATTGCCAAATAAGCGATTTTTTTCGGACTTTTAACTGTCTTGTCTGTTTTGTTTCTTCTGATTATTGATTATTGTACATTTTATAATCTTAATTTGTCTGTTAGTATTTTGTCTGATAATCATTGAATTGTATATTTTTATTTTGTTCTGTCTTTTTATATTTTGTCTGTTACTTTGCTTTATATCCTGTCTATTCGTATTTTGTCTGGTTTTCAACTGTATGTGTCTTGTCTTTTCATATTTTGTCTATTTATTTACTGTTCAATGCCTTGAATGTCTGCAAATAGCTAGTCTATGTATAAACATATTCTGTCCGTCTGTTTATATTTTGTCTATGAATTGAGGATATAGTTAGAGCAGTGTGAATCCGGGAGTATTAGAGTTGGGTTCAGTTAGACTCAAACCCTCCATATGATCGGCTAACATCTTTTCAGAGAACATCAACCCGACTTAAACGGCATCTTTTATAGGGTTGCGGGGGGGGGCTTGCAAAGAAAACAATGCAACGAAAGCTTTTCGTCAATATTTTTTCAATTTACAAATCCATTTGTTTGCCAAAAAGTCTAAACTTATAGAAAATCCCACGTTAAATAATTTATCAAAATGTTAAAACATAAGTTTCACTTACATTAGTTTAGCGCAAGCGAAAGATGTCTGTTTGAGAATATAAATTACAGATATATGCTTGGTAAAACAAGGGGTTGCTACACATGGCATGAAAGTGCACCAGGGGCGGTGAAAAATTGCACATTGTGCAGTGAAGGAAGTTTGCAGAGATTTTGAACAGGTAAAGAGAATAAACATGAGGGGAAAGTTTAAAGGGGGGGGCGTTGAGGCGAAAAATGGCTCATTGATAACTGGATATATGGTTTAAAAAAAGGCAAAACTTAGGAAGCAAAATTAGTAAAATTCCAAAACTCAAATTATATGCTTTCGAAGCTTAACAATATTAAAGCATTTTGGGTGGTAAAAACTATTAAAAAATCTTAAAAAAGATAGGAAAATATGATTTGGAAAAAAAATTGTGATTAATTGTGACTGGATCGGAAAATGGTTCCGGTTTTGGATCCAGATCCAAAACCAATTTAATACCATGTGAAAACCAGGACTAGTATAAAAATTAAATTATGGATAAATGCTTTTTACTTAAAAATCCCTAAAAAAATTAGAGGGCTGAGGGAACAAAAGGGGACGGGGCGGGGGTACCATTTTTAAATAACTGGAAAATATAGTAAGAAAAGTATTTATCTCTGAAAACTATTTAAATATTAAAACTTTAAATTGAATTTTAGAATAATTTTAATAAAGAAAAAACACGGATCTGCAAAATAAGTTTTTTGGATTAGCGGGATTCAATGAAAATTGTTGTATAACAAAAATCAGCTTTTTTAAAATAACCAAAGTATCTAAAAATAACTTATTAGTTGAATGTTGCAACTTTCTGAATTTGTATGGACGCGACGTTCTTTAGCATGAGTCGTTTTTAACACTTTTTTCCTTATAGACGTAACAGATAGAAGTAAGAAATCAGTACTTAATAGCGATCAAAAGTGCTTATTTTTCGCCGTAAGCCTATACCCACTTTCATTTTCCGCGAACACTTGCTTTAATTTGACAAAGATAAAAATGGAATCTATAATTCATGGATATTCAATTTATAAAGGGAGGGTCATTTGAAACTACCTCTGCAGTCCCTTTAAAGAGTGCCATCAAATATTCACAATCACAACAAATTTCCAATGAAAATAAAGATATCATCATTGGAAAATGATTATTTAAGTTCAAGTCAATCTTTATTTGAATATACACACACAGGGAAAACACAAAGTATGTACTTCAGAGACGGCTCTACATAACTTATTTTATCGCCTTTTGACCATTATTACCAACATATTATCTTATTAGTCACTTAACGTCTCTTCGGACAAAATATGGAAGAAGGCATTTTAACATTTTTTATCAAATGTCATGTTTCATGGGACACCCTGTAGTACAAACATGTTGCATATATAAACGATATTAAAACAACTTAAAAGAAATGAAGCTGACGCTAAAGCACTGGATTTTTACACTTTAGACAATGCATGAATTGTGGTGTGACAAATTAGTAGACTTGTTTTAGTAAGATGTTAGCCAACGCATTTCATCTCAAAACATATTGAAGTGTTGATAACTGTAACATGTAATTTAAATTTGTCCGATTTTTGGTCTAACATTAGAAAACGAAAACGAAATTCAATGTAAGCGGTTAACGACATACAATAGATGCAGTATATTGCTGTTCTACTGTTCTTCGGTCCTACTATTCTGCTGTTCTACTGTTCTACTGTTCTACTGCTCTAATATTCTACTGTTCTACTGTTCTACTGTTCTACTGTTCTACTGTTCTACTGTTCTACTGTTCTACTGTTCTACTGTTCTACTGTTCTATTGTTCTACTATTATACTGTTCTACTGTTCTACTGTTCTACTGTTAGTTCTACTGTTCTACTGTTCTACTACTGTTCTACTGTTCTACTGTTCTGCTGTTCTACTGTTATACTGTTCTACTGTTCTACTGTTCTACTGTTCTACTGTTCTACTGTTCTACTGTTCTACTGTTTTACTGTTCTACTGTTCTACTGTTCTACTGTTCTTTGGTTCTCTGTTCTACTGTTCTACTGTTCTACTGTTCTACTGTTCTACTGTTCTACTGTTCTACTGTTCTACTGTTCTACTGTTCTACTGTTCTACTGTTCTGCTGTTCTACTGTCCTACTGTTCTGCTGTTCTACTGTTTTACTGTTCTACTGTTCTACTGTTCTGCTGTTCTACTGTTTTACTGTTCTACTGTTCTACTGTTCTACTGTTCTTTGGTTCTACTGTCCTACTGTTCTAATGTTCTACTGTGCTACTATTGTTTAAGAGAATAAATAGATTTAGTAATATTGTGCAAAAGAGCGGTTTAACAGTTTGCTGCTTATTCAATTTCTAATATTTAGGCCAATTGACTTGTTACTGACGCAGCCCCTGCACCTCCCCTCCCCCCTTCCCTCCCCTCATACTACATCATATACATCTATATGTATCTACTTTTCTTCTTTCTTTCTTTTCTTTCTTTCTTTCGTTCTTTCTATTTTTCTTTCGTTCTTTCTTTCTTTCTTTCGTTCTCTCTTTCTTGATTCAACTTTAATCGCTTTCTCATTCTCCCGTCCCTAAAGTTTACCTCTCATAATTACAGATTTCATCTAATTCTTTTTTTATAGTGTGTTCAAAATATCCACAGTTATGTTTTCAATTTAATAACATTTAAAGTGTCCTATTTTTTTGTCTTCTGATTTTCTAATCTCTATATATTTGCACTTCAATGTTGTAAACCATAGAAATTTCAAACAGTGAATTCTGTTGGATCAATTTATCTAATTTTGAAATATCAAAGGTTTACACCAGTAGGTTGCAAAGATATCAGGATTATAAAGTTTGAGATTGTGTCTAAGACGCCATTCCTTTGATTTTTTCCAGAATACCCTGTTTTGAATTTGTGTTTGAGCAGTAGTAAACAAATTGAAGATAGAAGGAATTTCCAAATAGATAATAAGTAAAACAGGTAGCAACAGAGAAATTTTGACCAATTGTACACGACGTCACAAGTGTCAAATAAACAAGGAAAATGAAATTTTCTCACATTAGTTAATATGTTTTCCAAGATTAAATAATGAATAATTAATAACAAATAAATAATAAAGAACACATTAAATTGCACTTATTTTACTGTAAGATAAGCACTTTATTATAAAAATATCACTTTTTTTGATAATTTTGTAGGACACATAAACTAAGCTGACACTTGTGACGTAAGAATACAGCTGTACTGAGAGAGTGTACAAATCCTACAATGCCATCTATTGTACTAGAATCTATTTAGGAATTTCACGTGATTGAACTTTATAGAAAAGGTTTAAACAAGCTTGAAATATTGCAAGAAGCATTCATCAATATCACACACTGGCTGAGCTATAATATGAGAATATATATACTATATATATATATATATATATATATATATATATATATATATATAATATAAGAATATATATACTTGTCTTTTCCTATGAAAATTTCAGCACATATCCAAGGATTTTTAAAAAGAAGTGTTTATTGTTGAACGACCGGATTAACTTTATTTCTATAGTGATGTTCTCAATAATATTAATTATATGAATTAATTGATAACTTCAAAGTCGTCTTTGACCCTTAGAAATAGTTTGCGGATTTAAGACTCGGCTTAAATTCATTAAATTTGGCCACTGTTTTAGCAATATATTTTTGTAAAACAAAAACCACATAATAGCCGTTCTGCCATTTCCAAAATGTTGTCTGCCGTTTTTGTGCTTTCATGATTACAGGAGATGTGAATGACTTTGTTCAGAATGAGATATTACCATGGTTGTATTTAACAAATTGAAATTTAAACCAAGTTCTTAATATCTCTGGTATTCTTGAGAGCAAACAAATGGCAAACCACATTTTGGAAATCGCAGGATTAGGGATAATTTTATGATTATCGTTTCATAAAAAACATATTACTAAAATCAAGTTACTTATGTTGAATGTCGCTAGCTTTTTTAACGTGAGTGTTAAAGACGACTTTTAAGCTATACAATCGATTCATTTTATTCCGGCTTATCTAGAACATCATCGTATTTGATTGTTCTGTAACGATTAGTTTAATTCATTTCAACGATTCTTGAGATTTCCACAATGTGGTCTGCCCTTGGTAAATCTTAAAACTTCAAAAACAAATAATAATAAAATAAACAAACTAAGATCTTAATAAATAATCCCAGATTTTAACATATAAGTGCAAATAAAACTTTTCATTTCAAAAAGTAAGATTTAAAAGGGAAAAAATAATTTTTTTTGTTGGAAGATTTTTAAAGTACAATTTCGACATAATAGCTGCTTCCTGTTGTTTATATTCCTTGAATCACATTAAAATATCTGAGAGGGGAGCTATGAATTTACGGGGGTGTTATGGATAAGGATAAGGAATAAGGGGGATGACAGGGAAAAGGGTATGGAGATACATGAGATTTATAATGACGATCATTTTAAAGGGACTGTGAGCATAACTTTAAGTAACCCTCAATGGAAAGATGGTTAGGCCTGATTCACCACGATACTCTGAAAAGCTTTGTCTGGTCAAGTCTGAATTATATATAAATGTTTTTAAAATTCAGGAAATGCCTTTTCTCAAAACTGGTTTCCTACAAAATGACTTGCCTTTTTCTACTTCAGGAAAACATATAGGAACTTTCTGAATTTAACACATTTAAACCTTAAAAAATCGACAATATTTTCCACATCATTATTCAGATAAAGGTTTCAAGTGTATCGTCTAGAATCAGGCATTGCATGACATGAAGTGTAATTTTAAATTATGCGTTTAGTCCCTTTAAGATTAAAAATATAAAATATTTTTATAACTTTTATTTTGAATGATTGTTGAAAAAATGAAATGAGATAAATAAACACTTAAAATATATTGTTTAGACACAGAAACCTACGGTGTAAGAATCCTTATTAAGGAAATTAATTAGTTGAATGAGAAAAATTTAAACATTTCAACAAATTTCGAAATTTCAAATATGTATGCATTGCAATATTTGACCCCTACTGTGCTACATAAACTTGAGATTCATATGATTGACAAGTATGCATATATATATATCCTTAGTGTACACTGTAAATATCTCTACATATGCGTTATATACTTAACTCTTGGTGTTGCCCAAAGAATCTCAAAAATAGGCGCGGCAGGAAACATGTAATAAACCTGCAGTACGTTGTACATTATTAACAAATACAGCAATACCCATATTTATTAACCTAAACATATCTAGATATATTAAACATGAGCTGTGTAATAGGATTAAAACATGAATTGTGATTAGCTTAACCACTCTTATATATATCCATGTTAATCCTTTAAATATGTGCATTCAACATAAACTACGGGGTAAACATGTGTAGAGATAGCTTAACTACATTATATCTATCCTTGCTAATCTTATCAATATGTACATTGTAAACACGTAATATAACGACGTAATAAATGTAATTAAGTCTATTAACTTTAACTTGCAACATATAAACCTCAATTACATTAGTTAGAATCAGAACTTTGATTACATTGTAGAGTAATTGGGCCCCTGTTAAAATATTCGGGTTGAGATCATACCTCAGTATAGTTCAAATTTATTAAAGGCTTCTTCGATAGCCAATGCTTGTATCCCTGTGTGGCTTTTAGAGCCTAAGTAATAGCTTGCTTGATAGCTTTGCTTGAGTCCCTTTGTGGCATTTAGAGCCTGAGCAATAGCTTGTTAGATTGCTATGCTTGTGTCCCTATGGGGCATTTAGAGCCTGAGTAATAGCTTGCTTGATAACTACGATTGTGTCCCTGTGTGGCATTAAGAGCCTGAGTAATACCTTGAGTGATAGCTACTGAGATTGCGCCCAGTAGTAGTGGCGTTGATAGTTCACGGGATTGTCACCTGGTGGATTGTCTCCTTGTTGACTTTGATAGCAGACGGGTTGTACCTGGAATGATACAGTTTGGGACGATGTTTTAAGAGTACGACATTTTCTACATTTATAATATGCCCTTTTCTTTTATATATTTTCAATCAACCCAATTGCTTCCTATATTTATACTCCCGTGATATTTCTGCTCCCAGATATTTGTTTTCCCCCTTCTTTCCCCCCACTCATCTCAATCAAATTCCCCTCCCCACTCCCCCCCCACATCAGAGTAATGTAACGCTCTTACAACTAATATATATGTATATCCTAAAACAAAATGAAAAGAGGTCTTATTTTCTTATGTTCATCCACTTTTATTTTCATTTATCTAATGTTACTCTTCTATGTTTTTCTTTCTCTCAGCTCGCCTTTTAACGTTCTCTCTTCTGCCTTTCTCTCCTTTCTCTATTTTCCTTCTCTACTCAATTTTTCTCCTTTCTTTTCTCTTTACCCTCAGTACTCTTATTTTCTCTCCTTTCTTTTCTCTTTAACTTCTCTACTCTACTTTTCTCTCCTTTCTTTTCTCTTTACCTTCTCTACTCTACTTTTCTCTCCTTTATTTTCTCTTTACCCTCTGTACTCTACTTTTCTCTTCTTTCTTTTCTCTTTACCCTCTGTATTCTACTTTTCTCTCCTTTCCTTTCTCTTTACTCTCTGTAGTCTACTTTTCTCCTTTCTTTTCTCTTTACACTCTGTACTCTACTTTTCACTCCTTTCTTTTCTCTTTACACTCTGTACTCAACTTTACTCTCCTTTCTTTTCTCTTTACTCTCTGTACTCTACTTTTCTCTTTACCCTCTGTACTCTACTTTTTTCTCCTTTCTTTTCTCTTTACCTTCTCTACTCTACTTTTCTCTCCTTTCCTTTCTCTTTACTCTCTGTAGTCTACTTTTCTCCTTTCTTTTCTCTTTACACTCTGTACTCTACTTTTCTTTCCTTTCTTTTCTCTTTACACACTGTACTCTACTTTACTCTCCTTTCTTTTCTCTTTACCCTCTGTACTCTACCTTTCTCTTTACCCTCTGTACTCTACTTTTCTCTCCTTTCTTTTCTCGTTACCCTTTGTACTCTATTTTTCTCTCCTTTCTTTTCTCTTTACCCTCAGTACTCTATTTTTCTCTTTACTCTCTGTACTCTACTTTTCTCTCCTTTCTTTTCATCATACCTTCTCTACTTAACTATGGTCTCCTTTCTTTCTATTAACCTTCTCTTTATTTTTTCTCATAGAGAGAGTCAATAGTAAAATAAGAAGTACCACACTCAACAAGACAGGGAGATGTAAAATTCATGCGATCTAAAATATATCTGGTCCGACTTTGGACCTCGAATGTTACTTTAAGTATGAGAAAAACAAGAATGTATTGATTGGTGTCATGGTAGAATTTAAAAAAATTGTTCTTCTCATTAGTTCTTGACAAAAAGAGGAGTTATGATTGAAATTATGTCTTATTTCAATCGAACGCGAAATTTACTCTAATTTGATCTAAATTAGATCGATCATTTCTACTTTTTCTTGGATGAAATTAACAGAAACATCAAAAATACATGATTAAAACTAATTTTTCTGTTTGAAACAATTCTTCTTTTTACGGTGTAGAGACATTAAAGGCCAAGAGAGGTTATAGGAAAACTATAATGATTTTTTTTTGACGACCCCCCGCAACCCCCCCCCCCCCATTCGGTCACACTAACAGTACATGAAGACTCTAATATAGGAAGCGTTTTTGTTAGATTAATAAATTTCACTCATTCATGAGTTCAAACTCTTTATGGTGCTATAGGGTGTTTCTGTAAACACAACACGTTCTCACAATCAGGAGATGATTTATTTGGTGTACTGTCCCGTAATAGCCGCCTGTATGTGTACTGTACAGCTTGGTCTAGCTTCTTTAAAGTTAGTCTAGTACGCACTCACAAGAAGGAGATGATTTATTTGGTGTACTGTTTTCCAAAATTAAATATTTACAGTGCTCGATTGGCAACCAAGTTTTCCCTATTCAAGCCAACCTACTAAACTTAGAACTCTTAAACCAAACTAAAAACTTACCCGCGCGGTTTATTGAGTTCCCCAATCAAAATTTGAGGTAAATTGGTTCCGAGGTTTATGAGTAACGATCTGACAAGGAAACAAACAACCAAACAGAGACTATACATACAATACTTATGTGGCAGAAATATCTATCTAGTTCTTTGAATGTTAGAGATATTTATCTATCGGAGAAATAACGTTTTTTTTGTATAGAACTTAGAAACGTCATCATATATGATCCTAGATAAATTAGAATAAATATCTCATGTCGTCTTCCCCATACCGGAGGGTTTGAAATTGAAAATGGCAATTTAGCTATGTTTCTAGCTATTTAAATACAGCACATTGGATATAAAGGTTTTCGGCAAGTATCTATTTATAAATTTGGCTTGTCTGTCTGTCTGTCTGTCTGTTTGTTTGTTTGTATCCAATAAACGTCAAAACGGCTGAACCGATCGGGCCCAAATTTTTTTTGGGACATCTAGGGACCCCAGGGAAGGTTTATGAAAAATCAAAATTTCAAATATTTGTATCTATCAAAATTCGATCGTCATTAAATTTTTAAAAATTTTGAAAATCCGCGAAATTTTTTGTGAAAATCCGCGAATTATTTTTGTTTTGTTTTACGATGTACACAAAGAGAACATGTTCACAACTAATTTAGAAGATGGGCGCGAAGCGCCCTCTAAGGCTAGAAAGAAGGGCGCGAAGCGCCTTGAATTTCTAGTATTTGTATATTTAAATAAATTAGTAAAAAAAAATACTCTACAGATTGACCCCAAAAAGTAAAACGTATTCAATGACCTCTTCAAATGACGAGTTCATGATGTACAAGGGGTTGCACAATTTTCAGCTTTGCAGTCTGCATGAGCTATCTATTCTATTTATCTAGGTATATGATACATGACACGCACAAGTATCAAAATAAATTAGCAATCCCTTTAAAAATATTATTTTAAAAAATCCTATTTTCCTTGAATCCTTATTTGTCAGCATATATCTGTAGAAACCTTACATCTTCAAAAATCTAACAAAAAATATTTGGAAAAATATTAGTAGAAATATTTTGTATTTATCATAAATAATCCATATTTTTTCCTAGCAGTGTACTATGGGGGGGGGGAAGAGAAAATGTGCTTTTAAAAAAATCTAAATAAAATCCAAAAATTGTGAAAACAGTTTTAGTGGAGTTTATCCAAATTTGTGTGCAGCAAACATATTGATTTTTGAGTATTTTTGAGATAATAAAATGCTACACCCCCCCCCCACATACAGACACATTACATCCCTCTAGCTCCTCCCCCCCTCCCATCCGAGAATTGATATTAACTGATGAGGAGAAGTTACAGCTCCTAAACTTCCGAATCAGCAAACTTTCAAATTCTGAAAAATATTCGCCAAGTTTTTATTAAATTATTTGTCAATTACATATCTACAAGTTTCCCAATAAATGTCAATTTCCTTTTTCTTGTATTGTGTATTGTACAACTGACAAGTGCATATATGTGATTGGAGGGGGGGGGGGGCAATGCCCAGCCTAAATCTGGACTTATAAATTAGAAATATTCAGAATAGGTTATTGTATATATACTATTATATACGCGGTATTTGTAACATCAGAGAAATATTTCTTATAAAAAGGAGTGCAGTCAAAAAGTTATAGTTTCATGGTTATACAAAAAGGTTGATACTTCAATGACGAAGAGTTTCTGTCAGCTCTCTTCTGTCCAGAATTTCTGTCAGCTCTCTTCTGTCTAGAGTTTCTGTCAGCTCGCTTCTGTCTAGAGTTTCTGTCAGCTCTCTTCTGTCTAGAGTTTCTGTCAGCTCGCTTCTGTCTAGAGTTTCTGTCAGCTCGCTTCTGTCAAGAGTTTCTGTCAGCTCACTTCTGTCTAGAGTTTCTGTCAGCTCTCTTCTGTTTAGAGTTTCTGTCAGCTCACTTCTTTCTAGAGTTTCTGTCAGCTCTCTTCTGTTTAGAGTTTCTGTCAGCTCGTTTCTGTCTAGTGTTTCTGTCAGCTCTCTTCTGTCTAGAGTTTCTGTCCGCTCTCTTCTGTCTAGAGTTTCTGTCAGTTCGCATCTGTCTAGAGTTTCTGTCAGCTCTCTTCTGTCTAGAGTTTCTGCCAGCTCTCTTCTGTCTAGAGTTTCTGTCAGCGCTCTTCTGTCTAGAGTTTCTGTCAGGTCTCTTCTGTCTAGAGTTTCTGTCAGCTCTGTTCTGTCTAGAGTTTCTGTCAGTTCGCATCTGTCCAGAGTTTCTGTCAGCTCTCTTCTGTCTAGAGTTTCTGCCAGCGCTCTTCTGTCTAGAGTTTCTGTCAGCTCTCTTCTGTCTAGAGTTTCTGTCAGTTCACTTCTGTCTAGAGTTTCTGTCAGCTCTCTTCTGTCTAGAGTTTCTGTCAGCTCAATGAATACAGATATAATCCTATAATCAATATATGAATACAGATATAATCCTATAATCAATATATGAATACAGAATGGTCCTATAATCAATATATGAATACAGAATGGTCCTATAATCAATAGATTAAAGAAAAAGTGTCAAAGTCAACCATTAAAGGAAAAACTATTCGTTCAGAAATAGAAACCAATTTTGTTTTAAAAATTTTAGTCTTTTAATTCAATTTGAGATTTAAACAATAAAAGGAATTGAGTTTTTGCCACAAACTTAAATTGTCTCTATTTTTATTTTCTAGATTGTGAAACCGGTTTTAGCCTGATGTTGAGTCGGGAGAAGGTGGTGGGCTGTCTGCGGGCGAGTGGGTTGACCCTTGCAACCCTCTTCGGGGTCATTGGAGGCGTAGTGTTCGGTCTAGCACTCAGGACAAGGGAAGCAGTATGGACGGACAGGTAGGGCCTGTAGGCGTTTATCATCTAGTGGCCTTCCATTAATAACCTGGGATGTTAATCGTTTTTGAAAACAATCGTTAAACAATCGTTTTTTGTTTCGTTTTCAATCGTTTTCAAAAACGAAAGTTTCGTTTTTGGAAAAATACGAACGCTTTTAAAAACGATCGTTTTTGATTTTTCGTCGTCATTTTCACAACGAAACGATCGTTTTTCATAAAAATGAAAACTTCAACATCCCTAGGCATGCCTGATTCACTAAGGTACCCTTGTTACGTTTGTCTGATAATTGAAAGTGGAAAAATCCTTGTTTTCTACATGTGTGTGCAAAGTACGTATACCAGGGAAATCGAAGTATTCACTATGTTCACTGTAAACTTAAGATTTGTAATTATTTTTGAAAATAAAATTGATTTCACAGTAAAAGATATATTAGTTCAACATTTAAAAAAAAAAAAAAAAAACTGCTAAAAGTCATACAGTATGTGGAAAAAGACATTCAAAACTATTCACCAACTGTCATGTTTCGTGGGACACCCTGTATCTTTTAATGAAACGCGTGGCGAATTCTTTCGCTTTAATTTACACTAAAATATTCTCTGAATTCCTGGAGTTTAAAGGGAGTGTCTGGCTAACTCATTAGTTTACTGTAGAATTTTTGTTTCATTTTTTGTTGTCGTTATCTGACCAAAGTGGACAATCTATTAGGATTTTAAAGATTGAATTTGCGCTTTTGTTGAACAAATATGCACCGTAAAAACGTCTGATATGTATCAAATGAATCCAAACAAAATTCTCTATAAAACTGGATTCTCAGCTCAACTACCATGTCTAGCCAGACACTCCCCTTAAGGAGAAATATTTCATTTAAATCCTTGAGCGTTTTTTTTTCATCTCATCAAATGTACTTTGCAATCCTGAGTGTAGAGTGTAGAGTGTAGAGTGTAGAGTATAGAGTGTAGAGTGTAGAGTTTCGATTTTCGATTTTCGAGTTTCGAGTTACGAGTTTCAAGTTTCGATTTTCGATTTTCGAGTTTCGAGTTACGAGTTTCAAGTTTCGAGTTTCGAGTTTCGAGTTTCGAATGTAGAGTGCAGAGTGTAGAGTGTAGAGTGTAGAGTGAAGAGTGTAGAGTGCAGAGTGTAGAGTGTAGAGTATAGAGTGTAGAGTGTAGAGTGTAGAGTGTAGAGTGTACAGTGTACAGTGTACATTGTACAGTGTAGAGTATAGAGTGTAGAGTGTAGAGTGTAGAGTGTAGAGTGTACAGTGTACAGTGTACAGTGTACAGTGTACAGTGTAGAGTGTAGAGTGTAGAGTGTAGAGTGTAGAGTGTAGAGTGTAGAGTGTAGAGTGTAGAGTGTACAGTGTACAGTGTACAGTGTACAGTGTACAGTGTACAGTGTACAGTGTACAGTGTAGAATGTAGAGTGTAGAGTGTAGAGTGTAGAGTGTAGAGTGTAGAGTGTACATTGTACATTCTTGATTTTGATCGAAATTCCCCCTCTGATTCCCCTTTACAGTAATAAATCTAAGAGACACAGATTTGATTGGGTTAAGGGGGCTTTTTAGAAAAAATAACTTTAAAGTATTCACACTTAGCCTAGCTTACCAGGCTTTAGGTTTGTAAAAGTGTACGGAACATAATGTCTTTTGAATCTTAACATAAAATATCTGATGATTTAGGATTAGTATTTAGGAAAATGCAAAAAGTATGTCCAAGGCAAATTTTGTGTATTTTCGCAGATTTTCTCTTTTCCTAAAACATTCATATAAATTTTCACATTTTGATAAACAAACTTTATGCTAAAAAAATTAAACCTATGATATTTTGGTATGGCAGGCCCACCTGAATAATGTAGGTGAATATTTATCAGAATCAATTTTTTTGTGAAATTGCAGATTTTCACTGTGTGTACTTCACTAAAAGTACTTTAACAATATCATTTCACTGTGTGTACTTCACTAAATGATCTTTAATAATACCACTCCAATGTGTGTACTTCACAAAGTGCACTTTAATAAAATTATTTCATTGTGTGTACTTTACTGAATGTACTTAAAATCAATTTAATGCGTGCAACTTGTACCTTACTGAGAATACTTCCCTTAATGTACTTCACTTAATGTACTTGAATAAATGTACTGAATGTAACTCAATAAATGTACCTCGTTGTATGTGAACTGTGTACTCTGTTTAATATATCAAGGGTCCCTAAATGTACTCAAACCACATAGTTTATATTACATTAGTTTTATAATTTCTGCAATCTATCTCATCCTAAAGTTTCTATTTAATAATACAAAATATATTGGAAAACTTTAGAGAAAGATTATCCCAAGATATAATTAAGCTGATCAGAACGTAAAACTAACATTTGACAAAGTACACCCAGTTTGTGTATATTTTATATTTTATTAATTAAAATTGTATTTCCCAACAAAAAAAAGTATAAATTAACAAAAACGATAAAAGTACATTTAATTCAAAGGGTTCAAATGCGTTATAAAGTTATACTCATTAGACCCTTGACCATAGTTCANAACCTGAGGGGGGCTGGAGGTATACTGGGGTATCAAAGTAGGTAAACAAATTGTAAAATATCGTTTAGGGTTTTAATTTATCTTAAGGCGTCAACAAAAAGTGAAAATTGCATGTTTTATTGGACTAATTGTAATCGAAAGTCACGGATTGTTGTGTCTGAAGGAGCAAACTGTTATCATGAACTTGTGATCGAATTATACTTGTAGCAAAAGGATATAAAAAACATAGCTGTTGATAGCTAGCATGGAAGTTTGTTAGAAATTTTCCAAAGGAATGTTATTTCAACTTAAACTAAATGATATTTCAAACTTAAACTATATGATATTTAAAACTTAAACTAAATGATATTTCAAACTTAAACTAAATGATATTTCAAACTTAAACTAAATGATATTTCAAACTTAAACAAAATGATATTTCAACTTAAACTAAATGATATTTCAAACTTAAACTGCATGATATTTCAACTTAAACTATACGATATTTCAACTTAAACTAAATGGTATTTCAAACTTAAACTAAATGATATTTCAAACTTAAACTAAATGATATTTCAAACTTAAACTAAATGATATTTCAACTTAAACTAAATGATATTTCAACTTAAACTAAATATTATTTCAACTTAAACTATATGATATTTCAAACTTAAACTATACGATATTTCAACTTAAACTAAATATTTCAAACTTAAACTAAATGATATTTCAAACTTAAACTAAATGATATTTCAAACTTAAACTAAATGATATTTCAACTTAAACTAAATATTATTTCAACTTAAACTATATGATATTTCAAACTTAAACTATACGATATTTCAACTTAAACTAAATGCCATTTCAAACTTAAACTAAATATCATTTCAACTTGAACTATATGATATTTCAAACTTAAACTTTATGATATTTCAAACTTAAACTGTATGATATTTCAAACTTAAACTGTATGATCTTACAGAATTCATAGTTTGAAATATCTAAGGTATACAACATTGGGTTGCAAAAAAATATAAGGATTAGAGTTTGTGGCAAAGACTCAATTCGTTTAGACATTAAAGAATAATGACCACTTGATATTGTTAAGTAAAATATTGAATATAAAGTTCTAAGAATCATTAATGTTTTTTAAAAGGGTCCAATTATGATAAATAAAGATTAAATATGAAACAAAATTTTGAGAAGTATTATTGTTTATACAGCTTAAAAAGGTTGTTAGCTATAGTTAGCTGCTACCAGCTTATAAAGGTTGTTAGTTATAGAAGGCTGCTACCAGCTTTAAAAGGTTGTTAGTTATAGTTAGCTGCTACTTATCCCAGCTTTATTCCATGCTAGCTAAAGTGCCCGACATTGCCCGTGAAATATAAAAACATCGAATTTTAAAAGAAAAAAATGGATTTTTGAAAATAAATTTGGTTTTGAAATAAAAAATCTTATTTTTTCAGTTTTTGTAAAAGAGGAGAAGTTGTTAAGTCTGTTTTGTTTGTTTTCTATAATGTTTCCCTTGATTTTTCTTTTCTCTGGAATCCATTAATATTATTTTGTTAATGGTGTCTTTGATAAATGTAATTGTATAAAGCAAAACATAAATGTAGAGAAGGAATTAAGTGTATATTATACATTTAACCTTTTGCCCAGAACTTTGTCCAATTGTGTGGCGAAACATGGTTAATAAAGTTTTAAAAGGGACTGAGCTGAAAACTTTAGAATGGGGGATATTACGATTAATGCTTAATCCTTTCTTTTTCTTAATATCGAGACTAACCTAATCTTGTACTAGTATCCTGAAAAGTGTATAAAATTCAACCAATTAGAGTCGCGTATATGAAGCCGATAAATTTGAAATTTTGCGCGCCAATTACGGTTATATACCTGTTTTTTATTTTTCTCTACTACATCCATGAAAGAACGGTTAAAGAAGAAAATCAAAACTGTGTCCATTGGATACTCAGATTAAGTAATTGGGATTAAGGATATCTCATTCTAAAGTTTTCAACTCTGTATACATAATTTTAATATAGCCTACGGTTTTAGAGACTTATGTTATTTATAACTCTGTCTAATAAAGGGCAACGCAGATTTTCTTATTTTTTTGGGTTGAAAATAAATTGAATTTGTAAAGTTTGGAACACATAATTCCCACTGAGTATATAAACTGGACATTCAAGTTATACAGCTAGAATAATAAAAATATCTCTGTCTAGGCTATAAGACAAACATCTAAAGGGCACTTTTGTGAATCTGACCTTCTAAACTCCTATGAGCATAAATCTATTTAATTTTGTGGATATTCTTAAATTTGTTAGTTAAACAAGATATTTGATTAAAATGCTTTTTTGTTTAGGGAGGTTATGTACGTTGCGTACATCGGAGAATTGTTTCTGCGCATGCTCAAAGCGTTGATTCTACCTCTTATTGTTCCAAGTCTAATTACAGCTGTTGGAAGCCTAGACATGACACTCTCCGGAAAGGTAAAAATCAAAGATAACCACAGCACGGGAAGCTGTAGTACATTTGAATTTCCGAGCAGGGTCAACTTTTCCGGTCCCAGTTTGTATTGTATCGCCCGGACATTGGGTAAACAAAGCAGACACTCAATAGGACTAGCCGGTGCAACAAGGTGGACGCGGTCAGACTTTAGGTTAAGTTTACTCTTACTAAAGTGTCAGGGGTGCGTGACAGATCAGGTAGCAGATAGATCATTGACGTGGACAATTATTAACAGTAATTATGGGAATACGAATATTTTCGTTCTTTGATCCCACTTTACTATTTTACATAAACGTTGCGGCACGTAAACTTGTCAGACGCCTGGACGCACCAATCCTGCCTCTATGTTTTCCATAGATAAATAAGTAAACATAGATAGCATATGTACGCAAAATCACCAAGAATTGTACAGTCCGCGAACTCATACTTCTAGGGGTCAAAGTGTACTTCAAGGATAACTATTTGAACAACAATATTTCACTGAGCAATACATCATATTGACGAGAACTGAAGAAGAACACGAGAAGGACTAAATAAACTTAAATTTCTCTCTACAGAACTCATGTACACCAATGACATAAGAACAGCCAATGTTTACAACCGACCTAGTTAATCTATATAATAGGAACATCTTTAAAACATCTTTGTACATTTATATCTTTCAAGATGAAAAATGTCGTCCTATGCGCAATCTATATTTATCTATGATATCTACTTGATCTGTGCAGATAATAGAATTATAGTTCGGTTATTGCTGAATCATGTTTCACTCCCACGTAAAGCTGAGATTAAGCATTTTTTTGCGTTATCCGTGTGATCGTTGGATATAAAATTAAATCAATCAAAATACTAATAACAATAATAATAATACTAATAATAATCATAATAATAATACCACAAAAAGTGTCAACCCATTCAGTCCAGCCGTTTGGCCGGCTGTAGGCAACATATATAATCGAAAAGAAAAGAAAAATAACAAAATTTTTTCAGGTTGGAATGAGAGCTATAGTTTACTACATGGGAACAACTGTATCTGCAGTAGCACTTGGAATAGTCTTAGTAGTCACCATTCATCCTGGAGTAGCAGGACAGGATAAGGTAGAGTAGTAACTATATATCCTGGTGTAGCAGGACATGATAAAATAGAGTAGTAACTATACATCCTGGTGTAGCAGGACATGATAAGGTAGAGTAGTAACTATACATCCTGGTGTAGCAGGACATGATAAGGTAGAGTAGTAACTATACATCCTGGTGTAGTAGGACATCATAAGATAGAGTAGTAACTACACAGTACACATCCTGGTGTAGCAGGACATCATAAGATAGAGTAGTAACTATACATCCTGGTGTAGCAGGACAGGATATGATAGAGTAGTAACTATACATTCTGGGGTAGCAGGACATCATAAGATAGAGTAGTAACTATACATCCTGGTGTAGCAGGACAGGATAAGATAGAGTAGTAACTATACATCCTGGTGTAGCAGGACAGGATAAGATAGAGTAGTAACTATACATCCTGGTGTAGCAGGACATCATAAGATAGAGTAGTAACTATACATCCTGGTGTAGCAGGACAGGATATGATAGAGTAGTAACTATACATTCTGGGGTAGCAGGACATCATAAGATAGAGTAGTAACTATACATCCTGGTGTAGCAGGACAGGATAAGATAGAGTAGTAACTATACATTCTGGGGTAGCAGGACATCATAAGATAGAGTAGTAACTATACATCCTGGTGTAGCAGGACAGGATAAGATAGAGTAGTAACTATACATTCTGGGGTAGCAGGACATCATAAGATAGAGTAGTACCTATACATCCTGGAGTATTTTTATAAGGTATAACTATATATCCTAGAGTAGCAGGATAAGATAGAGTAGTAACTATACACCCTGGAGTAGCAGGATAAGGTAGAGTAGTAACTATACATCCTAGAGAAGCAGGATAAGGTAGAGTAGTAACTATACATCCTAGAGTAGCAGGATAATATTTTATCTTAAAAATTTCTTAAAAGGACAAACAATAAAATTAGAATTAAAAATAATAAATTTCAGGGGGATATAGTTCAAGAATCTAGAAATGTAACAACACCTGACACTCTGATGGATCTGATACGAAATATGGTTCCTCCAAACCTGATCCAAGCTACTGTACAGCAGTACAGGTACCCCTAGAGATAAGCCAGGGCAGATTTAAATGAAAAATTCTTTGATGAACAAAAAGAACTCCAAACTTAATATTCGTTGATCAATTTCTGAGGAACGTCAACAGTTTTTTTAAATTAGGAAAAATTCGTTTTTTAGTTTAAAACGAAGAGTTACTTCATGAGTTTGTCAATTAACAAATAAACTATAACACACAGATTGAATCAAATATTACCGTCAATCTCCACTAAACCCCATTTTTTTGTTGGTCCAAAAACTTAGTTTGGGATGGGCCGTGCGCAAACATTACATCATAAAATCAAACTTACCGAAAGTGTTTTGAAACTATAATTTTTCAAATTTTAAAAGTTCGTTCAAAATTTTCGCTATCAGTTGTTCGATATTTTTAACAAAATGTTTTGTTGTCCTCCCGATGTTTTATAAAATAGAATAATGATCCCAATCCTTAAAAATCTTTTCGTAAAAAAAAACTTTTATTGTTCTAGGATACTTTCCGTATGTATTGTAATAGGACTAATTATTATTATAAGTTATTTTTTTTCACTTGCAAACTTAGTCACTGACTCACTTGCCGGCCTTAATTACCCATTTTTTATATACTCATCTTTTTACTGCCATAATTACACATTTACTGACTTACTGACTCGCTAAGTTTGTTCTTATTCATAAGGAAACTAGGCCATAAACTCTATTTATTTCATTTGCAACCTGATTGTGCAAAACTTTGATATTGTAAACTTTGACTTTTACTCCCTATTTTCTATTTCTGCAGTGAATAGAATAAATATTTAACTGCTAAAAAGAGATATGGTATCATTTTGAAAATATAGAAGAAGCTAAAACATTCAGAACGAGGCATTTATATATATATATATATTTATATATATATTTATATATTTATATATATTTATTGCCAAGGGTCTGTTCTCAAAATTTAATATTAACTATTTCCAGGACAGCTTTAATTTATCCTGGAAACTTCGCGTATAATGACTCTGGACAGATAAGGAACCCTAATGATACTCAAACCTGGAAAATGAAAGGTAATCATGTTCCATCGTTCCATCTATCCTTATTCCTTTGAAAGGTTTTTAAGATAGAAAAAAACCAAAATTACTAAGTTAAAAGTTTTATTGGATAATTATTTAAAATAGCATCCTGTTTGGTGAAAGGAGGTGGTAGCTCTTTAGCCAGTTCATTTTTCGTAATTAATTGTAGTTGTACTTGAAATAAAACTTTTAATTAAGGGCAAAATCTCAACTTTAGAATCTAAAGAAACTTAAAGGAAGTGTTTGCGAAAAATGAAAGGGGGTATAGGTTTACGGCGAAAAATAAGCGCTTTTGATCGCTACTAATCTTTCCTCTATCTGTTGTGTCTACAAGGAGAAAATTGTTAAGAAGAATTATACTGAAGAACGTAGCGTCCATATAAATTGAGAAAGTTGCAACATACGACTCGGATCGTAAAAAATCAGTTTAATTTCAAATAAATCATTCAGATATTACAACCTATAGTCATCGATTATTCTCTATTGTTCCCCCAAGCAAGGGGTTTGGCTGTTAAATGAGTGGAATGTAAAGAGTAGAATAAATGCGGAATGTTTCCACTGTTTACATTTCAACTAATTAATCTAACTCCATTAGTTACTGTCAACTCTTGTTTAGTCTGCAGGAAAAGTATATCTTTTATCACATTAAATACTTTTCCAATAGTTTTATTTTGCTACAATTAGGGCTGGGCACGTTCTGACTTTTTCAATCGTTCTGATCCATTCTAAAACAATAGCCATCAGCTAGATCGTTCCTTTCTGGTTCCTTTTTTCCAATTATTCCGTTCTCGTTCTGTTCCGTTCCGTTCTTGGTGTGTTTAGTCGAAGAATGGTCCATCCCGTTCTGTTCCATTCTTGGTGTTCTTTGTCAAAGAACAGTTCCAACACCGTTCCGTACATTTCCATCTTCTGATCCTTGAAAAGGGGGGGGGTGTACAATTTGTAGATTAAAAAAATACTTAATTTTCATAATATCAATATTTAGGGTTTAAAGGGTGGGTCAGGTGATCGAATAAAAAAAATGTTTTGATTATATCTAGATGATTTAGAACATATTCCAGATTAAAAATGCGTTCCCAAATTACAACGCGTTCCTGATAATAAGAACGCATTCCTGATTTTTAATATTCTTTTCAAGCAATTTCAGTTCCGTTCCGTTCCATTATTTTACTAATTGTTCCAATATTTTTAAGAACACATTCTATGCGTTTGTTCCTTTTTTTCAGAAGGATGGGATCGTTCAGTTCAGTTCGTTATTATGAAAGAATGAGTGTACCCCAGGAACAACGCCCAGATCTAGTTACAAATACAATGCGACCCATAAAACCATGAATTAGGAAAACTATACTTTTAGATTCAAAATACAAATCAAACACTTTTCAAGATTTAATATTTCAGGAGAATGGACTGCTTTATAGTCCCTTTAAACATATAAATATTTCAGGAGAATGTACTGCTGTATAGTCCCTTTAAACATATAAATATTTCAGGAGAATGTACTGCTGTATAGTCTCTTTAAACATATAAATATTTCAGGAGAATGTACTGCTTTATAGTCTCTTTAAACATATAAATATTTCAGGGGAATGGACTGCTGTATAGTCCCTTTAAACATATAAATATTTCAGGAGAATGGACTACTGTATAGTCCCTTTAAACATATAAATATTTCAGGAGAATGGACTACTGTATAGTCCCTTTAAACATATAAATATTTCAGGAGACTGGACTGCTGTATAGTCCCTTTAAACATATAAATATTTCAGGAGAATGGACTGCTGTATAGTCCCTTTAAACATATAAATATTTCAGGAGAATGTACTGCTGTATAGTCCCTTTAAACATATAAATATTTCAGGAGAATGGACTGCTGTATAGTCCCTTTAAACATATAAATATTTCAGGAGAATGGACTACTGTATAGTCCCTTTAAACATATAAATATTTCAGGGGAATGGACTGCTGGCACAAATATCCTGGGACTGGTTTTCTTCGCAGTTATAATTGGGATTGCCCTGGCTAAGATGGGGGAGAAGGGGAAACCATTGCTAGCTTTCTTCTCTTGTCTTAGGTAACAAAAACATTTTTTCTAAGTACAAAATGTGAAATGTTGTGTAAAAACTAAATTGCACGTATGAGTGAACTTGATGTGTTTTCAATTTATCATCAATCAATTTTATAGAAGAGCTTTTGAGAAGAAGAAAACTGTATTGCATTTATTATATATGTAACCGGATATATTTGCTTTCTCATACTTATGCTTAGAATCCAAACTATAGGAACTACGAGGTCAACAAATCGTATCAGTATTAACAGTAGATTTAGTAGATTAAACAATGTAAAATATCACACACACACAAAAAAATTTACTTTAATTTTTGTTTAGTGATGCGATGATGACAATAACAACATGGGTGATCAACTTGGCACCAATAGGAGTCTTCTTTCTTATTGGAGGACAGGTAATATTATCTCAGGTCGAAATTTTTAAACTTGATGTCTCTAGTTGATCTACTTTTGATTTGAAGCGATTAAGAATCACCAGATGCAGTTTTAAGGTTTAATTTGGGTAAATAACCCCAATAACCTCCTTATTTACGACACTGAACTCAATTCCTTTAATAGTTTTAAAGGTTTTACAAGAAAAGCTACAATTTTAAAGTTATTCAATGTTTTTTGTGCCCCTTCACTCTAATCCCCCCAAGATCCATAATAAAAAATTACAAATGATTTTTATTAATCAAGATGTGTAAGAAATTTTTATAAATTAATGCCACCAATTTCCTCTTTTGTTTTGGAATGACTATTCATTGAAAAATAAAATACATAAAAAAAATGGTTCTCAAAGATATTTTTTTAATTAGGTTCTTGGAACTAACGATTTTGGGACTGTTTTGAATCAACTGGGTTGGTACTTCACTACGGTTCTAGTAGGTAATATAAAAAATTATTATTTTTATTATTACTATTATTATTATTATTATTATCATTTCTATGGTTGTATCACTAAATGATCATAAAAGCATCATTATTAATAATCTTTTTATTCATATTTCATATTTAGGACTATTTATCCATGGATTTATTGTCCTGCCTATTATCCTATCTGTCTGCACAAAAAGCATGCCTTTCAGGTTTATTTTTAAATCATATACATTTAAAAACATTTTTTAAAGTAATATTATAATTAACGTAAAGACTACTGTAGTTCATAACATTACAACGTTTTTTAAGTTAATCTTTTCTAGTTAATCTTTTTAGCTAAAAAAAATCATTTAAAAATATAGATTTTTAAAAATATAGGTCTATAATTCAGCCATTTAATGGGACTGTAATCAATATCCCTCTATTCATAAAGTATAACTTTTATTGAAAACCTTTGAACCTTATCCTATCAAGGATGAATGAGCTTTCCTTATTTTTAGGATAAAAATTGATTGTTTTCAAATGATTTGCGAATTTACATTGCAGGGATATTATCACTTAGAGGGAGGTTCAATGTTAAGTAGAAGAGTATTTTCAAATTATCTTTACAGTTCCTTTTACTTTTTTTCCTAGATTTATCGCAAACATGACCAATGCTTTCACCACCGCTTTCGGAACCGGATCCAGCAGTGCAACTCTTCCCGTCACGATCAGGCAGATATCAACCGATAAAATAAACAATATTTTTTTTATAACTTTTTTTCTTTTTATCTTTTATTTTTCTAATCATTATTTTATCTTAAGGAGTTGAACAATTGTAACAATCTTCGATATTTTGAATAATTTATAGTTACGACATGAGGTTGTAAATTGCAATAATAAAAGGTTTAGAAAAATAGATTTCATTGTTTTCTTGTTATTTTGATTGTTGTTTTTATAATTATTTAGTTTTAATATTGTAGTTTTAATATTGTTTTTACTTTTTTTGTTGATATTATTTCTGTTGTAGCTTGTATTTTTATTGCTGTTACTGTTGTTGTTGTTGTTGTTATTATTTCTGTTGAAGTTTGTATTATTATTGATGTTACTGTTGTTGCATGTTGTTATCATTTCTGACGTGGATTTTATATTGATGCTTTTTTTTCATGGTTGCTGTTTTTCTTTTTATGGATTTTGTTGTTATTATTTCTGTTATAGTTTTTATTATGATTTTTGTTATTTTTGTTCTAGCTTTTCCTATTATTGCTGTTACTGTTGTTGTTGTTGTATTTTCCTTGTCGTTGATATCTCCGAATATTAGGCTTCTTGAGGAGAAGAACCATGTGGATCCCAGGGTGTGCAGGTGAGTCAGACAATCGCCACAAAAAAAATTTGTTTAAAAACTAATTCCAGTTAGCTAGGAATAATTCTAATTTATTGATCCTTTTCTTTAGTTCTATATACCTCATTATAAGTTGTAATACTCAAAACCGCCAATTTGCATTTTTTGTCCAGATATGTCTAGAAATGTTGGCATTATGCAAAAACAAATTGAAATCTAATCTAATGCTAAAATAGTCCTTATTGATATCCAGAAAAGCTTTGTGCCCACCTATATATTCTATAACAAAGGAACAGAAAAATTTTAAAAATTCCTTTATGTGTGCAACCTAGTGTTGTAGACATATTTATTTTTTGAATTATTTTATCCATACAGAGATGGGATTTAATAGACAAGAGATAAGTAGTTCAACTAGGTCTGCAACTCAATCCATTAATTCATTTCTCAGGTTTGTCCTTCCTATTGGAGCAACAATCAACATGGATGGAACTGCGCTCTATGAAGCAGTGGCCGCCATCTTTATTGCGCAGGTAGAATTTTCTTTATTTTTGTAAATTGAATTTTTGTAAGTTTTGCTTCCCTTAATGTTTGATTTATCAAACTGGAAAAATACATTATAAAATAAATGTAAATGAAAAAATTTTCCAAAATAATTATTTTTTCTTTTAACAAATATTTTTCATATCCATTTTTCAAGGCCTTTTCAAATAAAGAAGTCTTAGCCCTGTAGCCTAATTAATAAAAAAGTTATTAACCATTTCTAATTTTTTTAAACACCAACCCGCCTTTTTACCGTTCTCCACCCTACCCTATGCATAAAACAACATTATTTTTATCAACATTTGTTCACAACTATAATGTTGAAAAAGTAAAGAAATTTTAGCGTTCTAATGTAAGCCATTTTTAAGTTATTCAGAATAAACTACTGGGTGGGGGTTAAAAACACCCCCCCCCCCCCCAACCGTTATAGGGAAAATATAAACACGTGTTTAGGTTAACGGAATGGATCTATCGATGGGACAGATTTTGGCAATTTCAATAACAGCAACAGCAGCTAGCATTGGAGCAGCGGGTATTCCACAGGTAGGAACAGCAGCTGATATTTCGATAATAGCTACAACAGCTAATAATTGCTTCAGCTGACACTTTTGTAGCAGCGGTATTCCAAAGGTAGCCACAGCAGCTGATAGCAGCTACAGCTAATAGTAATGTACCAGCTGAGTTTTCAATAACAGCTTTCATCAGATAGTATTGGAGCAGCTGGGATAGGGCTGGTAAGCATAGAAACTTATAAAATCTACAGCTGCTAGTATTGGAGCAGCTGTGACATCAACAAGAGCTACAACATAGATAGGAGCCACCGATGCTAGTATTGAATAGTTGATATTTCAATATCAACCACAGCAGCTAGTTTTGAAGGAGTGGGTATTCCACAGGTAGGCACAGGAGCTGATATCAGCTGCAGCAGATAGTATTGGAGCAGCTTTTATTCAATAACAGCTACAGCTGCTAGTATTGGAGCAGCTCATATTTCACAAAAGCTTCAACAACTTGTATTGGAGCCGCTATGATTGAATAACAGCTACACCTGCTAATATTGGAGCAACTTATATTCAATAAAAGCTGCAGCAGCCAGTATTGGAGCAGTGGATATTCCACAGGTAGGCACAGCAACTAATAACAGCCACAGCTGGTAGTATTGGAGCAGCTTATATTTCAATGACAGCTACAGCAGCTAGTATTGGAGCAGCCGGTATTTAGCAGGTAAGCAAAGCAGCTGATATTTCAAAAAAAGCTACAGCTGATAGTATTACAGCTGCTAATATTCAATAAGAGCTTCAGCTGCTAGTATTTGATTTTTATTCTTTTTTGGTGACCCTGTACTCTTCTCTATTTCAGGCTGGTCTTGTTACCATGGTAATGGTTCTTGAGACTGTGGGATTACCACCAGAAGATGTTACCATCATCTTAGCGGTCGACTGGCTACTAGACAGGTAATGGTTAGGGCTGGACGGACAGGTAATGATTAGGGCTGGACGTACAGTTAACGGTTAGGGCTGGACAAACAGGTAACAGTTAGGCTGGACGGACAGGTAATGAACGTAAGGGCTGGACAGACAGTTAACGATTAGGGCTGGATGAACAGGTAAGGGTTAGGGCTGGACGGACAGTTAACGGTTAGGCTGGACGGACAGGTAACGGTTAGGGCTGGACGAACAGGTAAGAGTTAGGGCTGGACAGATAGTTAATGGTTAGGGCTGGACAGACAGTTAACGGTTAGACTGGACGGACAGTTAACAGTTAGGACTGGACGAATAGGTAACGGTTAGGGCTGGAGGGAGAGTTAAGGGTTAGGGCTGGACAGACAGGCAACAGTTAGGCTGGATGGATATGATAAAGATGCCAATGCTGAAAATAATCTAAAAGAAATGTTAAATAATATCAATTTCATTTAATTTCATGCCTAACCAACCAAAACTATAGAAATATGTATTTACTAAAATTTTAACCAAAAAATAACACATTTCATGAAGATTAAAAATCAAAATATGTTTGAACAGAAGTTTTTCATGTTGGTATTTATTTGTACAATAGATCTTAATAAGAATATTTGTATTAATTATCTTTATTAATAAAAGCTGTAATTCCTGTTTATAGAGTAAATACTAAATATCTATTATTTAGCTATATTTAACCAAATTTGACGTGTTAAATAATATTATCAATTTTTCTATTTTTATACATTAGGGAAAATTACATTTATTGAAAAATTTGTTTTTTTCTTTCCTCAACCATTTTTATCCCAAATCAATAGATTCGCCAGTTTCAATATCGTTTTATCAGATATAAACCACATAAAACTATCCGTTATAATATTAGATACAGTGGCACCCATAAAATTGTGGGAAAAGGAAAGTGACACTTAATCAATCTTATGTATATTTTATGGTGCATGTTAGATTTACAATTACCTTAAAACTTAACTTATTAAGTTAAATAGATCTGCGTGCATTGCATAATTTGCTGTGCTTTATGTTCATTGGATTTAGAATCATATCATGAGTCTAGCAGTCGTCTTTATGTATTGGCCTTTTTCTTAAAATATTTTCTTTAACCCTATCCCTGCTGGGGTACTTTAAAACCAAATCCCATTTTTGATGTCCCAATATGACAATTAATACATAATTGGAAAGCTCATTGAAAAATCCAGTTAAATAGTGAAAATGTTTGCAAAAAAATGTCCAAAAAATGATAAATATACATTTTTGAAAAGCCTTTGACTTCCTTGGCCATGCCATTTCAAATATGCAAAAAAAATGCAAATTTTTAAATAACCTGAAGCGTAATTAAGAAAAATTAAAAATGTGCAAATTTCTTATGATTGGTTGTATGCAAATAATTGCCAAATTTCTTTGCAAAACTTGTGCAATTCCTATCCTTCCAAAAAATTAAAAATGATCAAAATCTGACAACTTAAAGAGGGTCAAAACAAAGATTTAGTTTGTTACAGGAAAAACTAGTCAGTAACATAAAAGCCCGATTTAAGACCTAAAGGTAGGGCTATGGATATTTAGGAAACGTCAGAAAATTTCAACGGCCTCAGACGAATACTTTTCAGTTATGTAAAATAAATTACGGAGGAGGGGGCTCAAATTGCCTTCGCCTGCCCCCCCCCCCCAGCAGGAATAGGTTTAAGAGATCGTTCACATTTTCAAAAAATAAACATAAATTAAGTAATTATAGGAACCAAAACAATCTTTTTTGAATAAATTACAGTTAAACCCAGAATTTCGAAACCATCTAAAGAATTTAATAAATGTCGTCTTGATTTCTCAAAACTTTACAAAGATACAAATAAGATTGTTAAAAGTTGTATGTGTGTGACTGGCTGTGTTTGTAGATTCAGGACTGCAATTAACGTGTTGGGAGACAGTATTGGAGCTGGGATAGTTTATCATCTAAGTAAAGACGAACTGGACGATATGGAGAAGGTAAAAAAATGAAGAAATTCTAAAACAAGTTTAAATGGACTGTAATTGTAATTCAAAGTTTTCCTTCATTTAAGATAACATGCCAAATTTACGCCAGTACTCTTGAAGACTCTGTCTGAGCAAAACTGAAAGAAAAAAAAACGGAACTTGATAAGATAGAAAAATAAAAAATATATATTTTTTAAAGATCTTCTTCAGTTTCGCTTTAATATATAAATAAAGAAGAACATGAAATGGATGTCACTAAAAATTACATCAACAGTTCAAGAACTTAAACCCCGCATGAAAATAAGATGCCCCATGAATTTGTCTACCGCCTGTATTGCAGATCGGAGGTAAAGGAGAAGGATTTGAGACTGTTCCGCTGACGGAGGTGGAGGAGAGAAACTTTAAATGAGACTCACAAGTGAGAATTCTTGTCAATCCTCACACTCAGCTCTGAGGGATTCAATCAATCAATCAATCCGTCAATCAATTAATCAATCAATCAATCAAGTTTTTAATTAATCAATTAATAGATCAATCAATTTATCATTTAATACCCATCCTTACTCTCTAACAATTTGCCTTTTCAGGTTTCTTAGATGTCGTCTTTTTAATCCAAAGTTTTATGTTTTCCACTATAATCCGCTCCCATTTCTCTAACTATGTGACTCCTTTCTATAAAATAAAAGAAGAGTAAAATATATTGTTCTGTCTCCCACGTTGGTTTTAGTTTAAAGAAGTTGAGGGCGTATTTTCAAGTGGTATACCCGATTAATAACTGCACCATTTGTCTACCCTAAAAAATATGATGAATTCTGTAAATTAAGGTCCTTTGTCTCTGTTTAAAAAGTATTGCAAATCACTTGAATAAAACCATAACAATGAGAAATTAGAAATTATAGATAGAAAAAAAGAGACAGTTTTACAATTTTTGCTTAAAGGATAGCCTTGTGAATCAGGCACGCCCTTCTGTTAAATTGAATTTCACTTGAAATTAGGTCGATAGTCTCTTTAAGTTAACTAGATTTAATCATTTATCTACTGATTGATTGATTGGTTGATTGGTTAATAAATTGATTGATTGTGTACGTGATCAGGTTTGATACGTGTTCTCACGCTACATTGGGATCAGCAATCAAGTTCTACAGCCTACACACATCAGTTTCGGAAACAAACTTAAATCCAAACCGGATTATTTTCCAAAATAACGATTTACAGAGGGGAAGGGGGGAGGGGGGTCGTTAAATTTGTGTTGTCACCAGGATTCTAAAATGTTGCTAGAAAATCTTGTCAGGAGATCTTGTCAGGAGATCTTGTCAGGAGATCTTGTCAGGAGATCTTGTCAGAGAGATCTTTTCAGGTGATCTTGTCAGGAGATCTTGTCAGGAGATCTTGTCAGGAGATCTTGTCAGGAGATCTTGTCAGTAGATCTTGTCAGGAGATCTTGTCAGGAGATCTTGTCAGGAGATCTTGTCAGGAGATCTTGTCAGGAGATCTTGTCAGGAGATCTGGTCAGGAGATCTGGTCAAGAGATCTGGTCAAGAGATCTTTTCAGGTGATCTTGTCAGGAGATCTTGTCAGGAGATCTTGTCAGGAAATCTTGTCAGGAGATCTTGTCAGGAGATCTGGTCAGGAGATCTCTTCAGGAGATCTTGTCAGGAGATCTTGTCAGGAGATCTTTTAATTTGATCTTGCCAAAATCATGATTTGAATTGAGGGGAATTAAATGACAATGAAAATTTAAACAATCCAATGGAAAATGAGTTTTTAGACTTTTTAGACTTTTAGACTTTTAGACTTTTATTAATTATTTTTACTAAAATCATGAAAAACATATCAACCAAATTAAATTTTAAAACATGGCACAATTTACAACCTGAAAAAAAACCTTATTTTAAAGGGATTTTAAAATCAATATTATATTATTAAGCTTTCAAAGTAACTCTTCAACTTGGAAACATGATTTTTTATTTGTTTTTTAACTAGAGCACAATAACAAACATTTTTTTTTAACCTACAAACTAAATATTTAAATTGTGCATTATATTTTTTTTCAAAATCAGAACTGAATATTGTATTTAATTTTAAGCTTTCTTAGTTGTAATTCTTGTAATAAATGTTGTACACCTGTGCAAGACAGTATGTATCATCAGATCAGTTAAAAATCTAAATCTTCATATCCTAAACAAAACTCCACCAGACCAAACTTCTTTATCAGTAATTTTTGCCGGTTCTGAACTTCTTTTGGAACAATAAAGCTGTTTTTCATATTTACATAGTTTGAGTCCAACAGTCGTCTTTTAATCAATAATGTTAAAAAGTAGCTTTAAAGTAGCATATCTAAATACCAAGAACTCATATCACTTGAAACCCAGGCATATTACAAAAAGTATCTGAGTGCTTTCCAATCCAGACACTGTTAAAATAACAAAACTTTTGTTTGTAATGTCAAACATAATAATGAAAAGATTTTGTCAACCATTTTGAACAGAATGCAAAAGATATCTCAAAAACTGTTATTTCTTTAAAATTCTGTTCGTAAATTTGAACAAAATTTTCATAATCTACTTTAGGTTTTTTTTATAAATTCACATTATTTAATGGTTTACAGGTGCCAAATATTTATGTTCTTTTTTTGTATGAAAAAAATGCTAAAAAATGATTTTTTACTTAGTGCCACTTTTTGTTTACAAAAATCAAGGCAACTGCAGTTTTTAATCTGATAGTTTAATATACAGTGAAACATCCTACATATCCTTTCAATGGAATAAATGTGACTTATCTAGACTTTAAACCAACTATATGTGTTTTGCTGGAACCTGCTTTCATCTATGTATATATATATAACTTTAAAGGGACTGTACAAGCCTAATTTTGAGGGATCTTCCATCCATAAAGTGGCATGTCCGATTTACAACAATACCCTTTAAATCAAGGATTTCGTAGAATATATTCTTATTTATATAACGGGAAATTAAGTGCCAAGAAACCGCGCGAGTGTACACTAGCGCGGAGAGTACAGTGTACACTGTAACCTCAAGTCTCCCGGCACTCAATCTTCAGCTATACAAGTATTGGTATTTACCTAATCGTTGTCCGGACAAAGGTAAAGGGTACCGTTGTGAATCTGACATGCCTCGCTATAAATGAAAGGTCATTTGAAATTACGTGAACAGTCCCTTTTAAGACAAGTTTTCCATGTTAACTGTAATATTTGTATATTTCGTGTGATTTAGGTTTAAGGTTTGTTTTTATAATCGCTCCACGTCCCGCCTCGGACATATGTAAAAATATTCTTGCTCTTTAACTATTATTATATGTTTAAGAATAAAATGTTTTTTTTGAATATTGTGTTTTGAAATATTTTCTTCTAGGTGTTTTTTTTTCTTTCTTAAACTAATCTTTCATTATGAAAAGAAAATATTTGGTTTATTAATAATAGCTCTGCAGAAAAGAAACAATTTTCGATATATGTATATAATATTTTAATTTATCATTGATATGAATATGACCATACCAAAAAATCCAGCTTTTCAATTATAAATCTGAGTTTTAGGACGATTAGCTAAAAAAAAATTTAGGAAGATAAGTTTATGAATGTTGTCTTTTCATGAATGTTTTGTGACCTAAGGTTTTTCTGAATGATTTCACTAAGTTTATGGTCGGACAAACAAAGAAACAGACACCCAGACAAACAGAGATTACATTCATGCACTATACTTTGATTTCCGTAGACCTACTTTTGGGCACTGTATACTTTTCCAAAATGATTACACATTAGAATGATATGCACAGTTTGTGATCAATGATTTTTGGATTGCACTAAAAACATTTAATAATGTTTTAATTTTTTTTGAAAATACATAAACTCTGAAATAAAAACAAGAAAATAATTTACAAAGTGTTTGCAGTAAAATAGAACAAAGAATAATGTTATTAAATACTAGAAAAGAAATTTTTTTCTGGGATATATGTCAAAATATATGTATTAAGTCCTGGTTGAGTATAAAATCTAAGCTTGAGTCCTATATTATTGGATGCTTGTGTCCCTGTGTGGCATATAGAACCGGTCCTGTTTGATTGTGTTAACTGATAGACCTGGACAAATACGTCTCGAGTAAATTGTCATGGAGTAGGTATTTGCTACATATGTTATTTATTAAACCATTTCACCATATGTTTTTTCTTCTTAATCTCAATATCCACTATTCTAAAGTTTTCAGCTCAGGCAGCAATCAAACCCTGGTTTAGAGTTGCAAAGCACTAAGCAGTCTTGAAGAGGACCCATAACGGCGCGGACCTTAAAACCAATAATTCAAGAACTCCGAGAAAAAAGAATATTATTCGTTAAAAATCCACCAACTGTTTAAAGATAAAAGCATAAGTCTTAACCATTTAAAATAAATCCCTCCTTCTTTATCCGACTCATTTTACTACCAGAGGAGTACTTCTCATATATTCTGGGTGTTTGTTTGTACCAATAAATGTCAAAACGGCTGAACCGATCGGGCCCAAATTTTTTTAGGACCTCTCGTGGCACCAGGGAATGATCGAATTTTAAATTATTTGCCTCTATCAAAATTCGATTTTTGAAAATTTTGAAAATCCAAGAAATTTATTTTATAAAATCCGCGAGTTTTTTGTTTTGTTTTTGTTTTACAATATATAATATACAAAGAGAACATGTTTACAATTGAAATAGAAGATGTGCGCTAAGCGCTCTAAAAGCCTAGTATGTATATATTTGTATGTGTGTTGTAAATCACAGATTATTTTTCCATTATTTGTAAACATATCAGCTATAGCTGGCCTAACGGCTGAACCAAATTGACTGACATTTTTTTAAGGGAAAAAATGGGTACCCTAGGGGTAGCATAGATTAAAAAAATTAGAATTTGTTTTCAAAATAATTTTTTTTTGCAAAATTCGATTTATTTTTTAATAGACTCTGCTTTGATTACGGAGTAATTCTTCTTGGTTAGCAAACAACAAGCGTCCAGATTCCCTCTCTTGAAATATAGAACTAGATTAGGAGTCAATACAGATAAAGTCGTGTCCGGATTGATATTGATAGTAAAGTACTACTAAACTGACTAGCTCTTATGCCTTGTCAACCATAACGAGAGGGAACGAGCATCGATACAGACTGAGCCGTATCCGGATTGATATTGGCTACAGTAGTTGTGTGAACCTTAAATTCTGGATCGAGTTGTATAAGACAGATACCTGAGAGTACAGACTGAGCTGAATCCGGATTGATATTGGCTACAGTATGTTTGTGAATCTTGAGTTCTTGATTTAGTTGAACCTGGATTGATACGGGTCTAAAAGCAGTTTTAGAAGTAGGACATTTACTACAGAATCACGGGATGGTTCAAAGCTGGGTTTAAAAATTGAGTTAAATAGGTTAAATACAAAATAAAACGTTGTTTCAAAGCAAAACTGCGTTCCCAAGCTAAATGCGAAAAAATAACTTGATAACAGGTTTTAAAAAGTATATTTATTAAATATTTTTCTACATCTTATTTTCAAAATGATAATTCAATATAATCCAGTTAACATACACCTAATACCTCCCCCTCCTACAGTCTCAATAGTCTCAACATTTGATGTAATAACCCCACATGAGGCTAGGATTATATTCTGCTGCTCTAAAGTAAGGCTGCCCCAACCACGTGTTGAAATTATCAACTTCCGGTGGCCATCTTGGTTTAGAACTTCCAAGGAGTTTGCCGCAAAGTTTTTAATTTGCTTATTGAAAAGAGAAATCACTTTCCTAAAATAAAAAAAAAAACTTTTAAACTCAAGTTATAATTCCAAATACTCCAATAACCATAAAAACAAAGTAACTGTGCATTAATTTACACAGATAGGGGGACATCTTTTCACTGAAAGGGTGATCGTGCAATATAATGGCGCAAAGACAGTGACTCATAAACATAAGCAGCGCCATAAATGGACGGGCAAAGGGAAGCAAGAAAAAGAGAGCCTGCAGACATGCAGACAGAGAAAGGAGAAAAAAGATGAACATTTGAAATGATCAACTATGCCACTTTATTTTATGAAAATTATTAAAAAAAATTATAAAACACTTGTAAAAAACACCCATGTCAATTTTCAATTAGTACGTTATTTTTTTTTGCTTTCAATATCAAATATACATAAAATAGTTTAATGTCGTCTATCTATTTCATAGTGCACTACGGTATGAGTCTCACTGTATGAGCTATTATTTTCTTGTTAGTTTAAAGTAGTACTTGTCTGGATTTGGGATTATTATCTAATGCTTCCTGGGATACAAGAACAAATCCAGAGCAAAGGAATTGAGTCTTTGCAACAAATCCCAATTTTCTAATACCTATATATCTACAACCAAATTATGTAAACCTTAGATATTTCAAACTTTAATTGTTTGATATAACAGAAGTCATAGTTTGAAATAACTAAGGCCTACAACATTGGGTTGTTAAGATATAGCTATTTAAAAACCAGAGTTTGTGGCAAAGACTCAATTCCTTTACCTATTAGTTTGAAGAAGTACTTGTCTGAATTCTGGATTATTATCTAATGCTTCCTGGGACACAAGAACAAATTCAGAGCAAATTGAAAGAACAACATTTGTGTGGTACACAGCCCGACCTAAACAGAATAATGTTATTGACTCTATAATCCAAAAACAAATGAATCTGAATTATTGAACTTTATAATTAATCTCTATAGCACTGCGGATTAAATGTCATCCTTATTAAATCGTAACTTCATGTGACCCTCCGTGCACAGATTAGTCAGAACTCAGAATTACAATGATACCATTTAAACCTTTGACTGATCATTGAGGATTGAGAACTCAGTGTATATATCTATTACATCCTATGTAAAAATCCATAAATTGGAGTGTTGTATGTAAAGGGTTACCCACAAAGGATGAAAGTTCAGAGACGACTGTACGGAATTTATACTGTTTATTTCCTAATGTTCATGAATTTCTGCAAATGTATACATATTTCGCTCTTTGAGAAATAATTAAATAAAATCCATGATATTTGGAGTGGACGACTTAGTCCAACCATGGGGTTAGCACATTTTATTCTTGATTATTTAGTCTGAGCTGAAAACTTTAGAATGGTTGATATTGAGATTAATGCTTGATCCTCTCTTTTTCTTCATCTCGAGACTAATCTATATAATCTTGTATCCTGAAAAGTGTATAAAATTCAACCAATCAGAGTCGCGAATATGAAGCCGATAAATTTTGCGCGCTATTTAAGATTAATATACAGAAACGGAAGGGACTCTCTAAATTTAAAAAACCGGTTTTTGATTTTTATCTACTATATCCAAGAAAAAACGGTTTAAGAAGAAAATCAAAAGTGTGTCCATTGGATACTCAGATTAAGTAATCGGGATTAAGGATATCTCATTCTAAAATTTTCAGCTCTTGTAAACTTTACAAATTATGGTCGCGGGGGCCTTTTATGTTAAGTAAGATTAGAAAAATCATGCAATTTTAAATTTCGTCGTTATAAACTTGCAATCGATATTTACCGTAATTATGTATTCCCCTCTTTTGATTGAGGATCATTGATTGAGTAAAGTTAAGTTCCTTTTACCTTGCTCGTCTTTTACCTTGCTCGTCTTTTACCTTGCTTGTCTTTTACCTTGCTCGTCTTTTGCACTGAAAATGCATTTATTATAATTGATAAATTGGCAGAGATCGTTTAGAACAGTCTCATGAGTTCTCTCTGATGTGCAGGCAAAAGCAATCCTGAAAAAATGTTAATGTCAATTTTTTTATCTTTAAATAATATTATTCCTTGAATCTTCAGATAACTACATTAAACTTAAATCCATTCAATTTTAGTTTCAAATATTCATATTTTCTCCAAAACTCTCTCATTTGAACACTGAACAGTCATAGATTAGTAGAAGCAAATAATTATAATGTAAAGATCAAAAACTTAGCGCAGTCTTTGGTAAAGATAGTTATTTCTGAGGTGTACGCATTTTTGTCCTGCAGTGTACTGTATCTGAGCTGTAAAGTAAACACAAGACAGATGTCGCATGCCTGACATGGAATCCATCTTTCACATAAAAAATCAATGAAATATTCAGGTCACAGGAAACTATTATGTGAATTATCAAAATTATAATTTATTCAAAGATTCAAATAAAAAGTTCTTCCTTCAGGGCATTTGTATGGAAAAACTGTATTGTAAATTAAAATTTATAATTTTACAAAAATCCTGTTTTGTGGTTCTCCCTGCATGTTGAAAAGAGATGCGATAAACCTGTTTTTGTGATCAAACACAACAGATCCAGTTCCTTCAAGAAACATATTCTCCTTCTCATAGTGGGACAGATCCAATATTCTAGATTAATTGGATTTTCATATAATTAAAGGGAGTGTTCACCTAATTTAAGGGAGTGCTCACAAAATTAAAGGTAGTGTTGACTTATTTGTATAAGATATTAATACAAAACTTAATTTTTTTTATTAAATTTTCGCGTAAAATTCCTTCAAGTAATCGAACATTTTCAATAAAATTAAACATATTTGAATATTTTAAAATATTTATAATGATTTTTTAAAATTTTTTACATCAAAAGTTAACTCCGAGTTGTTTGGTCATTATGACTATACATTTTAATCATTATCATTGCATGTAATCATACATCGAACAGATCATTTTGAAAATTGATTTAAAAATCCGTTAATTAGCGATATATTAAATTAATTGTAATAATTAAACTGACCCCTTAATAGAATAAAACTAAAAAACAATTTCTTCGTATGCTTGCCCTAAGTAATTATGTAACGTAAATAAACAGCAAATTTTGAAAATTAACGGAAAATACAATGGTAACCAGAAAACTCTGGAATCAAATTATAACTATAACTCCAATGAGTATGAGACACAGCAATTGTGTAGACCCATAAATTAAATTATTAATTTGAACTGTGTCTGGTCAAATTATTTAGCGTTTAACAACATGAAATGCTCTCATCAATACCTTGAATATCCATATTTGTCCTGAAGATTAGAAACTATATCCATCCTTCTCTCTTCTCTTCTACAATATCATGATTTTTTAAAATAAAAATTCATTTTTCGAGGCTTTTATTAGGCTTTGCGCCCCCTTTCCTGTTAATGATTTTAGATTTTATAACTGTTGTTTTAAAAGTTGGCCGTTTTAAACATCATAAATTTTGGCGGATTATTTTTTTCGAATTGCACGCATTTTCAAAAAAATTCAACTAATTTGCAGAAATTTTTGTCTAATTTTGATGTTCTATAAACCTTCCCTGGGTGTTTATGTGACAGGGTGGTCCCAAACAAAGTTTGGGCCCTATCGGTTCATCCGTTTTGACGCTTATCGCACGGTTACAAAAAGACCAACACCCAACCAGATAAGCAAAGTTTATACATGTATAGATTTAGATTATTGAAAAATATGTTGGTGTTCGAATTTATCTGTGAACTTTTAAAAAAATTTCAGAATTTTTAGCCAATATTCTTTATATACTCTTAGATTCAACATATTTTCTTTTCTTTAATATTCAAAATTAAACTTTATTTTTAAACATTAGTAAATTCCAAATTAGTGAACTCCTTAACAAAACAATATCCTTTAGGTTTTCCTTAAAATATCATATTTTTAAAGGATTTTTTTATTAAAGCATTATATCCCGGATGCAGGCAATCTTTATGAAGTTTGTAACTAGAAACGCCGCTTATGATTTTGTATTGATCAATTATGAATATGGTACTCCGAATATTTTCAGATATTCTCCATTATACCTTGAAAGTTTGCAAATTACGAAATTCGCAATAGCTTTCACACTTCCACAAATCTCGTAAAAAGATTAGACAAAGACGACCTTCATTCTAATTATTTAGCGGTTATGGTTATACACTACAGTGCTTTAATTGTAAGAAAGCGTAATTTCAATAGACGATCTATGCAATACGGAAATGCTCTGTTTACAATTGGACCCCTAACTGTCACATCAAGTATAAATCCATGTTATTTGTTGCTTTGATTTAATTGTAAATTTTTATTTATGCATTTCTTGCTGACGATTAAGAAACAATGGAGAATTTATCAGAATTACACTCTTGAATTTTGATCGCATGAAGGTTTCAATTGTACTGTCGTAAATTAGGTCATTGCCATGTAATTTCATAAAGTGACAGCGTCTACGCCTTAAATATTTGTCTGAATAAAAAAAAATATTCTTAATTGTGGTAAGCATATTTTTACAGCATAGTCAAAGAAGGAAATTTGAAGGATCTTTACATGCTTTTAAGAAAGAAAAATGAGAAGATCTTCCTCATTGTTAATCCAAATAGGCTAAAGAGATACAGTTGCAAAATTGGTCATGTGACATGTAGTCAAAGAGAATAGATTATATATTAGAGAGGAATTTACTAGAAAAAAGTGTAAAACGGCCATTTTGTTGTACTGTTTCCATAATGCAGGTGTACTTCACATATTTGCGCTATATAACCTTTTGGGCCCTGGAACATCATTTTATAGAAAATCTAAAATTAATATTAAAAGAAAACCAAATTATGAAATAGGCTGGTTTCATAATTGACCAATGATCATTTCACATACACTCTATGCCTTTCACTTTACAAACGATGATTTTCCGTTATAACTATAATCAAATGATGTTTTTTATTCACCTAATTCATTTTATAAAGTTTATTTAACAGCTTTAAAAAATTTGAAATTGAAATGGATAGTCTAGGGAACATACTGTATTAATGTACTAGCTACTGCATATAATTTGTGAACATTTACATGATTTGTACACTTTGAATTCCCTTTCAGGCTAAAAGGGACTGAAAAAATTCATACCGAGGGATTGTCTAAATTCCACTCTAATATATATTCTATTCTCTTTGCATGTAGTGCTTTAAATTGAGAATCACTTTAAATTAGGTTTACAGTACCTTTTAGGCTGCCTCTGGTATAGGATCCTAAAAGCATTTTAAAGTTTTTATTTCTGCGAATTTCTCCTTTGCTTCTTATTAACAAGAAATGTCCGAGTCTGTTTTGTCGAGAAACCGCAAATTAAAATAAACAATTAAAAGGACCAAGATCATTGATATCTAATTCGTACTTGATCAGTCAAATTGGATATTGCCATCTTTGAATGGATCGGGTCACTTGAAATTACGCTTACGGTCCCTTTGACCTGTTAGGGGTTAGCATAGGGTAGAGGATAATTTCCCCTGTTTCGTGACACGAGATCCAGTTGTTAGGGAATATCGAATCTAAACAGGAAAACACTGTGAACTAAAATATTCACATTATCGCCGGGTAACCCTATCAGGATTGTGCGACGAGGTTATAGTATATTATATGCAGTGCAGTGATGATGTACGCTAATCCTTTACCAGAGATAAGTGAGTTACAGAGATCGATTATCACCTATAGTATGCGATATTTTCCACAGCATGTTCTATTGTGTAGAAGTACTGTATACACGACCAATCAGGAGACATCTGTATTCAGTGATATTTATGGACCCTTTGAATAGGAAATGCAAAATCGATAAAAATAGACAATATTCATAAACGTTATGTTTTTTGTTTAAAATTGGAGTATTTCTTTAAAAGTTGTAAAACTTGACCCCTGAATGCTACAAATGGCCGTTAGATGTTAGTCAAAAAAAATTACATATGGAACCGTAGCATGGCGTGCCGGGACACTATAGGCCTGCTCAGCCTATCCAGGTAGAGTGTATTTTACTATTATACTCTTCAACGGTCAATCTGTATTCTGTATATCACAGTATTTGGGGGATTTCTGAAAACAATTTTTTCTGATTGTTCATTTCAACTAATCTATTCATTTAAAGAGGTAGTTGAGCTGAGAATGCATTTTTTAGGAGAAATTTTTAGGATTCATTTGAGACCTATCAGTTGTTTTACGATGCATATTTGTTTAGCAAAAGTGAAAATTCAATCTTTAAAATTATCACAGATGTTTTTTAAAAATTATTCAATAACAACTTTGAAATTACGACAAATATAACAAAAATTCTACAGTAAAAAATTAAATTCTAAGCTCAACTACCATGTCTCGCCAGACACTCCCTTTATAAGTATGATTTTTTTTTAATTCTTTAGATCGCTGTAATTAAGGATTAGTATTATCCACTATAATCCTGTTTTTGTAAACAAAAACCAGATTTTAATATTAATCAAATCCATGACGAAAGCACAAAATTCCAAAATAATACTTTTTTGACCTAAAAACTTATGACACATCATTTGGTGTACTGTACAGCTCGCTATAACCGGTTAGATGTCGGCCAGGTTCTTGAAATGAACCGGACTTAACCATCTTTAATGTCACTTATAGAGTAATAATAAAATAATAACATTATTTTTTGTGAAAAAAAACTTTATATCATTTCTTTTATACCTGGTTTAATTGGAGATTCTGTATCATTAAAAAATGTAACAAGTATTCCAGCATCCTTCGAAACCAATTCAGTTAGACAAATAAGTTTGGTTTTTTGTCTCATGAAATTATAAAAAAAAATTAACCTGTTTGCATTGTTAATCACGCAAGCAAAGTTTAGTTAAGAATTTTGCCATTTTTTAAGTTTCATTCAAAATCTATATATAAATATGTAAAGTCTGCTGGTTTGTTGGCTCATTCGTTTTGGATCAAATATAAATAAAAATGGCTGAGCCGATTAGACCTCAATTTTTCTTGAACTCAAATGACTCAATATGGGTAGTGTATAAACAAATGGTTTGAAAACGGTAAATTTTGTTATTTTCTGATTAAAATTGCATGATATTTTTTAACCGTCAAAAAAAAAATTTTCGCCGTTAACGCTGTTTATACGGTAATTAAAAAAAAAACAGAAAATGCTGTTAACTGAATGAACGTTCCTTTCTAACCTTTGAAATTAACTGCTAACTGAAATTTTTTTAATAGTTGGAACTAACCGTTAACGAAACGGCTAGAAAAAGTTGGAACGTGCCCAGCCCTATCCAAGACGTCCTGAAGTTAAAACTTTACTACTCAGTCACAGGGTTACCCGCAAAGGATGAGACTTCAGAGACTGTACGGAAATAAAACTGTCTGTTTCCTTAATCAATGTCTCCATGCAATTCCAGACTGGTGTTTTCAATGTTAAATGATTAACTAAGCGATTAAAAGACTGAATTCAATACGAAAGACCTAATTACACCATTAGTTTCAGATTGTCTTTACAGGCTCATTCTTTGCGGGTAACTCTGTATTTTAACAGAAATATGGACATAGAACGGCCTGAAGTCCGAACTCATGTGTCGTGAATCTTGAGATTAAATCTTAAAGATTAACGTCATTACGTTTATAAGTTCCGACCCCTAGAAGCCTCAATGTTAATATTTGAAGAAAAACCTGAAGCTTCTGGATCAAATTATCAAATTCAACCAATGCCAAATTCTTCCAATCTCCGTGTGTAGCACTAGCATTCTGCAATAGTTATTACAAAAGATTGAAATTTTATATATGTTTTTATCTTGACTGCTTTAATTGAATAGCCATAGAGAACCTTATTTGTAACCAGATAAATGTCCTTTTCTAATGCTTGTAAATGAAAACTAGAGAAGCTATACGAGGTCACAAAGTCGTATCAGTAATACGCATAGATTTAACTTTCTCCAGTTAGCTTTTGTCCAGTTAGCAATATTATATTGGGCTTAATGTTAAGATTATGGAATTGGGGGCGCCAACCCTTAACAAAATACCCCCCCCCATTAAAAAAATTCCTGAATACGCCCCTGATAACTTGATAATAAATAAACGACCAATGAATATCAAATTTGAAGTGCTTTACTTGCACACCCCGGACTAACCAGAGTGAGAGGCATTCGGTTTATTCTATTTGAAATCATTTTTTGAAATCAATTTTGGTAATCAACAATCTTTAAACCTACGGATTTGTTTGTTCTATACTTTTCATTCAAGACGAATATGCAGACAAAAAAGTACTTAAGAAAAAGGCTAACAAATGATGCTTAATAGATCAAATTGTGATCGAATGTTACATCTTTCTGGAATATTGACAGAACCGTTAAATCCACGTGTGCAGGACACTATGGTGTTTTCCACTGAAAGTAAGCTTTTCAAAATCTAGTAAGCCTTCTTTTTACCTTAAAAATCAGTGAAATTTCAAACATTTCAATAATTGTGTCATTTAATGAATTTAAAACTAAACATATTTCTCAATTTCTTCGTCAATTTTGATTGTGCAAGAAAAAAAACACATTTTGGAATTTCCCGAGACTTGAAGTTTGTCATGCTAACTGTTTAACAGGAATACCACTTAATTGAATACCGTAAAAAAAGACTTTCGTAAAAAAGACAAAAGTCGTCACTTAAAAACAAGAACAAGACTCAAGTGTTGTACATTTTATAATATAAAATAAGGAATAATATTCACACTTTTTAACCACTTCTATTATTCTTTAAAGTTATACCAGCTTGGAAATTAATTTATTATGAAAAACTGGTAAATACAATGTACATACTGTGTCATACTGTATTTAATGATAATTGTTGACTTCAAACTATAAATTTAATCCAACACTCGTCTTCCTATTCCACAACTTTATGAGACCCACTGTTTACATATATAAATCAGTTTGTCTGTTTGTTTGTCTGATCATAAATCAGAAACCCTTTGACCGATTTGTCTCAAATTTTGTTTGTGGAACTCAGCAGAGCCACGGAAATATTTTTAATTTGTTTTTGAGACTTAAAATCGGTAAAAATCGACCAAGTGCGGGTAAACGGTAGATATTTACCTGAAAATGATTTGTTATTGCAGTTTGTTGGTTAAAGCAAAAATGTGATGGTCTGACTGCAATCCATCATTAGATTTGATAAAATAAAATTTTAAAGGGCCTAGATTTTAAAATTTCTATTTTTTATTTTTTATTTTCTTCATTTCGCTTTTTTACCTTTTATAAGTAAAAAAACAAGCAATTTTTATTATATATTATAAAGATATATCAATTAAAGATGTGTTTTTTTTGTTAATTAGCTTCTTTTTATTTTTTAATGTAATCAAAGATAAATCCAAAATATTAGAAAAGTGCAAGTAATGCGTAAGCATAGAATCATTTTAAGCTTAAAAATTTTTAATTGAAAAAATTTAAATATCGATTTTTTAGCCTGTTAATAAAAATTTCGAGTTTTGAAGAAAAACTTTGATTTTTTAAACTTATGTACTGTACATTCAATACAGGGTGAGTAAAAAACCGGGATCATCAATGTTTTAGACAAAAATTCAAAATTTTTTGTTTTGTTCAGATATTTATCAAAAATGATTTTAAAAAATTTTGGAACGTTGAAAAAAAGTCAGCGAAACAATTCATATTTTTAGAATTTGTTGTGGTAACATTTTTATGCACAAAATCCGAATAAACCAAGAATTTTGAAATTTTTTTCCAAAACATCGATATTCCCGGTTTTTTTACTCACCTAGTATAGAAAAACTGAGGAAGGTTTATCATTCTGCCTAAAAATACAGATTTCGGTGATTGTTGTAACACAGGCATTGTTGGAAACTGACTTAATTTTGCATATGTTTATTGTGTATCTCATCCCATATGCGTCCGTTTGAGATTTTAATACAGTGTGTCTCATGCATTAAACAGGGTGTAGTTTATAATATAATTTTTAAATTTCTTTTTATCGATTTTGATTGCTATTATATCGTTAGAACTGACGAGTCCTAGACCGAAATATATTTTCAAAAAATGTGAAACTAACATTTACTTGTTTTACTCTATATCAGAGGTTTGGTCCATCACCATCACCGAATTTTAATTTATATTAGTTTTGAATATCATTTACAATCCCCCAATAAACTTTAAATTGATTGACAAATACGAGATCGTCTTTGTTTAGATGCATCAGTTATTTCAAAATTCAAAATATTATGATGTTTACTAAAATTTATTTCATAAAAATGATAGAAGTCTGCAGAAGTGTTGTGTTATAGAATTTCCAGCGAAAAGGGAAAATCGTTACGCGAAAATTTCGCATTTTTGGGATTTCGTTCGCTCGCAAAAAAAAAAACAAATAAGAAAATTTCGTGGGAGGCCCTAGTTGTGTATGTAATGTCTCTGCGAGATGAACAGCATGAAGACGATTTCGAAATCGTCACTTTCTTCTCATGTTTATCCATGGCACACCCTGGACCTAAAAAAATAATTTCAACTAACCCCGAAACAATAACTTTTCTTTAAAAAAAAGACTCAAAAAACATTTTGCTTGCACCAAATTTCTGTAAACAAATCCAGGAAAGGGGAATTTTTTTCCGGGATGTAGAATAGGAAGACGACATTAAAGCAATACTGAGGTGTATTTGATGTTGTTTCAAAGCAAATACCTTTACTAGTAAGATATTAAATCACCTGCTTAGTTATATGTGTCTGTTTACACTGCACATTAGCTGTGCCTCATTTTCATTGGCCTGTTTAAAGTCGAAACTGGAGTTTAAAATCAACTAAACCTATTTCAGAGTTTTCTGGTTATCACTGTAGACGGGTAAAACTTCGTACAGGTTTGGATCATGCAATAAGACGACAGTAAGGAATTTTCTAAAATTTATTAAATTCCTCAGCTGTACACAACTTTCTCTATCTGTGAAAGATTATTTAATAAACATTTTAAAACACTATTTGAGTAGAATAGTTTCAATTCAACCTTCATATTGTTATATTTAAAAAGTTAGATGTCGTCATTACAGTCTCCTTTACATTGTGCGCAACCCTGGAGCTCGTATCTCTACATTTTTTTATGAAAGTATAATGCAGTGTCCGAATTTGATGAATTTAAGCCGCGTCTCAAATCCCCCAAAAACCGGTTTCAATTGAGCGCCGGCTTAAATCTTAAAAAATTGAATACAATTTTAATTAATTTGAGCCGCAGCTTAAATATAAAGGGACAGACCGGCCATTTAAGGTAGTTAAACAGAGTATGCAATGCAGTGTAGTGGACAAATTCTTTAGGATTCATTTGAGACATATAAAACGTTTCCACGAATTATATTTACTGAGTTTGAGTGCAAAGTCGACGTCAAAATCGTGAATTTGAGTGGGTACGTTTTTTTTAATTATTAAATAACGATGACGAAAAATAAAGTAAAAATTATACAGTAAACTGATTAGATGTTTAGAAACATATTTCTCAAAATCAATTTTCAATAAATCAATTTTCTATGAACTTATTCGCAGATTTCTAAAAATTCTTTAAATGTCGTCTTTTCAATAAAAATTCCAGAAAATCGGCAGAAAGTATTCGTGAATAATCAGAGATCATAGATACTAATAATTGAATAAGATTACTTATTTTCTATTAATTTTATTTTCTCTTAAACAACTAATCAGTTTACTGTAGAATTTTATTTACATTTTTTGCCTTTGTTTTTTAATAATTAAAAAAAAAAACAATTCTGAGAACGAATCCACCCAAAAGTACGATTGAACGTCGACTTTGCGCTCAAACTCAGGATTTACAGATCTTTAAAAAGTTTTATATGTCTCAAATGAATCCAAAAGAATTTGTCTACAACACTGCATAGTACATACTCAGTTCAACTACCTTACATAGCAGGTCTGTCCCATTAAGCCGCGGCTCAAATACATTAAATTCTGCCTCTGAATCAAAAAATGTCATGGAATCTTGCATACATAGACTATAGAGTATTTTAAAAATTCGACTTTGACGTCTTTTATTTTATTTACTTTCAGTGTAGATAGATATCTACATAATGTGACTGATTTATATAGATAGTCTATACTAGCATAGATAAATGGGTAGAAATATATATATATATATTCAGATAGAAAGATAGATAGATAGATAGATGAAAAGATAGATTGATATAGGCTGACCCCAAGCTTTCCCTTCCATGGTCAGCCTTATTTAAGACTATAAGACTACAGGTGACACAGTACATCGTTAACCGTACATGAGATGCTCAGTGTAGACCTGCTGCACACTGTACAGTTATAATTGCTGATAAAACATATGTTATAACCATTAACCGTGCAATATGGTACTGAAGGTAAAGAACAGGGGTAACTTTAATAAAAGAGAACTATAATAAGTTTCTTAATACTAAAATCCGTTAAAAAGACTCAAAAACGTGCTATCGACAATTGATGCCTTATATTTTATCGTAAATTCAAAAATCTCTCACAAAATTCTCCAAAAATAAGTCAAATTAGGAGTTTTTTTTAGACTTTTAAATGATGGTGTCAATGTCATACAGAAAATAAAACAGTGGAAGAACAATCTGGATCGTTTAGAGAAATTAAAAAAGTATCGTTTTTCAAAAACGAACGAAAAAAACATACCAAAAACGTTCATTAACGATTTTTTTCCGAAAAAAAAGTTTTTCAACTATTGTTTTTTCCAAAAAAAAAAAATTTTAACTGAAAGACCGATTTATTGAACAAACAACTTTACGGAATAAACGGTTTTACTTAACGATCGTTCAGTGAAAAAACGAACAAAATGAATAGAAAATTTAAAATAAGAAAGAACGAAATAATGTTTTTTAAGGGTTAAAAAAACGAATAAAATGAGTTGTTTACGAATGATAAACGAATTAAATGAAAAACTGAACGCGCCCATCTTTAAACACAAATCTTGTAAAAATATTTTGTTTTTTGACGTTTAAGATACTTTTGCGTAATATTATAACTTTAACTTTAAAATTCTCACAATTACCTTTGAATTATCTTAATTCTGAATGTTTCCCTAAAATGTGGAACTAGGTGTTGATCGTGTATATAAAACGAGTCAAAAACATGCTAAAAAGTTAAGTTTAAAATTAAAATCTGTTTTCGACGGTTAATGTTTTATTTTTGCGTAATATTGAATAGAAAACTAAAAAATTCTCACTTTTAACCTTTTTCTTTTCAATTCTAAATATTAAAGAAAATATCATGCAACACGACTAAAAAAACATTCTTTTAATCTTAAAATTTCATATAGAATATTCTCTTAAAAAAACTAAAACTGTAATTTCTCATCACACCACTAAATCATCCAAATTAAGATATCTATAATATTTGTAATCTTTTATTTTAGAGAATTTTAAATATTTTAAGATCTTTTTCTAATCTTATATTTACAGGTGGGGGATCGGGTGCTCACAAAAACCCCTGAAAATCTTCAAGAATTCTTTGACGAAAACCCCGAGGTAAACATCTTTATTTTTACAAAAATGATAAATTAGAGATTTCGTGAAAAGAGATCTTTTATTGTAAGGTTTAAAAGGAACATATTTTATTGTTTAAAATAAAAGTATACTTGAAAGCTTTTTCTGGTCAAGCATGAATTATATATCAATGTTTTTAAATAAAAAAATTATTATTTTTAATTGTAGTTTTTCTATAAAAAGTAGGAATTATCAGAATTAAAAACTTTTAAACTTAGAAAAACGATTGATTAGATGAAGGTTTCCAAGGTACCATTGTGAATCAGGCTTTGGAAGGTCACTTGAATTTACGCTTACAGCCCCTTTAATAAATGCTAGGTTTGTGAGAATAATATAGATCTACTGGATACTCCTACTTGCAAAGGGAAGGTGTTCTCTTCCTAACCCAGAGAAGACAAGCAACCAGTGATTACAGGTCTAGGAAACAAACAAACAAACAAACATCCAAATATCCAAATAAACAAACAAATAAATATATTCAATGAAATCAACAAATGAATTTTTTTTCTATAATTAAAAATAATCAAAATCCTTTATTTGATTTGTTTCATTCAATTTTGGGAACCACTGCACTGTATTAAATCAAACTGTAAAGAAATTGCATTTTGTATCTTCACAAAAGAAGACGACACCACTTATGGTTATAAGCAGTCCAAAAAAGATTCAACACAGCAGTTGTGCAGTCAACTCAGACCCAATTTACTTTTATTTTTTTATGTAAACTATTTGCTTGGAGCAACATTAATTACAAATAAAAAGTTGTTTGATTGTCGTCTTTCTTTTCCTAATTTCTACGAGTCTCCATGTTGAATTCTTCGTCTTCATTAAACCCCTGGGACTATTTGATATTTATGTTTGAAATTACCATCACGCAGCAAAAATTGTTCAATTAAACTTACAAAATTTGTTTTTATTTAAAAAAAATGGGTCAGCAAAAGCACTTTAAAAAATCAACAATCTCTAAGGGAGGTCGATTTTTCAATTTTTTCGAAACATGTCCATATGGTTGTCAAAATTGGTTGCTCTCTAGGGCCAAACAACTACTATTTTTAACCAATTTTTATGATTTTCACAATTTTGAATTTAGTGTTTCAAGGCAGATTTTTTTGGTACCAATATGAACATATTTTGAAAAAAATAAATATTTTTCCTGGCACTAGTAAGTCATTATTTACAAAAATGTGATGAATTCAAAAGTGAGAAAAAATATTTTTGTTTTGCTTTTTTAATTAGAAAAAACGTGTATAAAAAAATGCCAAATTGTCCCACCCTTAATTTAAAGTATAACTATAAAGGCTGAAAGTTTAAAAAATTTTAAATAACTTTTTAAGATTATTTTTTTCATCTATTTTAGAGAAAACCCAGCGGTACAGATTCTTGGTTCACATGCTGCTATGACTTGTCACATTGTTATTATGCGACATACAGCTAGTCATGTCGCATCATTAGGTATTGTTATTATGCGACATACAGCTAGTCATGTCGCATCATTAGGTATTGTTATTATGCGACGTACAGGTAGTCATGTTGCATCATTAGGTATTGTTATTATGAGACATACAGCTAGTCATGTTACATCATTAGGTATTGTTATTATGAGACATACAGCTAGTCATGTTGCATCATTAGGTATTCTTATTATTAAACATACAGCTAGTCATGTTGCATCATTAGGTATTGTTATTATGAAACATACAGCTAGTCATGTTGCATCATTAGGTATTATTATTATTAGACATACAGCGAGTAATATCGCATCGTTAGGTATTGTTAATATGCGCCTACTGCTAGTCATGTTGCATCGTTAGGAATTGTTATTATGCGACATACTGCTAGTCATGTTGCATCGTTAGGAATTGTTATTATGCGACATACTGCTAGTCATGTTGCATCCGTAGGAATTGTTTGTATGCAACATACAGCTAACCATGTCACTGAAAATTCAAAATGCTTCATTCCTTTATTCCTTCTGCTTATCTGAATTTAAATAGCATGTCAAGCTAAAGTAAATTACAAGTAAAATCTTACAGTTTAACCAAGAAATACGGATATATCGAAAGAATTTATAAAATGTCGTCTTGACAGTTTTTCAATTGGTTTTTTACTAACATACCTTATCTCAGTAAATGTGAAAATAAATAAATAGCCACGAAATATGCGGGAACAGTTTAAAGAGCTCCATATGATTATTAAATCAAAAAACGAGATATCTGAAGCATTCTATTTCAAAGACGACAATTTATAACTTTGTTTGATGTCTCCAAAGTTTTGGGTTAAACTGTATATATTTTAATCCTTTAACATTCCCATATTGATGAGCTTCTAAGAAGAACGAAATTATTTTAAATTGCTGATATTCAACCAGATAAACTTCTCTTACTTGTAAAATCAAAACTAGAGGAGCTATGAGATCACAAAGTCGTACCTTTAATGTCTCAAATGTTTTACCTTCTTCTGTTAACTAGTTCAGTGTGACCTTTTGAGTATTTTATAAAATCGACAAAACGAATTATGAATTAAATCTGAATTAGTTCAAATTAAGAATTACCTTAACGTTTTTCTAAAGTTTGCAGCAAGGGAAAACTGCAAGGATGTCAAATTTGTTTTTACAAAATAAGCCGAAATATGATTGAAAGATGTACGAATAAGAAGAAAATGAAGAAAAAAAATTAAAATTTAAAAATAAAAATGTAAAAAAATTATCATTTACATCAGACCTATTAATTAGTCCCTTCATGGAACGTGATTTGATTTTGGAAAATCTAATTGAAAACAAGTATATATTACCTATTTCAACGTGTAGTGAAAGCTGGTGTGTCTCTTAAAATAATGACCACTCTCCATTAAACGCTAGTATACCTTCGGCCAGAGTACTGCATAGTACTGCAGAATGCACCGAAAGTTTAGTTGAGTGTGTGACCCCCCCTGTAAAAGATGCCATTTAAAATATTTTGTCAGATTATGTCTTCAAATGTTTAGATAATTTTGACAATTTTGACAATTTGATGGGATACAATTAATTAGAAAATGCAGAAATATTCAAACTAAACATTTAAATATTTAAACAAATTTACCCTCATTAAATTGACATTTTCATAACTTTCGTTACCTCTTACTAACAGAATTTGAAAAAAAAATTGAAATAAAAAAATTTCGATTTTTGAAAAAAATTAGATTTTTAAAAATACAAAATTTAGAATTTGTTTAGCCTATGTTACCCCCTTGGTTCCTTACAAAAATGGTCCAGCCGTTTGGTCGGCCATAGGAAACATACAAATGTCTTGTTTTATTATATAGATGATAACATTCAATAGCTTGTAAAAACTTTTTTCAACTTTTGATAATTATTGAATCTGAAATGCTAAAACTTTTTTAACAGTTTGTTTAATGTGCAGGTCATTTTGACAATTTCTCCTGTTGGCAGTTTGGGGACGAAAATTCAGCTCACAAAGAAGGTTTAAAAACAATGATTGAGGAAATAGAACATTTATCCCAGGATCATCTTGATCAAGGATATATCCAGGTTTATAAATAAGAAAAATTAAACCACAAAAAAGTTTGTTTCATACAATTTTAACTTACATGTTTACCATGTATTATTTGCTTTTAACAAAAAAACACTCATTTAATTTCATTTAATTTTTCCAAAAGTGGCAATAAAAACGTTTTCCTTAATTCTTTTGATAAAGAAGTGTCTTAAGATTTTGGAGAAAAAACTTAAATTGCATTTTTTCAACAGTGTTCTTGTTACCCCCTGTAGTGTTCTTGTTACCCCCATTTAGTGTTCTTGTTACCCCCTGTAGTAATCGTATTTTAGAGGTCAGTTCAGGGTAATGGTGCATTGTCTTTACGCGATATCGTTAACGAAACGTTCGTTTTTGAAAATTAACGAAAGATTCCTTTAACGAACCGCAAAAACCGTTAATTTTACATCGTTAACTAATGGAAAGTAAAGCCGTTCTTGAATAAAAATTTAGCTGTTGAAAAAAGAGTAAACAAATTTGTTTCCAAAAAACAGCGACTTTATTACTTTTTCTGATTAAAATTGCGTGTAATTTTTGTATGTATTTTGATAATTTAAAATATCGTCTTCTGCGTTTGCCTCGCTTATTTCGTGAAAAATAGAGTTATTATGTATCTTGATGTGTTTTTTACGTGCTTTGATGTTTTTAAAAGTTGTTTTTAAATGTTGTTCAGCTATGTTTACATGCAATTACCGTTAATGGCTGGTTTTTGGCCAGGAGTTATTAATTTCTAAAATATTTTTAATCAATATTATTGAGAAATGATCAACTAGCAGCTAGCTGCGAAACCACGTATGTAAGATTTTGAATGAAAATGATGTTTTTAGGTTATATATTTTTGTGTCGGACCCTACAATACTCAACAAGATAAAGACGGTAAAAACTGTGCAGTTCTGATAGGAATAGCGATAGATCTTAGAACTCAAAATATCTTTCCTGCTTCTTTTCCATGGAACAATTTCGAGGATTTTTCTACACAACTTCAGGACCGTTTTCTTAGGTAAGCAGCTCTTCATGACCGTTTTCTAAGGTAGGCAGCTTCATGACCGTTTTCTTAGGTAGGCAGTTTCATGGCCGTTTTCTTAGGTAAACAATTCCATGATCGTTCTCTCAGATAGAGTACTCCATGACCGTTTTCTTAGGTAAACAATTTCATGACCGTTCTCTCAGATAGAGTACTCCATGACCGTTTTCTTAGGTAGGCAGCTTCATGACCGTTTTCTTAGGTAAAAAATTCAATGATCGTTCTCTCAGATAAAAAATTTCATGACCGTTCTCTCAGGTAGAGTACTACATGACCGTTTACTCAAATAAACAATTTCATGACCGTTCTTTTCAAGTTACTTGTGGCACTATTTACTTTGTAACAACATCAACTAGACTCTACGAAGTGATGTTTGTAACAACATCAACTAGACTCTACGAAGTGATGTTTGTAACAACATCAACTAGACTCTACGGAGTGATGCTTGTTGTTAGTTTGTTTGGAATCGGATACACAGGTAAAGAGACTGCAAACCAGGGGGGAAGATAGTTCTCTACCTGTGTGCTCAGTTAGCTGTTCTGTACACTTAAAACTGTTTACTAATATTGATATACTATAGGTTAGGCCAGAATCATCTTTTAATAAACAAATATGCGGTATAGTTTATGGCCTATAAAATTAGTAAAGGATTAGCGTACATCATCTCTCTATACACTATAACCTCGTTGCTGAAAACGTAATGTTCAAATGACCCTCCGTGCAAAGATGACGGCACCATTTAAATCTTAATCTAATAAAAAATATAGAAGATAACGTCGTTGTCCTGACGTGAAAATTGTTTGATTCTGATAATTCTTCATTGTTTCCATTAGCAAGAAATGCGCAAGTAACTTTTGCAAACAAACCTCAAATCAATTAAACAGTTTAAAGAAGCTAAAACATTGATACAGGGTGTCCCACGAAACATGACAGGACTTGAATGTCGTCTTGATTTTTGATATAATTTGCTGCGTTTATTTGTCAACCTAATTTTAGAAGTAAATTTCTAGAGATAATAATCACAAAATTCCCCTAGTCCTGCCATTTCCAAAATGTGGTCTGCCTTTTATGTGCTTTCAATATTGCCCGACATATAAAGAATTTCGTTCAGATTTCGACAATTTTGCTTTTATTTAACAAAATTGAAATCTGAACCAAACTCTTTGTATCTCCGGTAATATTGAAAGCACAAAAAACGCAGACCACTTTTTGGAAATGCCAAGGCTAGGAGAATTATGTGATAATTGTTTCAAGAATCATACATGTTAAAGTAGATAGAAGACTAAATGTCACAAATAAATTCAAATATCAAAGACGACTTTCAAGTCGTCTTTCTATTGTCATGTTTCGTGGGACACCCTGTATCTAATTTATCAGCCAATGCTTTTAGGAGTACCGTTGTAAATCGGAAATTGCCATCTTTGCATGGAGAGTCATTTGAAATTGAACTTCACGGGCAGCCGTAGAACATTTGAATTTCCGAGCCGGGTCAACCTTTCCGGTCCCAGTTTGTACTGTACCGCACGGACATTGGCTTAATTAAGCAGACAATCAACAGGATTAGCCGGTGCAACAAGGTTGACGTGGTCAGACTTTATGCTTCGTATATGTTGAATTTCCTTTTACTTTAAAATCTTTTAAGAAATATTTTTTACTTCAGGCGTACTGGTCAAGGAAGTATCCTAAAGGATGAGGAATACTACAAAACCACGAAATCTACATTCAAACCAAAAGCTTTGAGAAATCCAAACACTTATAAAAACCTGCAGAAAAACCTGCCCAAGGAAAGTGATAAAAAGAAAGAAACAGATTTTAATTTTAGCTCCAAGTTAAAGCCTGCAGTGTTCAATGATAAGTATCTAGATACTATGTCTAAGGAGTTTAAAGAAATGAGCGCTAAAGAGAGTGCTCGACAACTGCCAACTGTTGCATTGAAACCAGTGAAAAAATAAAACAGCAACAATCCCAATTTTGTTTTAGAATATCTTGCAAAAATGTAAAATATAGTCTTTTTTGGTTCGATTTATGAGACACAAAAAGAAAAAGGACAATTTACGCCACGAAAAGATGTTGAAAAGATATAGATTTAGTATTTGTTAAAATTTATCAAAATATCATTCTCTTGTTTTTAACTTTGTTAGGTTTTTATCTTTTAGGGGCTCTTTAGCAAACATTTTGATTAAATCTTCATGTCAGATTTAAACCATAGATGGATGAATGGTATATCCATTATTTCTGTCTGTGTTACGCGTTGTCAATGTAGAACAGGTTGAGAGAGAGCCTGTTCTACGCCAACTACGCGTAAATCCTTTGGGCTTCTGCCTCAGGGTTATTGTGAATGAAACAAACATAAATCCTGAAAAGAGTACATCTAGTGTCCTATTTGTGTTAATTTTCTAAAATGAATTTCCTGTGCTTTTTGTTTCATTGACTTTAAAAGATTAAAGTGATGGTTCATTTTTCTTTCATTTTCTTTGGGTTAGAAGAATTATTGAAGCCTAAGATTAGAATAAAAATAATCTGAGATTGGGAAATCTTGTGTGGAATATCCATAATCCTGATCACTTGATCTCGATATCTACTGCGGGCACTTTTGAAAATCGATGCTTCATCTCTTCATTTCAGTTTGTGATTAGCAAGTGATTGAGATCAAGCATTGATCTCATATTCACAGTACAGGAGTTCCCACCTGTGTTCAATTATTTGTGCCTCCAACCTTAATCAAATATCTGAATAATTCCTTTAAGTTAGCTTATTATTATGTATATTGTATATACAGTGCACAAATATATATATATATATTTATCATTAGAAGAAAATTCTAAAAAAGCTAGTTTCTGTTTGTTTAAAGTCCACAGTCTTCCTCCCAATCATAATCAGAGTCATCACTCTGCTCGTCCTGGACAGGATAAAGGGTTACCCACAAAGAATGAGACTTAAATGACAACAAAAATCATGATATGCAAAGGTTAGATTTGTCTTTTGCCTTCCAATTTTATTCGATGGAAAGAAGCCAATTTTCACTTACAGGAAACCCATAATTATACAGCAAAACTTAGATATATGAATACATACAAAGATCATTTTTAAATGTCGTATTCTCAACATATTCAAGATCAAATGCCGAGGAAAATTAAGTTTAATATTCAATTGTTGTCCTTCATATTTCAGGGCTATTAATTTACCTTGAATTAAAAATAAAAGTAGTTTCTTAAGAATTATCAAAAAACTTATGACTCTACAATGATATTTGAATATATTTTAAAGCTGCGAACATCTCAGCAGCTTACTTTTTGTGCAAACCAATGATAAAGTATTGCAGCTGTCATAAATTTTTAAATAAATTTCAAGACGACATTTCATGCGCTCTTGCTATGTATTCTTATATGTGAGATTGGCTGTTGAAAATTCCGTAAATCTTTCAATTTGTGGGTAACCCTATTTCTACATTTAATAGTGAGAGTTTTCAAAATTGTGATTAAGTTAATGCTGAGAAACTAGACAAAGAGAGGAACCCATTTAAGAAATTAATGTTCTATTACAGAATACCTTCAAAACTCGGACTTTATTAACGTATTTGAACTATACAATAAACTATTTACAGTTGCTGAGAACCAAGAATTTAACGGAGAAAAAAACACTGAATAAATTCTGTGAAGTTTCATTCTTTTTGGGTCACCCAGTTTATCAGATAATTTTTGTTTACTCATAAACTCAAATATATTTTAAAATGATGACCTCTGATTGAAAAACAGGTCTGCGCATGTCCATAACTTTTCTCATGACACCCTCAAACCCAGTGGAAGCCAGGGGATCCTTTATATTCTAAAAGTAAATTTGTTTTTGTCAAAAAATGTCGGAAATATAAGAGAGTATCGTTGAACAAAACATTAGAAATCCCTTAATAACGAATACATCGAAAGAATTCATCTAATGTCGTATTCTTCACTTTCTAATAATGGAATTTTTCAGATATTTAGTTTTTTTAATTAAATGATTATATGGAACTCTTTAAAACTGTTCCCGAATATTCATGGCTATTTATTTATTTTCGCAAATACTGAAATTTAAGTAATATAAAACTCATTGAAAAATTGTCAAGACGACATTTGATAAATTCTTCCGATGTATTCATTTTTAAGGGTTTCACTGTAAAAGAAAAAAAGCATGTAAAGAAACCATATACAAATGTTTCTTAACAAAAATTATTTAACTATGACACAGTTTTGTATCAATTTTTAGAGACAGGAACATCAGATAGAAATAATATTGGTCGCGATCAACTACTTAAATGTTTAGGCTTAAGCCCTTTCATTTTACCTCATCAGTCCCTTTAACATTTTTTTTAAATTTGATTGTTGACAACCGTGCACGACGCATAGGCGCACAATTCAACATTTAAGTTTTTACCGTGCATTACTTCTTTTGAATTTGAAATGTTTAACCTCAGTCCGTTCAACTTTTTTGAGTTGTCTTCCCATCCTTATCTGGGACAGCAGGTCCTGTTGAGGGGCAACTTCTTCACTAATTAAAACATTTTTTTAAACATCCTCTTTAAAATCTGAACAGTCCCTTTTTATCATTTAGATTAAAAATTATACCTTTTTGTTAGAACAGAAATTTTTAGTATTTTCTGATTTGACTGTGAAATGTAGATCTCTGAAATAAATGAACTAATTTTCATGTTTCATTTTGCATGCAGGGTGCATTTCCCAATTAACATAGGTATTAATTATGGTTTCCAGTGCAGCGAACGAAAGCTTTCGCGTAAAAATGCAAAAGAAAATGCGAAAATTTTCGTTCGTATTTCGCAAACGTTTTTGCCATATTTTGCATTTTTTGGCGAAAATATATTAAGTGAAAAAAAGTGGAAAACGTAGCGAAATTTCGCGAAAAAAAGTATTGCTGCTGAGACAATAAATTTCGCAATAAAAACTTGTTTAATTCTCTGCTCTGAAGTTGTATTATGTCATAATTAATAATCTCTCTTCCTTCACTCAATGTTTATTTCGAGAAATTTGCAAAAATTCCGTTTTTTTTCGTGAAAATATCGCATTTTTAATGAAACAGATTAAGGCGAAATTTTGTTTTTATAAAGTGTCTATTTTCTGTTCATTCTCATGATGATTGGTACTAAGATACAGTTTAAAAAAAAACTTAACAAATTTGAATTTGTGCAAAGAGACCTGGACTGTTTAACATTAGTCCCACCCCTTGTAGAATATTGGGAGCCAGGGGAGGAGCAACGGGCATGCTTGGAGCTGTAGGAGGAGCAGGAGGTGAGGGAGCAAATGGAGGAGCATTTGTTTGGGGACCATTTGATGTTGGAGGAGGTAAAAGAATAGTACCCTCTAAAGCAGTGTCTTTTATCAATGATTTAATTGCTTCACGATTTTAGGCTTTAGTTGTTTTGCACAGCAAAATAGAAATTTCCATAGTAAAATTTAAATAGATTTCTGTATTTTTGAATGCGAATATAATTTGATATCCAAAACTACCTATGTCTTTTATGTTACCCTGGAGCCGCATCGCTGATTTTTAAAAAAAAAACTTAAAAGAATGTTTTGAACCAAGTCTAAATGTGCCCATGGCCCTAATAATGTGTATTTTTTATGAAACCAAAAAAATGAATTATTTTTAGGATTAATCAATTTAAAGAAACATAATTTTCAATGCAAATATTGATTCCTGTTGGTGAAGAATTATCAGGTTGAGAGATATTATTAAGCTCTAAATCTACCCCATCAGGTCTAAAAACAATGGGCAAAATTAATATTTCTAAAGTGTCTTTTCTTGCTGGGTGTTTTCAAGGTTGTAATGCAAGAAAAGTTAATTGCTGTCGCGTATACTCTGCGTACATATTGAAACCATTTCTCTCTGGGGAGGTTAAAAGCATTAAATTTTGATAATTCACATAATTTACATAATATGACCAGAATATTTCATTGATTTTTTATATAAAAGATGGATCCCATGTCAGGCTTCGACATCCGTCTTGTGTTTACATTACCGCCCAGAGACAGTACACTGCAGTACAAAAGATGCGTACACTTCTGAAATAATTTTCATTGCATTACATCCTTGGGTGATTTTGGAAAATCAGTTGTAAAGGAATTAAGTTTACGACATTGGGTTGCCAAGATATGGGGATAAAAATGACTGTGTGGCAAAGACTCACTTCCATTGGATAAAATCAAATAAAATGCTACTTCAACATTGTTTTTCATTAAATTTCTTTCTATAGTATTTTTGCAATATTTTGAAATAGCCGCCAAAAAATTCGTGAAACTTTTGTTTATCAAAAATTTATTAAAAATCAAAGATTATGAATAAATGTAAATAAATAGAGGAGGGAAGGGCATCCCCTCAGTTTTTAAGATTAAGTAATATTAATCCTTACTGGATTTTTTGTTGAGGGGGGGAGGGCGGAGGAGGAAGTTTATGAGGAGGAGAGGGCAAACCCGCAACCTTAGGATCATCGCTCACAGATACTACTTTGTCTAAACAATAACAATTATAATTAGTTATTTCAGTTATTAGTTCTTTATAATTAATCTTTAATTAGGTTGCAAAGATATCGGTCTGAGAAAATTAGAATTTGTGATGAATGAACAGTTTAAATCTAACAAACTTTCTGTTTTCAGCATGTCTTAAAGGGAGTGACCGGCAAGGTACAGTTAAACCCTAAATATTAAATACACAGAAAGATGTCGTATTCTTTACTTTCTGATAATGGAATGTTGCAGATCTTTAGTTTTTGATTAAATGATTATATGGAGCTCTTTAAAACTGTTCCCGCATATGCATGGCTATTTATTTATTTTCACAAATACTGAAATTTACGTAACTAGCCTTAGAGGGCGCTTCGCGCCCATCTTCTAAATTAATTGTGAACATGTTCTCTTTGTGTACATCGTAAAACAAAACAAAAATAAATTTCGCGGATTTAAAAAAAAAAATTCGCGGATTTTCACAAAAAATTTCGTGGATTTTCAAAATTTTCAAAAATTTAATAAAGATCGAATTTTGAAGAAGACAAATATTTGAAATTTTGATCATTCATAAACCTTCCCTGTGGTCACGTGATGTCCCACAAAAAATGTGGGCCCAATCGGTTCAGCAGTTTTGACGTTTATTGGATACAAACAAACAGACAGACAAGCCAAATTTATATATAGATATAGTATAAAAACCATTGAAAAATTGTCAAGACGACATTTTAAAAATTCTTTCGATATATTTAATATCTAGAGTTTAACTGTAGTTGAACTGAGAATTTGTTGTATTGTGGAGAAATTATTTAAGCATCATTTGGGACCCATAAGACGTTTTTACGGTTCATATTTGTTCAGCAAGAGCGCAAATTCAATCTTTAACATCCTCATAGAACGTCGACTTTGCGCTCAAACTCAGTAATTACAAATTATCAAAACGTTTTAAATGTCTCAAATGAATCCTAAAAATTCCTCCACAATACTGCATTCTCAGTTCAACTACAACACATTGCCGGTCACTCCCTTTAAAAGCAGATAAATTTAACTGAATCTTTGATGTCAATTCTACAAATAGAAATAAAAATAATTTTTTTTTTCTTTTTTATTTTAAAGAGCACACATCTTACATCTTACCCTGTAAATACTCTGGTAGTTCAGGAGTGTCAGGGAAACTAGACAAATTCGCATTTTTTATTTAAAGGGATGGTTCACGTAATTTCATGTGAAAGTTCAGTGTTAAAAGAAAAATACATTTTTCACTATTAGATGGGCTGTAGGTGTAATTTCACGTGACCCTCCATGTATATATGACAATGTTCGATTCACAACGGTACCCTTAAAAAATTTGTCTCTTCAAATATGAATTAGATATGAATGTAAACACTTTTCCATTCAAAAAACCGGAGGTATATCTAGCTTTCAAATTTTTGATCAGATTTAGGTTTCAAGGGTACCATTGTAAATCGGACATTGCCATCTTTGCATGGAGGGTCCTTTAAAAATACAGTTCCATAAAAAAATGGATAATTTTCCTTGAGAGTAACTCAGGAAGGCTGTTAAGAGACAAATGATAGGAAACAGTACGACCTTAAAAATAAAAATATATATATATATATAATATGAAGCAAAAATCGTGGAAACATGATATTCTGTAAAACTGCAGTATGTCGTACATATTAATGATTCAATGTTGTAAACTTAATGACATTATTCATTTTCAATTGGTTTGGCCTTGATAGATTACATGCTTGTGACTGTATTGACATTCAGAGCTGACGAGATCGTGCCCATTGGTTTGGCATTGGTAGATTACTAGCTTTTGTCTGTATTGACATCCAGAGCTAATGAGTTCGTGTCAATTGGTTTGGCATTGATTGATTGCATAGTGTCTTTATTGACACCGATAGCTGGACTTGTGTCTTTGTGTGACGTAAACCGGAAAAATTTCCGTTTTACGGAATGGAAACCGTAAAATTTCCAGTTTCCTTTTCGTAAACCGGAAAAATTTCCGGTTTCCATTCCGTAAACCGGAAATTTTTACGGTTTACGTAACGTAAACCGGAAAATTTCCCGAACGATTTTCCGGAAAATTTCCGGAACGATATTCCGTAACGTTCCNAATTCCGGTTTTCCGGAACCTTTTCCATAATGGAAATGGAAAAAATTTCCGGATCATTTCCGTACGTAAACCGTAACCCGGAATTCCGGTGGAAACCCTACTTGTGTCCCCGTGTGGCATTTAGAGCCTGGGGTGCAGTCCTGGTTGAGTTTGATAGCGGACAGATTGTACCTAAATAGTTACGTTTCGAGAACTTGTTATGGAGTAGGTGTTTACTTCATATATATTTTTTGCTACGTTTTCAGCTGACTTTTACTTCGCAAAAAATTAATATTCTTTGATTGCAAATAAACATATACGCGAATTTCAAACAATATTAGTCACAATGAGAAAAAACACAAACTACGAACTATTTACGAAAAATGAACATGCATATTCGGTTTTAGGTTGGATTTATTTTCTAACTAGAAAGAAAAAGAGAAAGACGAATTCGCAAAACTAAAACGGAAGGAAAAGATCTAGAAAGAAAACAAATTCAACCTTATTGAGTACTTACATAAAGGACTAGCTGTCCAGAGCTTTAAGATTTCGATTCTAAGCGAATTAACTTTTCACGAATATCCGAGAGGCGAGATATTTTATTAACTGAGTACGAACAAGCTCTGTGTTGACCGAAGAAAGACAATTCGAGAAGAACGTGAACAATAGTTCTATATCCGCACTAATTCAAGAATTAGAGTTTGGAACTTTGGATTCAACAGAAATTAGCGTTCGGACCAGGGAGTAAGGAATAGAAGGGAGATATAACTGACGCGGTTGGCCCTACCATATGATTATACATGCTTTGCAGACATAGAGAATAGAATATATAGAGAGGAATTTACTAGAAAAAAGTGTAAAACGGCCATTTTGTTGTACTGTTTCCATACTGCAGGTGTACTTCACATATTTATGCNAATAAAATTTTTCAAAATTCTAAATTTTGTTTTCCACGGGTAACGCCGGGCAATTCAGCTAGTTTAGCTATTTCAGCTAATTCAGCTAGTTCAGCTAGTTCAGCTAGTACAGCTAGTTCAGCTAGATCAGCTATATATCTCTAAAACAGGTTTACATGAAAAGCACCTGAAAAACGGATCTAAAATTACGTAAATAATTGTAAGTAAAATCAAATATAGTTAAACTTTTTTGTAAAAAGTAGGATAAGAAACATAGATTATATTTTCCTATTTCAATTCTAAGAGAAACATCATCAGAAGGACCCCCCCCCCCATCNGTCAAGTCAAGTCAAGTCAAGTCAAGTCAAGTCAAGTCAAGTCAAGTCAAGTCAAGTCAAGTCAAGTCAAGTCAAGTCAAGTCAAGTCAAGTCGACTTGTCTCCTCTCAGGGTTCGTCTTCTTCTCCTCCTGCCTCTTCTTCTTCCGAACCTGGAGCAAGGATCAGCATGGACTAACAAGGATCAAGAAATCAAATTACAAATATGGACTGTCAAGTCAAGTCAAGTCAAGTCAAGTCAAGTCAAGTCAAGTCAAGTCAAGTCAAGTCAAGTCAAGTCAAGTCAAGTCAAGTCAAGTTAAGTCAAGTCACCTGGTGTTCCTCTTTTTCTTTTTTAAGTTTTTTCATATATTCGTCCCTCCAAATATTGAAAAAATAATCTGGATCTGATACTAGGGTTGCAGGATCAATATCATCAGATCTACATACAAGGTCGTTATCATAGATTAGGAAACAAGAACAGATAGGACATTAGAGTTTGTCTCTTCAAGATTTTTCTCTCTGTCATGACATTCAACGCAGTATCTAGAGTCCTATCTGTTATTGTTAATTAATCTATGATCGTTATTATCAAATTTTGATTAATTTTTTATTTTTTTAGAAATATATTCAGACCTGAATTGCCTAAAACCTCTGATATCTAGCATCGGTAAAGCCTGAAATGATGAAGAAAATGAAACACATTAAAAGATAATAAATCATTACTTGCCTTTTCATAAGCTTCTACTAATGCTTTTGGACGATTATCCTTCCTAAACTGCATTTCTTCAGGCCTATGACAATTAAAATCATAAATGCTTTATATATTAAATTATGTAGACTAAAGAGGTCTTCTACTCTACAATCTACATGCATTTACTGGTACCGCCGTACCGGCCTGTCTAGTGTTGCGTACTGTACTTCATTTACTGGTACCAGTCGATCTAATGTTGAATACTTTACTGGTACTGGTAAGTTTAGTGTTCTGTAGTCCAGGCCGGTCGAGTAGTGTGCACTAAACCAGGCCGGTCGAGTAGTGTGTTCACTAAACCAGGCCGGTCGAGTAGTGTGCACTAAACCAGGCCGGTCGAGTAGTGTGCACTAAACCAGGCCGGTCGAGTAGTGTGTTTACTAAACCAGGCCGGTCGAGTAGTTTGTTCACTAAACCAGGCCGGTCGAGTATAGTTCAAAATAAACTACCTTGAGAACCCTGCTTTGCATGGAAACCAAACTTTCTTTTTTCTACTCAACTTAGAATGCTTTTAACAACCATCATTTTTCAATCAAAATTTTAGATAAATCGCTCAAGGGGTTTATGAGTTATGATCGGACATACAATTAATAAACAGCAAACACCCTAAAAGAGATTATGGATTACTTCTTTACATGTGATAGATGTATAAAGGCAAAAGACCTGTTCTTATTAAGTTGCTCAGTCTGATGACTATATCCAGTTGATTGGCCTTCTTCTAAACTATTTAGGAGGTGTGAGACCCTTCCTGCTAAATTTTTACTTCGAACACTAAATTAAACGTAATTAGAAATAGGCCAGTTCGGTCGTTGTTTTGTTTTGTCCTTTCATCGTTTCTTAACTACCCAATTCGCTTTTTTTGCAATCGTTAAAAAAAGTTTTATTTCGTTCGTTCTCAAAATTATCGCTCAATTGTTCGTTTTATAAAATCGTTCATTCAGTAAAAATTAATCGTTTTTTTCAATTTTTGTTTGGGTAAATTAGTGCGTTCATTTAAAAACGTTCGTTTTTAAAAATCGTTCAAATGATTTAAATAGTTCATTGTATTTTTATCGTTTATTTCTATAAAATGATAGTTTATTAATTTCTCTGAATAATCCAAGTCCTTCGTCCTTCGTTAGTTACTTTTCTGAGAGACACCAACGTTTACAAAAAAAATCGATTAAAGAGGATAAAAGTGTTGTTTTAAACACTGAACTGAAAATTGCAATATTTTTAATTGCCCATTACAAATATTTAATAGCCCATTACAAATTCACTTTTCTAATTATTTAATTCACATGCAGCGATTGCGTATTTCTGAACAATAAGAAAATTGCGATATTCTTTTAGAAAAAGACGTTATCTTGAGGCGTACACAGGAAGGCAAGGAACTTTTGGAGCTCATCTAACCCCCTGATTCAGTGAAATCATTTCAGAGTGTTCATGCTGAAGACTTTTCACAGCTAGATTAGAGTTTAATTTTGGTTAAAAAATTGCTTATAAAATATAACAAGTTACCAAATATTTCTGCATTCTTCGCTTATCCCATCAAGAATATCAAAAGATTTCCTGAAAAAAAATAATTAGAAAACTGTCTAAACAAATAACAAGCAAAAACTAACTTAGGTCGAAACTTTTGTGTGGCGTATTGTTAATCTTGAACACTTCTTCTCAATATCCAATTTAATTTAAGGATGTAAATGCTTGATCTGGGGGATCTGTATAGGTCTACATGTAGTAAATACCCTACTCCAGAATGGTTTCCTTAACCCGTATCTATCCAGGTACAATCTAGTTTCACTTATATATCAACGTCTAAACCCGGAAACAATCTGATCAACTTTCAATGTCTCAACTAGGACATGATCCTCAAGCTCAACCTGTTTATCAAAACGATTACTCTTTAGCCTTAAACAGTACGGAGTTACTATATCAACTAATGTATTTTCGGTTCATATGTTACAAGTTAAAGTTAATAGACGTAAATACAATTCATACCTCGTTATCTATATCACATGGTTAAGACAATCATACGTATATACGTATTACGTATATACAGCACAGTTGAAATCGGCGCAATTAAGATGTAGCGCAGTTTCAATGAAGAATGGTTTTACGTATCAGATTACAAAAATAGATTGTTAATAATATATAACGTACTGCAGGTTTACAGGATATCGAGTTACCCGATATGTACTACATGCATTCAATACTTGATTGTGAGATTCACAACAATATAAGTTATATCATATATAATATTAGATGAATATGTTTGATCAATTGTATAAAATTACCTGTTCAGCAAGTTTAATTGATTAAGAATTGATTGCGTGAACATGAACTGAACATCTTCATGGGTTTTTATCTCGCTGAACAAATTTATGCTTAAAATGATAATAAAATGTGAAGTTAAAACTTTTATGAAGATTTAATTTTTCTCGTTTAAGAAACTCACCATTTTGCAAAATTAAGGGTATAAATCAAGTTTAAAATACAGTTTTAGGATTTTTCCGTATGGTGAATCAAAATCTAATCAAGTCTTTGCAAAGTCAATAATTCAATTCATTTCTGCACGGTATTAAGCAGTTTAATATACCCATCTTTTCATATTGATAAATATGTTTAATTCAACAAATCCTTTATAATCTATGATTTTTGAATTTGTTGAATATTGAAAAAAATCAAATTTTTTTTAATATTATTATTTGTAAATGATGCTTCTTATTTTCTCCAGGAAAAATTTGAGATTTTCAATGAAAAAGTTACTTACACAGGAGTTCCATGTTCCTCTCTTATATGTTCGTCCAAAGTACAATTTTGAATCATTGACTCACAATACGAGCACGGACGCTTCTCAATATCATCATGCAATCTCTTCCTACGAATCAAAAACTTTCGATATACCAAAATGATAAGTTAAGCTTTAAAAGATTATGTTTGATAAAAGAAATTTTATTTTGTAAGAAATACATTGCCACAATTTCAATCATTTAATCAAGACAACCGATAAAACTTGTAAATAGATAGAGGTGTATTGGATGTTATTTTAAGGCAAATAGGTTTATCAGAAGATTAAAAAAGATCAAACAAATTTGCTGTTTTATTCTTATAAATTTTGGCGCGAAATGTTAAGTTTATTCCTGTCTGACAGAGGTATTTTTCCCCCTCCAACTAAAACAATTAAAATAATATTAAAATTATTATTATCATTATTATTATTATTATCATCAATATAAACAATTAATTTTAGAATCAAATTGGTTGATGAACTAGAGTTTATTTTAAATTTGTAAAAACCTCCCCATAAATTGGGTGATTGAAGACAAAACAGATTAAAATTTAGCATTTGAATAAAAAAAACTCATATTTCACCAATATTTCACCGATATTTCAATGATTTTTCACCAATATTTTACCGATTTTTCACTGTTATTTCACCGATATTTCAGAGGCCTTTTGAAAACTTAGGAAAACAACTGAAATAAAACCGCCTGATTATTTTAAACCCTTTTCAAACTTTTAAAAATAGAAATGTAATAAAAAAATTTTTGGAAGGCTTTTCTCACCCGATCTTATTATAAACGGCATTTTGATTATTCTGAAAGTTGTTTCTGAATATTAGTAAAATAGAAATTAAATATTATTTCACATCAGCCTAGGAATTCAGCTTTGACTGGAGATCTGAATGATCAAACAAATATAAGAACATTCCCGGGGTTTTAACAAGTTACAAATTTTTTGTATACAAATCGGGGAAGAGGTAGTTATTATCGGACAAGCAAAATAATACAAATTATTATAAATAGATGAGTGTTAAAGCCATATAAAGCACGGTTTTTTTCCTTTAACACTCTTTTATTGAAATAAATGTGTGGTCCCCAATGTTTTATTCCAACTATTGAAATGTGTAAACCAATCTGTACCACTGCTAATCTAAGGTTCTGAAGTTATGTAGGACCTTATCAAGTCTGCATNCTAAACAGTCCCTTTAACCCTAAACAGTCCCTTTAACCCTAAACAGTCCCTTTAAACCTAAACAGTCCCTTTAACCCTAAACAGTCCCTTTAACCCTAAACAGTCCCTTTAAACCTAAACAGTCCCTTTAACCCTAAACTGTCCCTTTAAACCTAAACAGTCCCTTTAAACCTAAACAGTCCCTTTAACCCTAAACAGTTCTTTAACCCTAAACAGTCCCTTTAACCCTAAACAGTCCCTTTAAACCTAAACAGTCTCTTTAACCCTAAACAGTTCCTTTAACCATAAACAGTCCCTTTAACCCTAAACAGTCCCTTTAAACCTAAACAGTCCCTTTAACCCTAAACAATCTCTTTAACCCTAAACAGTCCCTTTAAACCAGAATACTTAAACCGTCGTCAAAGTAATATCATGCGCTTTTACTTTCTTTTAAATATGCTTTTGTATTTAAAATTTCTATTTAGAAATTATTCCACAAATCATGAAAAGAATTATATTGCCTCTGTATTTTTCTTATATTCTCAAAATGTGAAGAGAAGTTAATAAAAAGTAAAAATATTGAGATTGTTTTTTTGGTTTTTTAGAAAAGATTGGATAGTATTGCCAACAATTTAGTTTTTTGTCAAAACATGAAAAAATTGTTATTTAAATAGTTTAGAAAATGTGAATTGATAAAGAATCTGTAAGGAATTCCTTATTTTTCATAATAATTGATTTTAAAGAAAACGTTTTATTGATTTTAAAGAATTTAACGTTTTTAAAAAATGTTACAAGATGAAACCAATTGGAACTCTCTTTTCCAGACCCTATCTTAGCATCTCACAAGTATTCAAGGATTAATTGTCTTCTCTGTTAAATCTGACCCTTCCTTATAATTTTAGACTGGTCAACTTTCATAATATCCCCGACGTCTAATCATTAATGGTTTCAAGAAAGGACGGTTCAACCCCTTCCCCCCCTTTATTTGTACCACTTCCCCCTCTTTAATAAAAGAACAGAAGCAAAGTTAAATATTATTCACATCATAACTTATATTAGTAAATAAAGAAGGAATTTAAATAATGCTCTTTTGTATTTTTATAACTTGTATATCAATTATGTAACATTGTAATATTGTAGAGAATATTCATTTAAACTTGTTTAATTTGTGTAATATTGCGTAAATCTCCGATGCCCAAGCAAAAACCATAGATTTGGGATACTTAGCATCTGGATCTACTCGAAGAAGGTCATCTCATCCGACCTCTACTCAAACCCTGATGAAGGTCATCTCATCCCACATCTGAGAGCCGAAGTTGGTTCTGCAAGCTGTTCTTCTGATGAATCCTAAACAAGAATATAATGTTTAAAACAAGGTATTCTACAAATAGATCAATATTCTCACATTTCTCTTTTCATTTTAAATCTTCTTATCCTTCAAGGGCTTCATTTGCTTTAGTCATGATAAACCTTTAGAGTAGTGGACACAGTTTTTAAACAAGAAATATTTATATTTAAAAATATTGAAAAAGGAAAAATCTTGTTAAAATTTAGATTTTACGATTATTATCATGCAACATATTTATAAAAGACAAACTTCATTTTTTATCAATTTATCTTACAATTGCTTGTTTTTAGTCAGTTTATAAAAAATTAAGACCAAAATAATAAGGCTTTTAATTCTGGGCGTCACGTCGCTCTGTTGAAAGAATTGTTTGTAATTTCGAGCAACAATTTCGTAATTTCGAGCAACATTTTGGTAATTTCGAGCAACATTTTGGTAATTTCAAGCAACATTTTGGTAATTTCAAGCAACATTTTCGAAATTTTGAACAAAAAGTTCGTATTTTGAACAAAAAGTTCGTATTTTGAATAAAAAGTTCGTATTTTGAATAAAAAGTTTGTATTTTGAATAAAAAGTTCGTATTTTGAATAAAAAGTTTGTATTTTGAATAAAAAGTTAGTATTTTGAATAAAAAGTTCGTGTTTTGAACAAAAAGTTCGTATTTTGAATAAAAAGTTCGTATTTTGAATAAAAAGTTCGTATTTTGAATAAAAAGTTCGTATTTTGAATAAAAAGTATTTTCAAAATGTTTTTAGTAGTTGAATATTATGTCTGCAATGTGCATGCCTACGCAATGAAGCATGCATTAAAGTTTTGATGTGTTTTAATGTTTAAAATCCCAGATTTTTAACTTATTTAAAATTTCTTGATTCTTATTAGGGGGAGAAAAATTGTAAAAATGACGAAAGCGTTTGAGCTTCAGTGGCGGATACCAGTTCATCCCAAACTACTGGAAGGAAGCACGTTTGATCGGTACTTTCACTTTTACTTGAGATCGAATTAAATTATTCGAATTAACGTAATTTCAACAAAGTTTCCATGCATGTCCGACTCTCAAAGGAATAGTAAAATCGTTCGATCAGTAAAAAAATAATAATTTTTTTTCAAAAACTTTTAAAAAAATTGTTTAACAACGAACAAAATCGTTTATGAATGATCGGTTTTTTTGCTTATTTTAAAAACAAATTTCGTTTTTTATTTCTCTGAATGATCCAAGTGGTTCGTTCGTTTTTTCTAAAAAGTCGTCTTCATTATATTGATTTAATTGATATTTTTCATATTCAGAACAGAAAAAAATCTTATCAATAAAATTTGAGGAAATGGGAAATATAGTTTAACTTGTCTGTGTACTGTACAATACTGTACTGTACTATACTGTACTGTACTGTAATGGGAAATAGTTTAACATGTCTGTAATTTTAGATGGAAGAAATATTTTTGACTTCCCTATGTATATGAACTATCAGGGCTATTAACTGTAAATTGTAAATTATCCTTTTTCAGAAATTTTATTATATTAAAAAGATTTAATAACACACATTTATAAATTTGTTTAGCTATTTCAAACATAAAGTTTTACAAAAGATTTAAAAATAGGCGACAATGATCATTCCTCATTACATAACATTTAAATTATGCATTCTTTGTATTTAAATTCTTGTAAAACTAAAACTTTCCAAGTTTCCATGCATGCTCCAATGGGACATCAAAATATAATAAATAGATATAAATTATAAAATTTCAACATTTTCTATTTCTAAAGGTGGACAGAGGACAAGGACAACGGGAGTGATCTGGAGGAAAAATGTTTATTTAAGGTCGCAACTGACGTTAAAGGAATTATTTCATGTAACCTTAAAAGGGAGTGACCTTCAATGTAAAGTACTTGAACTGGGAATGCATTATTATTAAAAAAATGTTATGATTCATTTGAGACCTATAAGATGTTCATATAGTTCATATTTGTTCAGCAAGAGCACAAATTCAATCTTTAAAATATTGAATTTGAGCTCTTGCTGAACACATATGCACTTTTAAAACATCTGATAGGTCTCAAATCAATCCTGAACAGATGCTCAATACTACTGCAATCTCAGTTCAACTACCATACATTGACGGTCACTCCCTTTACAACAGTACTCTTCTCGGGCAGCCATAATACATTTGAATTTCCGAGCTGGGTCAACCTTTCCGGTCCCAGTTTGTACTGTACGTAGCTCTATGGACAGGAATAGCCGGTGCAACAAGTTTGACTTTATGCTTTAGTCTGAATTTACTTTTACTAAAGGGGCAGAGGTGCGTGTCTTAAAAGCCTTATTTGGCTAATCAAAAATATGCAGACGATTGAAATCAATAGTTATAATTTTGAAAACTGATTTTTTTTAATTGTGATTTCTCTACAAAAGTGGTATGCGCTTTTCTACCGAATGAAAACAAATAGGAATTATTATTACCCCAAGATATTCCAATTTAATAATTGTATAAAGGATTTAAGATTGCCGTTATAGATCGTGCATTTCCATTTTTGCATGAAAGGTTGCTCCCTTTGTCGACCTTATTCATACCAAACAGGCTGACATACGCCTTTTTGCCGTGTTTTCGATTTTTGTTTTTCGTTAACGCAGAATTTTCAAAATGTGGTTTTGACAATTTTTAATGGTTTAATACTCTTATACGTAAATCTCAGTAATTTTAAAAATAAATAAACAGCCATGAAATATGCAGGAACAGCTTCAAAGAACTCAATTTATTATTTTATTTTAAAAGACTAAATATCTGCAGCATTCCATTATCAGTAGGCTTAAAAGACGACATTTTACACATTTTTTAAAGACACAGTTCTGAGTTAAACTGAATTTGATTTTTTTGTTTTCAGGTTGATTCTGACGGATTCTTTATATTCTGGAAAAGTGAGGGTCGAGAAGGAGATGTTCTGGATCTTTCTCAAGTTAATGATATCAGGTCAAACCATAACTTCAACAAAGGGGTTCATGATATAAGAGCTGAGATTTTTAAGCTTAAACCCGAGTAAAACCTAGTCTTAGCGTCTGCTTAGACCCAAGTAAAGCTCAAGTCAAGACTAGGGTTTTGGATGGCCTTAAGTTTTGTAAAAACCAACCGCCTCGGGTTTTCGCTTTTTACAATTTGGGTCTTCAACAGCTGATGATTGTAAATTTGTTAAAACTATGTTATTTTTACATTGAAAATCTTGGGAATTATTTGCAGTGTCAAATTTGAGAGAAGGTATGAAGTTTGAATTTTCGAAATTTGCATCTTCTTGTCGCGACTCATCTGACGGCAATCTGTCTGCTATATAGAGAAAACTTTCTAAGCAGTCTCTCATTGGTCAAATCAGAACCAATCCTGACTTGGGTACTATCGAGCCCGAGTCCAGGTTTTACTCAGGTTTAAGCTTTTAAAATCTCAGCACTGGTTAAACCAAAACACAGGGGTTCAGATACCAGGTAAAACATAACACAGGGGTTCAGATATCAGATTAAACCAAAACACAGGGGTTCAAATACCAGGTTAAACCACAACACAGGGGTTCAGATACCAGGTAACCACACAGGGGTTCAGATACCAGGTAAAACACAACACAGGGGTTCAGATACCAGATAAAACACAACACAAGGGTTCAGATATTAGGTTAAACCAGAATACAGGGGTTCAGATATCAGGTTAAACCACAGCACAGGGGTTCAGATATCAGGTTAAACCAAAACACAGGGGTTCAGATACCAGGTAAAACACAACACAGGGGTTCAGATATTAGGTTAAACCACAACACAGGGGTTCAGATATCAGGTTAAACCAGAACACAGGGGTTCAGATATCAGGTTAAACCAGAACACAGGGGTTCAGATATCAGGTTAAACCACAGCACAGGGGTTCAGATATCAGGTTAAACAACAGCACAGGAGTTCAGATATCAGGTTAAACCACAGCACGTAAGGGTTTAGATATTAGGTTAAACCAGAACAAAGGAATGAAGATATCTTCAGGTTGCAACTTCTGTATTGCTAAAGGGACTGTAAGCGTATTTTCAAGTGACCCTCCATGCATAGATGACAATGCTCAATTCACAACGGTACCCTTGAAACATATATGTCTGTCAATATTGTCGAAGATATTTTTGTTTTTCTATATTTAAAGCGTTTAATTCTGCAAATAATTCCTTTATGTTTTCTTCCGTAGAAATGCGCAAGCAACTTTTGCAGAGAAACCACGAATTGAAAATAATCAGTTTTTAAAGCTGATTTATATCTAAATTAAACTTGATCAGACAAAGTTTGGAAGGGCACTGATGTGGATCAGACATTGCCATCTTTGCATGTAGGGCAATTATAATTACGATTAGAATTCACCAAGAATCTGATAACATGATTGATTAGAACAAGATTAAAAACATCTTCTCTTTGATGAGATTTCGAATTTATATGGAGTCAGCTGGTTTTCACGGATTAAGCACTTAATGGCTTCAAAAGTTTTTGCAAGTTTGTGGATTATCGTTATCTCTTTAAATACAAGTTCCAACCTCTGAATTAGTAATCAGGGAGACTTCACTTTCTTCCCTTTCTACAAAATTGTATATTTTTTAGATTTTGAAAAAAAAAAGATTTATGCATTTGAATTAATTAAACCCGATTATAGTTACTCATATCTAAGGTTAATAACGCGATCAGTCTTGACTAAGTTTATTCCAATACAGTTAGAACCTGCTTAGACATAGTTAGTTTAGCGTGAACATGGCTTCATTACAGCCAGGAAATACTTATATCTAGTCAAATTCAAGTGACAAGACTTCATACAATCATGGCATACTTAAATCTAGTTAGTTTCGCATAAAAAGCCTTAAAAACATACTTACATATAGTTATTTTCAAGTGATAAGGGTTCAATGCAGTTATGTGTTAAAAGACTTCAATGCTGTAAAGACCTATTTCGATTTATTTAGTCCCGCATGAAATGAGTTCAAAAGAGCCAGGATTTGCTTATATCTGGTTATTTTCGCGTGACAAGGTTTCAATAATCAATAACAAGGTTGGGAAACATGTGGGACTGGATTTAGGGAAACCTTACGATAATTCCTGTACCAATCATACACTAAGAGAACAAAATTAAGAAAAGAAAAATAATCATAATGAAAATAACAATTATGATATTACTAGTATTAATAATATTAATGTTCAAAATATCTTAATATCAAAAATATATATATTTTTTAATATCAAAACAATAAATGTTTGGATTCATTTTCATAAGAATTGGTTCTATCGGGGACATTTGTAAATGTAACCGTTTGCAATATGCATAAAATAGGTTAATTGTTATAATACATAATTTTAACTAGGAACGATGGAGGGGCTCAAAAATCTATAAATCTTTTAAAAATCTTAAAATACTTTTACTTTATGAAAACCATATTTAGAAAGTTTGGAGATAAATATCCTGATCAAGCATTTATAATCTGCTCTGGACTGGATATGGTGAATTTAAACTATTGCCACGTGGTGTGCCCGGATGTTGCAACAGCTAACGGTAAAAAATCCGCCATCTTGGATTTGGTTTGGCACAGTGAGATGTGTACAACCTTGGAATATATGGACGATATTTTATCAATCTACTGTGTTTTTTGCTGTTGCTACAAAGCAAATACGTAGTGTACACAATACACTTCATAATAAAACTATTTATTAGATTGTTTAAAATCATTACGTGAGTCTGAGCATTGTCTTCACATTCCACAGTTTTCTGGGTCCCACTGTAAAAGTAATTTTATTAAGTTGCAACTTGTTAAAATAATATTTCTTTAACCTTTTGTTCTTTTTTAAAGATTACATTTTATTAAAAAAGATTCTTAAAAAAGGGGTTTGAATGATCAATATTTTTATATTCACATATGTATCAGTTAGTATAAATTAAATAAAAAATAACATTTGTTGTCCCTAAAGGCCAATTTCCCGGGTTGTTACGATCAAATCTCGGTATTTTTGTATTGCAAAAGTTTGTATTTTTTAATTTGCGTTGTAATCTGGCATCCCCCATCCAAGCTTCATTCATACTGAGAAGAGGGCGGCTGACAAGAATCCATCTGCCTAAGGGCTTCTTAAGCCTGAGAATAGTAGAGTGCAGGAAAAAAAATAAAAAATGTTTTCTATATAGTGTGGAAGGAGGGGCTGCGACCTCAAACTAACTCTATCAAGAAGAACAATATCTGTCCTATGTCCAGTTTACAACGACATTGGAAGAAACTACTTCTAAACTCCACCGTTGATGGCAAGGTGGCGGTCAAGACAATTGCTAAAACTTTCGCGTCAGGTGACATATTTTTTCAACTCAATAAAAACTGTAAGTAAATGCCCTTCGAAAAAATCTATTGTTCGCAATATTGAACTTGTAAAAAGGAAATCGAAAGTTTTATTCGAAATGCTGAATATTTTGTTATTAATTTGGATCAAAATCTCCTTAAACCAAAATGTTATACAAAACTATAACGTTGGATACAGTCCTAGAAAACCCTTTAGCTTCACTTTAATAATCTGCAAAAAAAATACGGTGGTATTCGATTATATCAACGTAATGAAGACGACTTTCGATTTAAATTTTATTTTTTTATCAAGCTTTGAAACCGTATGTATACAAAAAAAAACATGGAAACAGAGAGAATCTGTCAATTAAAAAAGCTTCTATTTAATTGCTTGTAAACTTGTAATTCGAAAAAGCTTGCTTACAATTAAACTTAAATAAAAAGTCGTCTTCATTATATTGCTAAAATCGCCTACCACCGTATAATTTACAAAAATTCAAATATTTTTTGCAAAATCTATATTTTAGCAAAAAAAAATGTGGCAAAATGAATAAGTGCCCGAAATATGACAAGTTAAACATTTTTTAAAAGTCCTTGACCAAGCGAATTAAAATTTGAAAATTAAATTAAAGTTATGTCCTAAAAAGGTTAGGGGCGGGGGGACCCCCACTTAGCCGGAATCACTCAGCCGGAATCGGGTTTTACATCATGAATAAAATTATTCTTTCGTTAAAATTTGTGAAATCTAGGAAAAACTGAAAAGCTCGTTTACCAAACCCTGGCTGACTGTGGATTACCAAATGAGAAAGGAATGTCGATTGAACCAGATCTTTTCACATTCGAGGTTTTCTATAAAATCTACCAGGCTATCTGCCCCAGGTATAAATCTACCAGGCTAACAAAAAGTTCAATTTGGTGGTTTTTCATTTTAAAGTTTTAAAGGCCCGGCATCATTGTGAATCAGGCAAGGAGGGTGACTTGAAATTACACTACAGTGATAACCATTAAACAATGTAATCAGAAGAAGACATTTAAGCAATACGTGTATTATATGCTGTTACAAAGCAAAAAGCTTTATTAGACACTTATTAAATCACTAATTAGTAAAATGGGTCTGTTTACACTGCACAATTGATAAGTCTCATGCTCTTTGGACTTTTCAAAATTGAAACTTGATTATGAAGTCGGTTTTCTATTCCAGATTTTTCTGGTTAGCACTTTTTCATTCCCTGTGGCTGTAAGTCCCATTCTTTTCTTTGTGGGTAACCTTTACGTAGCTTTAACTCTGTATCCCAGTTTTAAAAGATATCCTTTTCTCCTTACAGGACGGATATTGAAGAGTTGTTTAAATCCTTGACGAAGACCGAGACGGTCGACTGCATGAAGTTGGCGGAGTTTATGAACGACAAGCAGAGAGACGGCAGGCTGAACGAGATCACATATCCGAAATACGGGAAGAAAAGAATTCTTGAAATAATTAATAAATTTGAACCAAGCGAGGAGGTGAAAAAACAAGAGTCTCTCAGGTTAAAACTTACATTTTTGTTAAAAAATTACAATTTATATGGGACAAGTTGGTTTACACTTTAGGATGTAAATTAAAAATATTCTCAATATTACCCATGATGATAAAAAAAACATGCTAAATTTATAACTCTCAATGAAAAGAAAACTTCCAAAAGAAAGATGGGGGTAAAAAAAAAAAAAATGTTAGTTTATGAACACTTAATAATTTTCAGTCGAGAGGGTTTGATTAGATACATGATGTCGGATGAAAATGCTCCAGTTTATTTAGAACGGCTTGATATTTACCAGGTTATATGATCCTTTTATACAATAATATAATAATAATATTTTTAGAGTAAAATTCACAATTAATTTAGGAGATGGGCGCGAAGCGCCCTCTAAGGCTAGAAAGAAGGGCGCGAAGCGCCTTGAATTTCTAGTAATGTATATTATATATGAATAATAAATATCTTTATAAATATTAGGATATGGATCAACCCTTGTGTAAATACTATATCAACTCTTCTCATAACACCTACCTCTCAGGTTAGTTATTTTACACCTACCTTTCAGCTTAGTTTTTTTTCCATAAAGGGTGATATACATATATACATAAATATTTTCTGACATAAGGGATTTCTGATCTATGGATTTCTGATCTACGGATTTCTGATCTACGGATTTTCCGACAAAAAATGTATTTTGTCTTCAAAAGGTCGTTAATGAAGGGTCGTCGTTAACGGTCATAAAAAAGAAAGGATCGTTGTTAACGATCATAAACAATCATGAAAAATTCAAATAATTGACTACAAGTGCCATTTTACAAATAAACAAGGATTTTAGTACAATTCACGTCCATTTTCTAGTAAAATTGTAGCTTTTAATTCAGCCACTTTTTAACTATTTACTTTGTTGCTTTTTGGGTAAAATTTTTGTAAAAATTTGTTAAAATTTAGGTAAACAATTTGGAGGAAAATCCACTGTAGAGATGTACCGACAATCCTTGTTGGCAGGCTGCAGGTACGTTTATGATAATATACAGTAAGGATGATTATATTAAACTTGATTGTCTTCTTTCTTAGAATAATTAACAAGAGCAGATATAGTCTAGGTTAAAGATCGACAGTAATTATCAGAGAAAATTTTGAAATTTTCCTTTTAAAAAGTTTCTAAGAAATCCGTAAAATGTTTTGTACATAATTTTTCTATCAAAAAATGAAAGAAACCAAAATCAGGATTTTCTGAGGAAGAAATTTTATTTGCAGCAAACATACTTTATCTGAATATTTTTCCTTGAAAGTTACATTAATCTAAAGTAAAGTTAAATTCACGTTTTTACTCAAACGTCTTTATTGAAGTGCTATTGAGAAGACCAAAAGAAATTGGAGTTGACAAAGTTGGAACACATGCAGTAGTAATGTAACATAAATTTGACCTTCTCCTCCTGTCTACCTCACAGTGAGGAATGGTTGATTTTTTTAGTCTGGGTTTGTGTTCAGAGCTGAAAACTTTAGAATGAGATATCCCGTATCTCGATTACTTAATCTGAGTATCCAAAGGACACACTTTTGATTTTCTTCTTCTTTCTTGGATACAGTAGAGTAAAATCGAAACCCGGGTTTTATACTTTAGAAAGTCCCTCCCGTTTCTGTATATTAATCTTAAATGGCGCGCAAAATTTTTAATTTATCGGCTACTTGTAAGCGACTCTGATTGGTTGAATTTTATACACTTTTCAGGATACAAGTACAAGATTAGGTTAGTCTCGATATTAAGAAAAAGAGAGGATCAAGCATTGATCTCGATATCCGCCATTCTAAAGTTTTCAGCTTAGATCTCCTTACAGGAACATAACTTAGAAATAGGGATGTGGCATTAAGTTAGTGTTTTGTCTATACTTTCTTCCAGGGCCTGCACAGGAAATGTTTATAAAATTGTTCATTCTTCACATTTTTTTTCTAACACTGTGCCAAATGTTGATCCTGAAATAAAAATTTCTAATTTTTATTTTGCATTTTTAATAGATAAAATTGATAATATAATTACATATAGTCCGTACAGTTCGTATTACGTCACCAGAACTTTAGCCAATGGTAGTGCAGTATACTGGTCACGTGATTTCCGTCTGTATCACGTGACAATTATCCTGACATAAAATAAATGCAAAAAAACAAGTTACTAAAAGCTATACTGTTCAAAACGAGCGTGCTATAAAGATCGTTTTTGGATCGTTAATGGATCGTTTTTAGATAGTTTTGGATCGTTTTTAGATCGTTTTTGGATCATTTTGGGATCATTTTGGGATCGTTTTTGGAACGTTTTTGGATCGTTTATGGATCGTTTCTAGATCTATTTTTAGATCGTTTTTGGAACGTTTTTGGATCATTTTTGGATTGTTTTTGGATCGTTTTAGGATCGTTTTTGGATAGTTTTTGGATCAATTTTGGATCGTTTAAGGATTGTTTTTGGATCGTTTTTGGATCATTTTGGATCGTTTTTTGGATCGTTTTTTTACCGTTTCTTTGATTATTTTTCCATTTTTTGAAAGGATAAAAACTTATTTCAGTTATAAAATTTTTGGAATTTTATAAAAAAAAATTTTAAGTGATCCACAACGATTAACACTACTAAGAAATAGATAAAGATTTCTGTTCAACATAAAGTTCTATACACGAGTGTCCTTCCTTTCAGGTGTGTTGAACTAGACTGTTGGAATGGGGATGAAAAGGTGAACTTTGAGCCAATAATAACCCACGGAAAAGCTATGTGCACGGATATCATGTTTAAAGACAGCATCCTGGCAATCAGGAATTTACACAATCTTTGCAACCTGAAGTTGTGTGGACCTTTGATATTTTAACCTTTGAATTCTGCAAGATCTAATATATAGTCAAAGTTAAAAATATCAAAGATAAACATAAACTTTTTCATAATAAGGAAAAATATTTAAATTTCTTTGTTTCATTTTTATGTGGACTTGGAATAGTTTTACAAATATTAAAAAATGATGAAAATTTTGTAAAATTTAAGATTGGTTGGGTCATAATTAAAAAAATTACAGTTTTTGATTTTTCTTTCAATATTTGTGTTTGTGCTTGGCGTAGAGACTGTGCGTTTGTTACTTCTGATTATCCTGTAATTCTATCCCTGGAAAACCATTGTAACAGGTAGAGGTGTTAATTCTTCTTAAAATCAACAAAAGGCGAAAGTTATTTTTTGAGTTTTCAAAGCTAATCAATCTTTGTTTTTAGAAAAAAAGGGTTAAAAATATAAAATGTTAGATTTTAACTCTTAAACAACAAAATTATATGATGATATGATAGTTTTACTGAAAAAATATAATTTTTTTATTTGATTTGATTTAAAATTATTTTTCTCTGTTAGAGAAAACTGATCTTTATTATTTTTACCTAAAATTTCTATAAAAGTTTATGGGGATTAGACGTAATCTAGAGAATAAATCAACAAAAGGATTGGGGAGTTTTAACCTCTTCTTGATCGTTTTAATATTTTTGAAGAAGATAAGAAAAGGATCGTGTTTTGAGCGTTTGAAGACCTAGGTCCTAGTTGATGTAGGCACACAGATGGGTTTAACACGTATCTATCACTTAGGCAGCAACAGCTGAAGATGGCAAAGTATATGGAGGAAATATTTGGAGATCTCCTACTTAAAGATTTTCTTAAAGAGTATCCAATGAAAAAAGGTATCAAATTAAATTATCTATAATAGTCAACAAAATTTTCCTTTTATTTTAAATAACCAAATTGAACAACAATTTTAAGTTTTTAATGCCTTTTCAAAAATAACTTTCACGAAAGAGGGTAAATGCCAAAAAATGCAGGATTCATTTGTTACGATTGATAAGATGTTTTTTACGGTGTAAAATTACTAAATAAAAGTGTGCAAACTTTATTAACCAGAAAACAAATTTTTCTATAAACTGATTTGTGGTTCAATAAGAGGTGGTAAACATGATATTAACTCTTATCATCGAAAATAGGTCATTTTAATCAGTCATCTGTTTATGAGATGTTTGATTATTCAAAAATGTTATTACATTTTTCTTCTGTATTATTATGTATTAAATAATTGTAAAAAACATACTTTTCCTCTGATTAAGTACCCTCCTGGATTATCTAGTCTGGTGAAATTTGAAAACAAGTTTGCGCTCTTGCTTAGTAATGACATGTCGGTAAAGTGTCTTTTCATGGTATCAAATGAATTCTAAAATTTCTCTCGAAAATACTGAACTCCAAGTTCAACTACCATACCTAGCCAGTCTCTTCCTTTAAAAGATATTTTTTGCAAGATGCTGTATGAATAAAATTTTAAAATTATACAAAAGCACGATGCATTTATACTTTTTTTCAATAGGAGTAGAGATGCCCCCTCCCAGTGCTCTCAAAAGGAAGATACTGCTGAAAAACAAAAGATTAAAGCTTGACGTGGAAAAAGCAGAGTTAGAACTGTATCTTAAGGGAGAACTCCAGGTATAGAATATAATTTAGAATGGAGCACACAGGACTAGAGCTGTATCTTAACAGAGAACTCCAGGTATAGATTATAATTTAATATGGAGAACACAGGACTAGAGCTGTATCTTAACAGAGAACTCCAGGTATAGATTATAATTTAATATGGAGCACACAGGACTAGAGCTGTATCTTAAGGAAGAACTCCAGGTAAAGATTATAATTTTAAATAGAGAACACAGGACTAGAGCTGTATCTTAAGGGAGAACTCCAGGTATAGATTATAATTTAATATGGAGAACACAGGACAAGAGCTGTATCTTAACAGAGAACTCCAGGTATAGGTTATAATTTTATATGGAGAACACAGGACAAGAGCTGTATCTTAAGGGAGAACTCCAGGTATAGATTATAATTTAGAATAGAGAACACCGGACTAGAGCTATATCTTAAGGGAGAACTCCAGGTATAGGTTATAACTAAAAAATGGAAAAAAAATAGAGTTAGAATTGTATCTGAAGGGTATCTTAAGGGTATCTTTAGGGTATCTAGGTAAAGATTATAATTTAATATGGAGCACACAGGACTAGAGCTTTATCTTAACAGAGAACTCCAGGTATAGATTATAATTTAATATGGAGCACACAGGACTAGAGCTTTTTCTTGACAGAGAACTCCAGGTATAGGTTATAACTTAAAATGGAAAAAAATAGAGTTAGAATTGTATCTTAAGGGTATCTTAAGGGTATCTAGGGATAGATTATAATTTAATATGGAGAACACAAAACTTTACCTCCAAGGTAATTATTAATGCTTGAAGAGAAAAACTAGCCTTAAATTTAAGGCTGAAGCGAAAACTTATGACAGTAAGCGTTGTTAAAACTCCTAAAAGGGATATCTAATCTTTAAAATACTATAAGACTTTTGAAAGTGTTCTTGTAACTTATGATAGCTTAATTGAAACTATTACTATTTAGGCAGAAGAGGAAGCAGGTGAAAGTGCTACTGGGGGTGATGCTGAAAAGAAACCTGATGAAACAGGTAAAAAATGCAAACTTTTTCTTTACAGAAAATTATAAAAAAAAAACAATTTAGACCATAGAGATTGGAGAAAACCAATGAAATATTGAAAAATTAATGAACTAGATCAGTTTTTTGTTTTCTTTTTGCACCTTTTATTCATCTCGATTAGCATGAGCATTAAAAGCCAAACTTGTGTTGTAACTTTGTAAAATCTCTAATATTATATGTTGTTTAAAAACAAATATTTTAGGAGATGCTCCAGCCCAACCAGCCCATACTGGAGCCACAACTCTCATTCATCCTTTACTATCCAGCTTTATCAATTACATTACATCCGTCAAGTTTACTGGCTTTGATGAGGCTTTCGAGAAGAATGAGACCTACAAGATGTCTTCATTTGCTGAAACCACCGCTCTTGGTTATCTAAAGTCTCAGGCGCTTGAGTTTGTAAACTACAACAAGCGTCAGATATCTAGGATTTATCCGAAAGGTGCTCGTGTAGATTCCTCCAACTATATGCCTCAGGTGTTCTGGAACTCTGGTTGTCAGTTGGTGGCCCTAAACTTTCAGACTCCAGATCTGCCCATGCAGCTGAATCAGGGAAAGTTTGAATACAATGGTGGGTGTGGTTATCTCCTTAAGCCAGAGTTCATGTGCAGAGAGGACAAGCAGTTTGACCCTTTTGCAGAGACACCTGTGGATGGAGTTATTGCTGCGCAATGCGAGGTCAGAGTCATATCTGGTCAGTTCTTATCAGATAAAAAGGTTGGAACATATGTAGAGGTTGACATGTATGGTCTGCCAGCTGATACCATTAGAAAAGAGTTTAGAACTAAGGTTGTTCCTGCAAATGGACTTAATCCAGTCTACAATGAAGATCCGTTTTGCTTTCGTAAAGTTGTTCTTCCTGAACTTGCAGTTCTAAGGTTTGGTGTCTATGATGACAACGATAAGCTCCTTGGTCAACGTATTCTACCATTTAATGATCTTCAGATGGGATATCGGCACATTGCCCTTCGAACAGAAGGCAATTTTCCTATGGCTCTTCCCATGCTGTTTTGTCAGATTGATGTTAAAATCTATGTACCAGATGGGTTAGGTGACTTCATGGATGCCTTGTCAGATCCAAGGGCTTTCCTTTCTGCGCAGGAAAAGCGTGCTGAACAGCTGAAAGCTCTTGGTATACAAGAAAATGATATTGGTACTGATGTCATTGAGGGCAAAAAAAAACCTGCTGCAGGTAAATATAGTTTTAACTTATTAAATGATTATTTTCAAAAAAAAACTGTGTAAGGTAACATTTGTTATATCAGGAAAAGCAGGAGCTGCTGGAGGGGCGAAGAAGGAGGAAGAAAAGAAAGAAGAGATAAAATTTGATCCTGTTACACCCGATATGATCAAGAAAGATAAGGGATTCGTCAAAGCAAACAAAAAATACTCCAAAGAATATGAGACACTAAAGAAAAAACAGAATAAGGTTGTACACAAAAAAATAAAAAGCCTTTACATTTTTTCTTAAACTCGCATTATTTAGGAGATAGCAGATGTAACAAAAAAACAATGTACATCCTTTGAGAAGCAAGCTAAAGGAAAGAAAATCGAGAAAGCTGAGGAAGTGGATGCAAAGGTAAAAAAGAGATGTAACACAAAATTATCTCCGTATTTTAAACCTTAACATCATAAATTTAGACTGGGATAACTCTATCTTAGAAGTCCGGGTTAAACACTGTAGGCAAAAGTTTTGTATTTTAAACCCATAACTTTATACTTGGGTTTGCAGCATAAAGGAAAATTCGTTCAACATTTTTTTGCATTTCGTTTGCTCGCAAAAATTGCGAATATTTTTGCTTTTTTCGCGAAATTTCGCCTAAATCTGTTTTGCAAAAAATGCAAAATTTTCACAAAATAAGAATTGCGAAAATTTCGAGAAAAAATTCTGAATTTAAAAAATGCTAAATTTTTGCGAAAATTCATCAAAAAAGACAAAATAAAGCTTTCAAAAAAAAAATTCACGAAAAAATTTTGCAAACAAATTTCTGGAAAATCTTTGGAAAAATGCGAAATTCTTGCGAAATACGATTGAAAATTTACGCATTTTTTCGCAAAGCGTTTCGTTTGCTGCAACCCCTACTTTATACGCTTTGAGCAATGTTGATTTCCCCAATGAAGGTTCAACCAGGCGTTCTCATTGGTGACAGAGATAGACTCTAGACAAATCTTCACAATTTTGCACTTGAGTGAACCCTATCATGATTTTTTGATTTTTGATTTTTTCTCCATAATTTAAAAACGGTTTTTACTAGAGAGTTCGAAATTCTTCACTTTTTAAATTCCTTATAATTTAGCACATATTTTGTCAAATATTTGTTTTATGCCTAAGGTCTGGTGGAGGACGGTGAAACGACTGATGTTTCATAATAATCAAAAATATCTCATATTTTAATTGTTTTTAGCGATTAAAAACTGAAGGGATTGCACCATCGAGCATGCAACTAGGGAATTCCTTTGTTATTCTAATAGAAAACCTCTAGTCAAAGCAAAAAAAAAGATAAATGGGGCTCTGGTCCTTTAAAAACATCGACAGCCACTTAATTAGTCCTTTCATTTAGTTGGTTGAGATAGTAAAAGAGCAGACTGCGGAATGGACGGAGTTAATGAACACCCACAGGAAGGCGGAGTGGGATATGGTCAAGATCCACCTTAAAGCCCAGGTAAACATCTTTAATATCGAGAGGGGGATATTTTGGATATTTTGCACCCTCCATCCGTCTGTTTTAAAGTACCAGGAAAGGGGCGTCATTTTTAAATATGTTAAATTTCCCACAAAATTTTCCTTAATATTTTTAATTAAAACTTATTTTTAATGAGCAGGCCTAGAAAAGTTGGACTATGGACATGTATTACACTCCCTTATCTCAACTCTACGGGCAAAATCATAGGGGGGGATGGAAAACACTCCACCCCCCGTCTATATTAGACAAAAATGTCCCAATCCTTATCGGGTTAAAGGGACTGTGCGTGTAAGTTGAATGTATGTGACCCTCCAGCAAAGATAGCAATACCATTGAAACCTTAATTTGACGAAAAATGTCGTTTTTTTGACGCAAAAAGAAGTTTTTATTTCTGTAAAATGTTTGGCAGAAACAGTTCAAAAACAAAATCATGCTTATACTTACGGTAACGTTGTGATCGGTCTTTACCATCTTCGTTTGGAGTGTTACTTGAAATTGGGATTACAGTACTTTTACAGAATGATTTTGTCAACTATATGTTCTGCTATAGGAGGAGATATTCAAGAAGCACATGGAGGTGATACAGGCCCAGCAGATAAAAGAGTTGGAGGCGTCCTTTGAAAGGAAAAATTCAAACCTCTACTTGTTCACAGATAATAGCACTTTGCCAAGAAATTTATATTTTCAAATATGTTCATTGTTCAACCAGTTTTTAACAGTTTAAAATAATCTTTTACAAAAAAACCAGGGTTGTGATATTTCTTTACATAGATGAAACGAAGATGACAATACTTACACTGAAAAGATTAGAAACTCAAAAATATACTTTTGTCCAAAAGTTTCAATTGCAAAATATAAAAAGTATATCAATACTATTACTACATTACAAAGGCAGATTTGACTAACTGCCATCCTTGTAAAGCTTTCTTTCTTGGAACCCATTTGGAAAACTTAACATCATTTTTTTTAATATTTAAAAAAAGGTTTCTATTGTTATCCATATTGTCGATTTCAAGGATAAAATATTATAAATTCTCTTGCAAATTTATAAGCAAGTTTCTCATTCATCCTTGATCAGGAAACGGTTTTCACAATCACGTTTTACTTTAGAATTATGTCTACAGCCCCTTTAAGTAGAGATGGACTTCGTTTTTTTTAAACGAACTAAACAAAAGTAAACCAACAATTTGAAATTATTTGAACAAACTTGAAAAAACTATTGTTTTACTGAGCGAACTTTTCCAAAAGATTTTAACTTAACAAACGATTTTTTCTTACAAATTTTTGAAAAAACGATAGTTTTTTTTTACTGAATGAACGATTATATTGAACAAACATTTTACTGAACAATCGTTAAGTTATAAAAGAAACAAAATATATGGAAAATTAACAAAATATTGAAAATGAACAATATCAATGTTTTTGAACGATTATAAAAAAAATGAAATGGGTCGTTCACAAATGACGAACGAATAAATGAAAAAAAGCGAACGTGCTCATCTCCACCTTTAAGTTCTAATTATTGAGGTTAAGATGAGAAGGAGATGAAGTTTAAGTTCTGATTACTGAGGTTTAATATTGTTGAGTAGAGATGAGAAAGAGATGAAAGCTGGTCAAGCGAAGATCTCTGTAGAAACTGCTAAAGATGTTCAGACTGATGCTACTCTCAAGACTAAAGCAGAGAAGGATAGAAGACTCAGGTAAGCGAAGATCTCTGTAGAAACTGCTAAAGATGTTCAGACTGATGCTACTCTCAAGACTAAAGCAGAGAAGGATAGAAGACTCAGGTAAGTGAAGATCTCTGTAGAAACTGCTAAAGATGTTCAGACTGATGCTACTCTCAAGACTAAAGCAGAGAAGGATAGAAGACTCAGGTAAACTCCACTCTGCTGGACAGTAGGGGAAGGTCAAAATTTGGCAATTGACGACTTTGTGACCTCGTAGCTCCTTAAACTATAATCTTACGCGCGTTTTAAAAATGATTAATAACCCTTTTTTTAGAGAGAAGAACCAGGCTAATACCAAGAAGTTTATCGATGAGAGAAAGAATATGGGGTTTAAACAGAACAGGGTAATTATAACTCATTTTTTATATAGAGTAGTAATCTTTGTGTTTTTTTGTGTTTGTCCAATCAGAGCTAATGAACCCTTTGACTGATAGATTTGCATGAATTATGATTCAGCTGTAGGGTTTCCAGCAAAATGGAAAAATCTTTGCGCGAAAATTCCGCTGTTTTAATTTTAAAAGGTATCAAAATTTTAAAGTTAACATTAAAATCCTTAACGAAAATTGCGCGGAATTTGATTTTGCGCGAAATTATTTTTTCTCTGGAAACCCTAATAACTGACCGTATTTCATTCTATTTAATGGAAACTGTGTTGGAGCCTGGACGGTATTTTATCTTTTTCAAAACCATTTATGCAAAATATAATTAAATGTTAGACAATGTTAAAATCTTTATAATGTCGAATATTTTGCTATACTGATCTGTCGTACGGTACCGCTTTCATTTCTATTAAAAAATAAAAATTTTAAAAAATTATACAAAGAGCATACAATTAAAATTCACAATTTTCATAAAAAAGACATTGGTTTGTATATACTTTTTTATGTAATAAATTCACTATTTCAACTAAAAAGATTTTAAAAGATAATGATTTATTGCCGGCCAGTTTAAATGAACAATTTTTTCCCAAAGGAATTGAATTTTTACCATCAAACTTAAATTGTCTAATTCCTAAATCTTTGCAAACTAATGACGTAAGCCTTTGATATTTCTATGAATTCTATTGGACCGAATAATTTAAGTTTGAAATATCAAAAGTTTACACAATTGGGTTGTAAAGATAGAGGAGTTTGAAAATTTTAATTCGTGACAAAAACTCAGTTCCTTTAAAATAAAATCGTTTATCTCGGGTTTAGGGTTGAAAGGATCCCAAAATCGGAAAAATTCCTTTTCATTGTAAAACTATATATTTAAGTTCTCTAAAACACAGCTTATAAAGAATAGGTTTAGACATCTATACATTTGTGTAAATATGGAGCACATCTATACATGGTTAAGAACTATTAACTATACTGGATTGCAGATTTTTGTTTTCTTGTTCCTACGTTTCCTCTTTCCATGATAGACGATATCTGGTCGCTACAATTCAAATTAATTTATATCTTTTTCCTTTCAGGTAAAGGAGAAATTGAAGAAAACCCACGCTGGTCAAATTGAAGAGCTCGCTAAATGGGTTGAAACCAGGATCAGGTTTTAATTTTTTTATTTATTCATTTATACATATTTGTTAATTATCATTTTTGTTGAGGAAGCAGCTGGAACATTATTTATTATTAAGGTTTTGGGATGAGGAAGCAGCTGAAATATTTATTATTAATGTTGTGTGATGAGGAAGCAGCTGAAATATTATTACTAAGTTTATGTGATGAGGAAGCAGTTGAAATATTATTTATTATCAAGGTTTTGTGATGAGGAAGCAGTTGATATATTATTTATTATTAAGGTTGTGTGATGAGGAAGCAGCTGAAATATTATTACTAAGTTTATGTGATGAGGAAGCAGTTGAAATATTATTTATTATCAAGGTTTTGTGATGAGGAAGCAGCTGAAATATTATTTATTATTAAGGTTGTGGGATGAGGAAGCAGCTATAATATATAATTTATTATCCAGGTTGTGTGATGAGGAAGCAGCAGAAGTATTTTTATTGTTAAGGTTAAAAGTGATGAGAAAAAAGCTGAAATATTATTTATTATTACGGTTGTATGATGAGGAAGCAGCTGAAATATTATTTATTATCAAGGTTGTATGATGAGGTAGCAGCTGAAATATTATTTATCATTAAGGTTGCATGATGAGGAAGCAGCTGAAATATTATTAATTATTAAGGTGATTTCATGAGGAAGCAGCAGAAATATTATTTATTACTAAGGTTGTATGATGAGGAATCAGCTGAAATATTATTTATTATTAGGGTTGTATGATGAGGAAGCAGCTGAAATATTATTTATTATTAAGGTTGTGTGATGAGGAAGCAGCTGAAATTAAATTTGCAAACAAACGCGAAGCTTTCGTCTGATCCAGTTTATTGATAGAATTAAATTGCGAATGCTAATCTAGAAATATATAATTTATGTTTTATTTTTGTAGAAAGATATCATTTTACATTCACCTTAGCCGATATCAGTATTGAATAAATAAACTTATAACAATAATGGTATTTTTTACAAATTGTTTATTCATCCCAAATCCGTGTTTTAGCTATAGTAAGTTCTAAGTCAAAAATATAAGCAATTCGATTAAGTTTTTACTTTTGAGAAAGTTAAAAGTAAGCAAATATTGTTTTGAGTATTTGGATGTGTTTTAATGCATATATCCCTGGCCTTACCGTAGCTATCAGCTTATCTCTTGCCCAAACGCTCACCAAGAAATCAAAAAAAAAAAATTCAAGAGTTTGAATTTTACGAAATTGTCTTTTACACAACTTGTAATTCATAAGTTTGTTTTGTTTATCAGGAATTTTGCATGGCACGGTTGAGAAGGAGGCTGGGGGGGGGGAGGCTGAAAAAATGCAAGTTGTTTTGTTGTTTGGTAAATATTTCAAAGTCAAGAATTTAACTATGAATAATCAATCTCTTGCTGTTAATATGTTGAAAAATATAATTTTTCTTAATTCTCGAGTTCTGCCATCATCAAGCCACAGCATGCATACAAGGGCTGTTCATGAATCACTAAAAAACCGGTTTCACATGAATATGAATATCAGCAGTTTAATCTTTTATAAAAGTAGAAAATTAAAATTTTTAATTTTTGGAAAAAATTGATAAAATAGACACACTTTTCAATTGTGTTGATTTTGTTTCATAAAATTCATCTTTATATATTTTGTTCGTCTGTCCGTTTGTATCCAATAAACGTCAAAACGGCTGAACCGTTCGGACCTAATATTATAAGGTAATTCCCATGACCCCAGGGAAGGTTCATGAAAAGTTACGAACATTTGTCTCCATGTTATTTAATTTTCGTAGAATTTTGAAATTCTCGAATTTTCATTAATTTTTCAAAACATCGATTTAAAGTATATATTCTACATATTTTTGTTTATAAAGTTGATATCTCTGTTTGCTAGTTATAGTATTTTCAATAATAATTCAAACACCCTTTGACCGATTTGCCTCAAATTTTGAATTTGTAGAACCACGGAAATTATTGAGTAGGAATTGACGTTTTTATAGGTGAACATTTAGTTTTCCTGGTCAAGATTAGGTTTAAAGCAAGTTGTTAAATAAGTCAAAAGTACTTTTTTTTAATTTTCCAAACTATGCCCATCCCTATATACCCTAGTAACAACAGCCAGTATTTGTGAGCTAGTATTTAAATTAAACATTAACACGAATAAAAATATTTGCTTGAGTTACGAGTAGAGCAATATTTGAGAAAAACATGATTTCATAAGCATAAATTTGCTACAGCTGAGAAGTACAAAGAAACATATACAGAACAATATGAAACAGATATAGAAACCATACTGTTCGTTTATATTGAATAATCGATATAATTGTCAGATTTTCGACTAAGTATTTAGTATACCTAAAGGATTTGAGTCTTTGCCACAAACTCTGATTTTCTAATCCCTATATCTTTTTAATCCAATGGCATAGACCTTAGATATTTCAAACTATGAATTATGTTAAATCAAATAATCCAAGTTCGAAATATCAAAGGGTTACACCTTCCGGTCGCAGAGATAAAAGGATTAAAAAATTTGAGTTTGTGGCAAATACTCAGTTCCTTTGTACGTAAATAATATAAAATATTCTTATATTCTAACAAAACTATCCTTCGCGTTTCTCTTCTAGTAACAATTTAACTTTGCTCTCAAGCTGCCATTTGCTTTGTAAATTGCTTTTAAGGATTTTTCAAAAATAATAAATTTCGGCATTTTGCCAAGCAAAACTTTTAAAATTTTTCCAAACAAACATTTTAAAATTTGATTACAGCATAAATAATATATAACGCAACTGTTTTTAAGACTACTTGTTTTGTTAATGATAAAAAATTAAACCGAAATGGTCGTTTTAAAAACGATCGTTTTAGAAATAAACAAGTGTTGGATATACTTCTAGAAATTTAAAACAAAATTATCTTTTAAAAAAACGAGTTTTTAAAACAATCGTTTTCGAAAGCCAAAAAAAATATTTAAAAAATAACATTACAAACGCTACATATCAAAAAAAAACATTTATAAATCTCGCGTCAGTATTCGTTCCTAATCAATTTTGCTTTAAAAATCTTAATTAAAACGTCCTTTTTTGCTCCAAAAATATGGTTTTAGTTTGTTTTAACTGTTCGTTAGTTTTTACAAATTCAAAACAAAACGAAAAATGTAGATTTCATTTCGATCCTCATCCCTAGTTAGGAAGGAAAGGCTGGAAGGGTTGGTAATGTAAAAATGTGTTGGGAATTCTAAGGGTTGGTTATGTATAAATATGTTAGGAATGGGAAGGATTGATTATGTATAAATATGTTAGGAATGGGAATGGTTGGATATGTGTAAATATGTTGAGAATGGAAAGGGTTGGTTATGTATAATCATGTTGGGAATGGAAAGGGTTGGTTATGTATAAATATGTTGGGAATGGAAAGGGTTGGTTATGTATAAATATGTTGGGAATGGAAAGGGTTGGTTATGTGAAAATATGTTGGGAATGGGAAGGATTAGTTTTGTATAAATATGTTGGGAATGAGAAGGGTTGTACTATGTATTAATATGTTGAGAGGGAAGGATGGATTAATGTATAAATATGTTGGGAATGGGAAGGGTTGATTGAGTTGAGAAGTGAACTCCGAGGAGTGAAGAGCTCTGTGTAAATTATCTCTGAATACAGGCGGGCAAATTATTTCTATTAATCATAATCTTATTGAAATGTTTGTTATTGTTATTATATATTTTATCTTATACTGTTTTAAAATTTTAATATTTAATTCACCATAATATTTTATAATTACTCTTTTAATATTTGTCAGACTATTTTACGATTTAAATATTTTAAGACTTGCAAGACTTTAAGACTTTCTTCTAATTTTTTTGTTTTATTTTATTTTATTTCTTTTGTTACTGTTTTTTCTCCCTATTTATAATCAACTATACCCATTTTTAAATACACGTATCTCAATTCTCAATTGAAAACTTGTTTACGCATTATTGTGATAATAATAACAAAAATAACTTAAGTACCAATAATGATAATAATAAGAATATTAATAATAATGATAACTACAAAAATTGCTGATTTAAACAGGATTGTCCAAAGTTTAAACTGAAATTTCTGAAATTGTAACTTATATATTTTCTCATTTTAGAAGCAAATTAAAAAAAAAACATTTTTCTTACAGTAATAACCAGAAAACTCTGGAATAGAAAGACGACTTTTGAACTCAAATTATGACTTTAGTTAGTCCAATAAGCACGGGAAACAGAAGTTGGTCCGTTTAAAAAGACCCAATTCACTTGATTTGGAATTTTAAAAGTGTCTAGTAAAACTATTTGCTTTCTAACAACATAAAAAACACAAAACTATTGCAACAAAGTCGTCTTCCTATTTCGGAGTTTTCTGGTTGTGACTGTACATCATTTTTTCACTTATTTTCTTCCTTATTATCATACTTTTCCTTCTTCTTTCTACATTTGAACCTGCTAGAACTTGTTAAAACTGGAAAAAACGTATTCTCCAATTCAAAGAACACTGTGGGAATTAGTGATAAACAGAAACATATGTAAACATGATCAAATTACAACACAAGTTGAAATTTAAATTTTCATCTTTAAAAATATTTTTTTTAAATTAACAAAGAATTATTAATGATAAAGCTTATTTCTCTTTGTTAGTATACGTTGCAATACATTGCTATAAGGAAAAATACAAAGTTTCATGTTAGTCTGAAACTATTTAGTTAGAAATATTTTAGCAAATAATTTCGTTGTGTGCATTTTTTATGTTCGTTTGGAGCATTGAGCAAAATACCATTGAGCAAAAAGAGCATAGAGCAAAAATAGAGCAAAGAGCAAAATAGAGTAAAGAGCAAAATAGCAGTATAGAGCTAAATTAGAGCACAGAGAAAAATAGAGCATACAGCTAAAAAATCACATAAAGCAAAACTATAGCATAGAGTTAAAATAGAGCAAAGAGCAAAACAGATTATTGAGCAAAAATAGAGCATAGCGCTAAAATAGAGTACAGAGCAAAAAGACCATAAAGCAAATATATAGCATAGAGCTAAAATTGAGCATAGAGCTAAAACAGAGCAAAAAACAAAAATATATCATATTAAGACAGCTAAAATAGCAAATAAAGCAAAAATATAGAAAAGAGCTAAAATAGAGCATAGAACTAAAATATTGCAAAGAGCTAAATTAGAGCATAGAGCTAGATTAGAGCATAGGACTAAAACAGAGCATAGAGCCAAAACAGAGCATAAAGCAAAAATAGAGCATAAAGACAGATATAATAGCACACAAAGCAAAACTAGAGCATAGAGCTAAAATAGAGCATAGAGCTAAAACAGAGCATGAAAAAAAACTAGAGAATAGAGCAAAAACAGATTATTGAGCAAAAATAGAGCATAGAGCAAAAACAGATTATTGAGCAAAAATAGAGCATAGCGCTAAAATAGAGCATAGAGAAAAAATAGAGCATAAAGCAAAATTAGAGCAAAGAGCTAAAATAAAGCATCGATTAAAAATAGAGCATAGAGCAAAAATACAGTCTACAAACATAGTATAAGAGACTATTAGAGCATCTTGGACAAATAGAGAATAACAGATGAATAGAGCATGGCATAAAATTAGATCATAGAGTAAGAAAGAAAGATAGAGTATGCATAGAACAAACAGTGCAAATAGAGCATTAATTACCTAGATAAATTATCTAGGATTAATTACTATTAGATAGCATCAAATACAAGCAGAGCATAGAAGATGAATAGAGCAATGAGCATAGAGTAAGGTTAGTTCATAGAGTAAGAAAGAAAGATAGAGTATTCATTGTGCAAAGAATAAAAATAAAGCATAAATGATTGATAGAGTATAGCGTAAAAGAAGTACAAAAAGAGGATAGAGTATGCATTGAGCAGAAAGTAGACAGAGCATAAGAGTTCAAATAATGCATAAGTTAAAATAAAACATTGAATACAAATAGAACATTGAATACAAATAGAACATTGAATACAAATANATTGAAGTACGATTAGAAGCGATCAAAGCGCATATTTTTCACCGTAAGCTTGTACCTCCTTTATTTATCGCGAACACTCCCTTTAAGAGGGGCTTCAATAAAAGTGTCGTTTTTATTTTGCCTATAAGATTAAACACGTTGATCCAAAATGTGCTCAATCATACGGAACATTTTGACAATTTCTGTTTTTAAAGCTTAAATAAGCTGATTGTTATTGCTTCTAATGTCTAATGTAAAGGGTTATAGTTAGTTAAAACCACATGCCAAAGCGTTGCTGACCCAATGCAGTCTTGAAAATTGATCAAGGCCAAACGACGCTTTCTACTGGAACTAAGACTATACTCTCAAACAATTCTCCGTTTCTTTTAGAAAATAGAAATTGATCAAAAAATGTTTAGATGCTTGGTTCATTCCTCGGAGGGTTAACATTGATCGTTCTGTGATCATGAAATACATCCTTCCTATTCTATACTTTACAGGTATTTTCTACAGTTTAAACCAGAACTTCGGAGACATCGAAAGAATTATTTTTTACAACTTTTCAATTATACAGTGAAACCCTTAATAACAAATACATCGGAAGAATTTATCAAATGTCGTCTTGGCAATTTTTCAATGAGTTTTATACTATATTACGTAAATTTCAGTATTTGCGAAAATAAATAAATAGCTATGAATATGGGGGAACAGTTTTAAAGAGTTCCATAAAATCATTTAATTAAAAAACAAAATATCTGTAACATTCCATTATCAGAAAGTGAAGAATACGACATTTGATTAATTCTTTCGATGTATTCGTTATTAAGGGTTTCAATGTACCTAAATCTCAGTAAACTGTAAAAAAAAAATCCAAAATAAATTGTTTTCCAAATGCAGACAATTTTGATAATCTCTGAAGCAAAATTTGTTCAGATTTGATCGTCATTCGTCTATTTCTGCCATTTCCTTTTATCTTCAACACCTATTCTATAAATGAATTATGAATTATTTTATATCTTCGTATCTCTGTGGAGTTATTTTGTGTTCTTAAAGGGACTGTAAAATTAAAGGGAGTGACCGGCAATTTAGGGTGGTTGAACTGAATATGTAATATTGTGGAAAAGATTGTAGGATTCATTTGAGACATATAAAAAGTTTCTACGACGTATATTTACTGAGTTTGAGCGCAAAGTCGACGTTCAAAATTATGAATTTGGGTAGGTACGTTTTCAGAATCGGTTTTTTTTAAATTATTGAATAACGACGACAAAAAAGTAAACAAAATTCTACATTAAACTAATTAGTTGTTTAGGAATAAGTTGAGAAAATTAAAATTACCCTTGTCATCGAAAATAAGTAATCTTATTCAATTATTAGTTTCCATAATTTCTCAAAGTTCACAAAAAGTTTCTGCAGATTTTCTGGAATTTTTATTGAAAAGACGACATTTGAAGAATTTGTAGAAATCTGCAAACAAATTCATAGAAAAGAAGAAATTTAATGTAATAAAAATGATAATGATAATGAAAACGAAATAATTGATTCTAACATTGAATATCTTTTAAATTATTGATCAGATAAATGTTTCAAGGGTATATATTTAAATCTGTAATTGGAAAGCTACTTGAAATTACGTTAACGTCCCTGTATTCCCAATTATAAAGCCTTGCAATGTCATATTAGGTTTATTGAAATACATTTAAACTGATTTAATTCTAACCGTATGACTGTTGGAAAAATTTAGCTATTAAAATTCAAATTTAAATTTTTTCTTTTTAACTATTTTTTAGTGAACAGTCTCTTTTTAAAGTTTGTAATATCTCTTGCATTTTTAGTATCGGCTGTGTGGAGACCAATTAGTTTATTTTCTATCTTCATACTGTTCCATCTTAGGTATTATAACATTATTATTGACTAGCTTGGGAACCCTGGGGAGTCATAGTGAGTCCCTCTCAACGAGGTTATTGTGTACAGAGTGATGATCAACGAGATTATAGTGTACAGAGTGGCATTGTACGCTAATCCTTTACTAATTGTATATGCCATAAACTATACCGAGAGCGTACTGCATATTTGTTTATTATAAGTTGATTCTGGCCTAACATAGTATATCAATATTAGTAAACAGTTGTAAGTGTACAGTACAGCTAACTGAGCACACAGGTATGAAACCCCTCCGGTCTTTGTCGTACATCACGATTTTAGCTATTTGTCCCGTGAAATGTTGACGGACCTACTCAACTTAGAATCTCAAGAACAAAGCTATAAAAACATTGGCCTTAATCAAAATTTGAGACAAATCATTAGTCCAAGGGTTCCAGAGTTATAAAAGAACATAACAAACAGACACTCAAACAGAGATTACAACTTTATATGTATAGAACCAATACTGTTCCATATTAGGAANCTGGGGGGCAACATATGCTAAAAATAGAATTTTTATTTTTAAATTAAAAAATATTTTTAAATAATTATTTTGTTTTAAAGTAATTGTATCTATTTAGTATATATAACTAGACAGCCACGTGTTCAATCTGTTTTTCATCAAATGCAATTCTTTATTTTTAGAAATTTATAATAATTTTCAACATTTTGACATGAAGTACACATTTAAACACTTTTTAGTAGTTCACAATTCAAAGTTTAAAAGTTCGATATAACATTCAAAAAGTACGTTTACAACATTCTATTTCATATTATTTAAGATCATTTTTTGCCTTTTTTGCTTATTATCTTAGTTCCCTTTTCAAGGCACAATAGTTGTAATTTTTTGTATAAACATCTAGCAATTTTAGTAGTTCATTCAAAGTTTTAAAGTTCTATATGAAACATTCAAACAACGGTTTGTATCCAATAAAAGTCAAAACATCTCAACCGATCGAGCCCAAATTTTGTGTGGGACCTCACATGACCCCAGAGAAGGTTTATGGATGATAAAAATTTCAAAAATTTGCCTACAACAAAATTAGATTTTCAGTAAATTTTAAAAATCCACGAAATATTTATAAAATTCGCGAACTTTTTTGTTTTTGTGTTTAACATTGCAATGTATACAAAGAGAAAATATTCACAATTAAAATAGACCCTGAAAGCCTACTATTTTTGTTTAGGTATTAACCGATCCCAGTCACCTGGTCTAGCAGGTCAGGATCTGGATCAACATGTTCGAAACAAACGTCATCTGGAAGTTGATAACGTGGAAGCCAGGTAATATATTTTTTTAATTGAAAACATGGAGACCAGGTAACTTTTTATTGAAGATAACATGGAACCAGGTAACCTTTTCCTTGAAGTTGATAACATGGAAGCCAGGTAACATCTTGAAGCTGATAACATGGAAGCCAGGTAACATCTTGAATCTGATAACATGGAAGCCAGATAACATATTGAACTTATAACATAAAAGCTAGGTAGCATTTTAAATTGATAACATAGAAGCCAAGTAACATCTTGAAGTTGATAACATGGAAGCCAGGTAACATCTTGAAGTTAATAACATGGAAGCCAGGTAANAGATATCATTGCTTAGATTTTACTCAACTCAAACATTTTAAATGATATGGAAGCCAGGTAAAATTTTTATTTCTTAGGAACTTTCTTAAACTCGGTTAAAAGTTGTAAATTTATTCCCATTTATGATTTAAGACTACTTTTTTATCTTTAGAAATATTTTGGTTGTTATTTATATTTCTTTGTTTTTGATCCAAAAAAACTCAAGGACGGTCAAATTTTACAAATTTGCATGCACAAGTCAAAATTTAGTAAATTTTAGATTAGTAGATTTAAATCTTCTATGATTCCATTCAGAACTCTTTTTATTTATTACCTGTTGAAAAGAATAAAATATATAACCAAAAAAATGTTTCCCATAATTGTGTTTAATTAAAACTAAAGGAGCTACGAGGTCACGACGTCGGACTAGCAATTTCTAGCGAAGCGTGTTATAAAGGTTTTGATTCTCAAAACTGTTGTAAATCCAAAAGTGAAAAAGTAAAAAACTACGAAATATCTATTGTTATTAATTTGATCGAAAGGAAAATGTTTTCAGAGTTGAAAACTTTAGAATGGGATATCCTTAATCCAGATCGGTTAATTAATCTGGAGATTAATAACAAGAGGAGAGCAAGCATTATTTAATCTGGAGATTAAGAAAAAGAGTGGATCAAGCATTAATTCCGATATCCACCATTCAAAAGTTCCCAGCTCTGTTACAATTTGTATGTCATCCCACTTTTTTCTATCTGATTCGGTTCAAAAATATGCAAGAAAAAAACATTACAAAAGCATATGACTTGAGTTAAATAAATTTATGTTTTAGTCGAAGGAGAGCACATAAATCTGAATATTAGGATAAATGAGAAAATATGTCTGAACTTGAAAAATACATATGACTTAGCCATTTAAACTTTATGCTTCGCGCATTTCTTGAATTTAATTCCTGTTAATTAATAATTGTTTAAACACAGCCAATTAGGTAAAAAATTAAACACATATTTGAAAACATCAATTAATAAGTTCATAAATTAACAACGTAAGCAAAATAAAATTCGCCCTTTCTTGCGGATTTTCAAGTTGCTACAAAATAATTGTTTTTTATCGAAAAGATTGCTGAGGAGAAAGTATCATTTGTTAATTTAAATTGATATTAAATGGATTTTTACTATACAGGGTGTCCCACTTAACATGGAAATATAAAGACGACCAAGTAAAATATTGGACATACATTCCTTCTTGCTTGATTGACCGATTGATCGATGATTTATTGATAAATCGATTTATTTTCCAGATTTCTCTCCTCTAGTCTAATGGATGGAGGAGGAAACTCACGTGGTCTAGCAAACACGTGCTGCAGGCAGAGATGCTCACTTCGTCACCTGATTAACTTCTGCTGAACATCAGCTGATAAAATTCTGCTGAACATCAACTGATATAATTATGCTTAATATCAGCTGATAAACTTCTGCTAAACATCAGCTGATTAACTTCTGCTGAACATCAGCTGATTATACTTCTGCTGAATATCAGCTAATCAACTTCTGCTGAAAATCAGCTGATTAACATTTGTTGAACATCAGCTGATTAACATTTGTTGAACGTCTGCTAATTAACATTTGTTGAACATCAGCTCATAAGTTGCACCTAAACATCAGCGGATTAGTTTCTGCTGAACAATAGCTGATTACTTCCAGCCGAAAACAGTTGATTCGTAAAATGATTGATTTCTGCTGAACATCTGGTGATTATAAACTCCAGCTGAACATCAGCTTATTAGCTTCTGCTGAACATCAGCTGCTTAGCTTCTGCTGGCCCTCAGCTGATTAGTTTTTGCTTAATATCTTCTGATGTATTTCATCTGAACATCAGCTAATTAGTTTCAGCTAAACATCACTGATTAGCTCCTGCTGATCATCAGCTGATTAGTTTTGCATAATATCAGCTGATTAATTTCTCCATTATCCAACTAATTATTTTCTCTAATACATCAGTATAAATGTGTAGATGTGTTGTGTGAAAATCGACCTAAAAATAAACTGAATTTGTTTTTAAAAATAACAGATTAATTGAACATACAGTCGTACTTGAATTTTTTGAACTTTCTACATAAAAATCACACACAAATGATAGAAATTGCAATTACAGATGTTTGAGGGTTTATGTGCAGTACAAATTTTAAGAAAAAAAATGTTTTCTAGTTCATATTCCGGACAAGTTCTCTATTATATAATTTTTACTTTTTGGTAACTATTAAAAAGATATCATTGCTTAGATTTTACTCAACTCAAACATTTTAAATGATTCTTGATTTGATTTTGAAACTAATTAATGATCATTATTGTTAAGCTGTCTATACATTCATTATTTCTTCTTTTTATTCAAAATATTGATATTAAAACTATCACACCATAACATAATATATATTATATATAATATAATTAAATAATTTAGAGAATTAGATTAGAGCAATTAGTTTAAAGATTTAAAAAGATTTTTACAAATTACGGAAGGGGTAAAATTCGGAAATTCAAGCATGTTAAATTCGTAAAATAGAAGATAAGTAATAACACAAGTATACTCAAAAGGGTTTGTACAATTCAGGGAGGGGTCAATTCGGAAAATTGATCATGTTAAATTTGGAAAATATGAGATACATAAGATAATCTATATTCATTGATTAAGAATAATTATAGGACAAATTTTTTAGTAATACAATTCATCTATAAATTTTTTCAAACAAGTTAGATTTTTTGGGTCCAAATATAAAGGTTCCTTGAGATATAATACTGTTTTGGCATAAGAGTCCTTAAAACATTGAATTTGACCCGCCGCAAACTTTATTGGAAGAAGGGTTCGAACTCAGGTGTTGAGGCTTTAATGCTGGTTTGTTTTTAAGTTTGCATTTTCCATTGTGCTTTTCCCATGCATCTCCAAAGGTTCCCCCCGTTGACCCGCCATTACCGGAGTCCTAAACAGAGAGAGTTCTTTATATTCCTTTTATTCCAACATTTTACATGCATGGTTTTCATTAGGAATTCCATTGCGCGGAATTGCGCGGAGTTTATAGGACTGGTAATTGCGCGTAAGTAAAATCAAATTGCGTTGGAAACCCTAATTTTACACAGCTTAATCCTGGCTGAGCTGAAGAATTAATTGGATACCCTTAATCTGAATATCCACTAATTGGATACCATTAATCTGAATATCCACTAATTGGATACCCTTAATCTGAATATCCACTAATTGGATACCCTTAATCTAAATATCCACTATGAAAACTTTACATTTTCTTGTCAATCATCTCTTTTGAGTATCCCTGCTGGGTTCTAACCAATGAGAGTTCTCACATTGATTGTGTGCAACATTTTCCTGGCTTCTGATTGGCTAGTCGGTTTATGAAAAATGTTTAAACAATGGGTAGTCAATATTTATATTGAGAATTATGAATTATTTATATTGTTAGATAACAATTATGATTGCAAAAATAAAGTACAGGGTTATTCATAATACATTATTGGGTTATTGTCCACAATTATTTATTTCCTTGCTGTTAACTTGATTTAATGTTAAGTTTCTTTAATACTAAAATATAAGGAAGGTTTGACCTGAATAATCGGTCAACTTGGGTTCAAGTCTAAAGATAGATTAGGAGAAATTGAACTGTTGTTTTATATCTATTTTTAACTTTTAATTGCCTTTACTAACAAACTGTGTGTATTACTCATAATTTTAGAATATTAAATTAAATCATGAAAAGTCTAAAGCTTTAACTCGCTACCATATCTATCAAATCTCATAATTTAAGTGATCGACATTAATTACATACATATTTAATAATTCAAATAGAGATATACACGAAAAACTAACCGACATTTTTTACTTTAAGCGTTACACTGAAACATGGGTGCCGGGTTTTTAGGCCTAAAACGAGGAGTGTGAAAGAAAACAACAGAGGTGGGGTCAATTAGCCCCCACACCCCATTGTTAAACTTACCTTTATATTTCCCCAAGCATCCTGCACAGAGCTCTAGAAATATAAAATTATATAAATTTATTTTCAAAATATAAGGTTTTCATACAACTATACGAGACTATTAATCTTTACAATATAAGTTTTATTTGCTATAACGTTTTAACCCTAGCCCGCTTGGGCTATTATTGTCTATGTCTAATATAGATTGGGGGGATGTCCCCCCATGATTTTGCCCACAGAGTTGAGATAGGGGAGTTTGATACATGTCCCTGTTCCAACTTTTCAAGGCCTGCTGATTAAAAAACAAATTAGACTTCTGTGTATTTCTAAAACTAGGGTGCAAGGGAGGTTTTAAAAAAAGTTAAAAAAGAATGTCGGAAAAATGTTCAAAATTAAATATTTTCACTTTTGAAAAATATTGACATCTTTTATTTCTTCCATGTTTTTCAAGGGCTTTTCAAATATATAAATTTTAGCCCTGTAGCCTAATGAATAAAAAATTAACCATTTCTGATTTTTTTGAAACACCGACCCGCCGTTTAACTCATGTCCTTTCACAACTATGAAGTTAAAAAAAAATGAAATAGTTTAAGCGTTCTACTGTAAGCCGTTTTTAAGTCATTTAGAAAACTAAGCTATATGGATAAATGGAAATATTGATGAAATTACCATCTTGTATCTGGTTTAAGATTTAATACTGGAGACAAGCTGGAGACTAAACACGTCTAATCTTATATTTATATTTATAGTAAAGTGTTATTTTATAAACATTCTTATCAGTAAAATAGAGCAGACTAGATTAGAAAACAAGTTTTTTACCTTTTGAATGGGAGAGGGGGTTGTAAACAACCTATTTTTCTAAGAATAAACACCCAAGTGTCAAAACAACAAACTTTCAAAATACTCCAAATTTTAAACGACAAGCTTTTAATACACCAATCACACCCCAAACCCTGTAACCATCTCACTACAAAAAAAATATTTAAAAATAAACAGTATTTAAAAAAAATACTCAATTTAAAAAATATTAAACACTCAAGTTATAAATTATCAAACTTTTAAAAACCCAACTTTAAAAAAATCAAACTTTTAAAAAATGGCAACAGTTACAAAACACTTTCAAGCATCAAACTTTAAAGCAGAAAGCTGAAATTTTAAAACATTCAATTTTCAAAACGCCATACTTCTAAAACAGCAAACCTACAAAACACCTGATTTAAAAAAAAATTTGTTATAACACTTCAGGTCAAAGAACGATTAAGATTTTCAACCAAAGCTCAATAACGCCTGATTTCATGAAAAACAGAAACTAGTTTAAAATATTTAATCTGTTAATTATCTATATAATTGTTGAAATCTCTGTTTGTCTGATTGTTTGACCGATTTGCCTCAAATTTTGATTGATGAACTCGTGAGAACCAAGGGAATGTTTTTAGCTTGGTTTTGAGATTCTAAGTTGAGTGGGTCGACTTTAATGGCGAAAATTTAATTTCCCGATAAAATCGTTCAAGTAACAATTTACTCGTGACGTATCTATCCAGGTCTACTTGTTACCAAGATCAACCAGGACTAACTTCTCAGATTCTAACGAACACTCAGGTATATTATCTCAACCAGGATTAACTCCGAGGCTCTAAATGAAACACAGGCCAAATTCTCTACCACCGGCTTAACTCTCCGATTCTAAAGGACACAAAGTCCAAGTCTCAACCAGGCTTAACTCCCTGACCATTCTAAAGGACACACAGTCCAAGTCTCAACCAGGCTTAAACTACCCAGTTCTAAAGGACACACAGTCCAATTCTCAACCAGGATTAACTCCCTGGTTCTAAAGGACACACAGTCCAATTCTCAACCAGGATTAACTCCCTGGTTCTAAAGGACACACAGTCCAATGAAATTGCTTCACAGGCAATTTCTTAACCAGGCTTTGATCCCCGGTTCTAGATGACACACAGGCCAAATCTCAACTAGGCTACACTCCCCAGTTATAAAGGACACACAGTCCAAATCTTAACTCATATACACAGGAAATTTCTCAGCAAAGATCTCTGCTCGTCATGTTTCAACTAGAACACAGACTACTTCTAATACCGTAATCAAAGCAGAGTCTCAATCAACTAACTTTATACAAATAGCTTAGGTTACAAAGTGAACAGGAATTGACGAAATTCAATTCCTACGATGATGATATCTAAATCACATGATTAATACCATCGTATTACATATAAGATTAGATTAAGTGTATTATCACGCAGTATAACTTTCTACATACATATTTTTATCGCCTAATTCAATTATGTCGCATGATTCAAGCTAATCATATTAAATATTCCATTGTAACACAGTTTCAATGAATAATGTCACTATACAAGTTTACAACATTTAATTATTAGCAAATTCACAGAATATAATGCTGGCGCACTTTTTGCTACATGTTCACTACTGAAGAATTAAAATGAAACTATTGCGACGAAAGCATGTGATTGCGACGAGAAGAATAGTGTTGCAACATTTGTTGCAACAACTACAGATATTTAGACGTTTTCTAGAGGTTTATCTTAAAACAAAAAGTAATTTCATAAAAATTCGAAAATCTACTTTTTTATACAGGTTGTTATCCATAAAGAACGAGCCTTTAAGGATGACCTGAAACTCTATAAATAAGACAATCTTCTTTGCATGAGTACACGATGTTTTGGCAATAAAAAAATCAAGTTACAGCTGATTGAAAGCATCCATAAATGACAACATAGTTGCTGAACAGTCGTAACCCTGTAAAAAATATATTTTTGATCAATAAGTCAGAAAGCCTTTACTTTCGACCCTGTTTTAAATTCAAATTTAAATATCTTCTTGTTTATTTTGTTTTTGGACAAGTCGACGTTTTAAATATCATAGATAGAACAAAGCTCATTATTTTCTAATCCCAACCACCTTGTTTAATTTTTTTATATTAAATTCTTTGAAACGATTTGGACTGGCGGGAAGAGTTTAATACAATTTTTCTATTCCATTTGTTTGACCAGGGCCTGGCTGTATGAATTAAGTTTTTAAATTAAATATTACATAAATCAAGTTAATCATATTTATGCTTTAGCTAAGATAAAAATTAATAATTCACAACCTCTGACTTAAATAAGATTATATCTGGGCTTATCTTAAACTTGAAAAACAGGGGTGTACAACGTAGTTCAGGTTTACAGATATAGCGTTACACGATATTCATTACACATATATTTAAAAAAGCAAATTTTTTGAAAATTCGATCATCCATTAACCTTTCGTGGGGTCAAACGAGGTCCCAAAAAAAATTTGGGCCCGATCGGTTTAGCCATCTTGACGTTTATTGGAAACAAACAGACAGACGGATTAGTGACATTTAGCTTAGAACACTTTCGCCATGTACTCATTAGCCTAGTACACATTCGCCTAGTACTCATTCGCCTAGTACACATTCGCCTGTGTAAAATTTTGCCTAAATAACATTTTGCCTATGTAACAATTTGCCTTTAAAATATTTAAGTGTTTTTTTCGTCTAAACCATGATTTTCTTGAAACACTCACAAACTTTGAAAGAGGAAAACCCGCAAAACAAAATTGAAAATTTTCGAAATTCTGCAAATTCATTTGTATGTTTTTTCTTGAAATAGGCAGCACCAGGGGCGTATTCAGGAATTTTTCCAAGGGGGGCTTAAATTTTTTTCTCTTTCCAGTGGGGGGCTCAACACCCGTTGGGGCCTGAAAACCCCCTGAAATCAATAGATTTCAATGGCCCCCCAGAATACGCCTCTGGAAGCCTTCCATTATTGATAAAATCAACTCTTCATATATTGGAAATGGAGGCACAGAGACAACCATCTATTGCAGATGCTCTAGAAGACTACAACAACAACAACAACAAAAAGATCTCTTACAAACCGTGGAACGGATCAAGTTTTTATTGAAGGATTTGAGACTACTCCAAGGAGTACATACAACAAAATGCAAATGAGTTGAGCAGGGCAGCCATTCTATGCAGATAAATATGCTGTAATATTATGTTTTGAGAACATAATTCAAAAACCTGAGCTTAAAACTTTAGTATGGTGGATATCGATATTAATGCTTGATCCTCTCTTTTTCATAATATCGAGACTAACCTAATCTTGTACTTGTATCCTGAAAAGCTTATAAAATTCAGCCAATCAGAGTCGTGTATATAAAGCCGATAAATTTTAAAATTTTGCGCGCCATTTAAGATTATATACAGAAACGGAAGGGACTCTCTATTTAGAAAAACCGGTTTTTGTTTTTTCTTTACTAAATCCAAGAAAGAACGGTTTAAGAAGAAAATCAAAAGTGTGTCCATTGGATACTCAGATTAAGTAATTGGGATTAAGGATATCTCATTCTAAAGTTTTCAGCTCTGAGCTGGGAACTTTAGAATGGTGGATATCAGGATTAATACTTGATCCCGTCTTTTTGCTAATGTCGAGACTAACATAATCTCGAGATTAAATATTTAAATCAACAAATTTGATTCTAGAACGCCAGGAAAACAGGAAAACTGTTATACAGGTAAACTGTTATACAGGTAAACTATTATACAGGAAAACTGTTATACAGGTAAACTGTTATACAGGAAAACTGTTATACAGGAAAACTGTTATACAGGAAAACTGTTATACAGGTAAACTCTTATACAGGTAAATTGTTATACAGGTAAACTGGTATACAGGAAAACTGTTATACATGTAAACTGTTATACAGGTAAACTGTTATACAGGCAAACTGTTATACAGGTAAACTGTTATACAGGTAAACTATTATACAGGAAAACTGTTATACAGGCAAACTGTTATACAGGTAAACTGTTATACAGGCAAACTGTTATACAGGTAAACTGTTATACAGGTAAACTAAACAAATGTCAGTTATTTCGTTGAGCGGGAGATAAGTTTTTATTGGGCTTTATTATCGATTTCACAAAGATTTGAAATTGTTGAGTACACAGTTACATGCTATACATCATTAACTACCTTATCTCGCGATTTTGTTGTTATGCTATTTTTAACTGCTTGGAAAAATGAACGCAGTTAAAAAAAAAAAGATAAGAAACATTTACATAAATATACCTAGATTGCAGTACAGGTGTAGGCATGGATTGTTTTCACTTTTTTTAAACACGATCATTTCGATTTAAAAACGACGAAGAAAAAAAACGAAATGGTAGTTTTTGATAACAAAAGTTTTTGAATAAGATTGTTTTTTTTTATTATAAAACGAAGAAGGCGTTTTTAGTTTCGTTAGCGAAGTTATGTCGTTTTTAATTTTTGACGACGACCTTTCGTTAATGATCGTTATCGACGACCCTTCTTTAACGATCGTTAACGACCTTTTTTAGACAAAATACATTTTTTGGTCGGAAAACTCTTCGGTCAGAAAACATTAAAGTTATTTCTCTAGATAAAAAAAACATTTATGACAACATTCAAAAACTTATCTTTCTAAAAATAAAAATTTTATTAATTGTCATGAAACTCAGATTCATTAGCTATTTTTTTTAAACGATAGTTTTGTGACATACCCTTTTTTCTATAAATGAAAGGATCGTTTAAAAAATTAACAATCCTCAGTACTTGTACTAAGCTGTAAAATGCAGTCCACTATGTGTGTACAGTACACTGTACCATACAATGATACACAGTGCAATACAATATATTGCACTGAAAAATAATCCAATGTATCCTTGGAACTGTAGACGTCATTTCAAATAACCCTAATCCAACTAGGAAAGTCATGGGCAAGAAAGTATTTGAAAAAAAGTGTTTGGAATAGAAAAACACTAGAAAAAAATCCATAATTTTCTCAACGCTGGGTTCCCAAACTGTAGAAAATATTTTATTCTATTTCAAAAAAAGGGATAAGGAGTAAGGACCGAACTTTCAAATCTTTGTAAAGAAACGAGTTTTGAAATCCTTGTTTGCAAATCCTTGTTTGCAAGCGAACAAGTGTGCAAGAAAACAAGTTTGCAAACAAACAAATTTGCAAACAATCCAATTTTCAAACAAACAAGTTTGCAAACAAACAAATTTAAAAACCAAACAACCTTGCAAATAAAAAAGTTTGCAAACAAATAAGTTTGAAAGCATAGAATTATGCAAACAAACAAGTTTGCAAACAAGCAAGTTTGTAAAAACAAGTTTGCAAACAAATAATTTTGATAGCAAACAAATTTGCAAACAAATAATTTTGTAAGCAAACAAACAAGTTTTTCCTTCTTATGTTGAGAATTAAGATTGAAGAGTTATTTAAATACTAAAGATTTTGTGATATAGAATACTTAGATTACATGTTAAATTAGAATTCATTTGACACCGTTCACAACTTGATATTTAAACTCTTGTAAAATTTTAATTTTATTTTTAATTAATTAGTTACTCCGCATGTCTTGAGTGTGTTTAACGAATTAGAACGTTATTCCTAAAGATTGATGGTAAAATTATTTGGTTTTTGAGCTGAAAGTTTTTCTTTTAATAAGAACATCCTTTTAGTTAAGATTTTACAAAAAGTTTTAAGCATTTTCTAAGAAAATCTTATAAATAGCTTCTTTAATAAAATTTTGTAAAAGTAGATTTGCAAAATTTTGAAATAACGAAATTCTTCACGTTGCAAAAATATTTAATTGTTTTTTTATCATCTTACAGATAACTTATGATTGTTTTTTTCTTTAATTATTTTCTCTGTCTTTTTTTAAAGTTCGTTACGAATATTTTTTTTTGAGAAATCCTATTTCAAAATATCAAAATAAATATTTAGTTGGTGTGACTTGTTAGGACAGGATTATAAACATGGCTTGATTCCATAACTGTTGGTAAACATGGCCTGATTCCCTAACTGTTGGTTTTTACACATACTAGTTTCAAAAGTGAAGATACAGTGAAAACCGGAAAACAGGAAGGGGCTTTTAGACTCAAGTTATGACTTTCAATAGTCCAATAAACATTAGACAAAGCAAATTCATTTCACGAAATAAGTTGTTTCATAAGTCACTGGTAAAAAAAACATTTGCTTTGTAACTATATCCTTTAATGTCGTCAGCCTTTTCTAATGTTTTCTGGTTATCACTGTACGTCACAGATGTTTGTAAACAACCATTGTAGGTAGCCCCCTCTTTATAGTTCTACCTATACCTCCCTAGTTCTAGTAATTGATTCAATGTATCGTATGCATTAGTGGAGAGTAGAGAAGAGTATATAACAGTGTAGTTTCACATTTCTTCTAGATCTGTAATGATCTTCATCTATTCTTCAGTTCTGAACATCCTTGCTCAGGAATCCATCAAATCGACACATTTTTTGTAAGACATACATTTTTATACATGAACCAGACAACCTTAAAGGGAGTGTAGCCGTAACCATCCATTTAAAGGGGAGCATGTTCGATCCCAAAGGGGCCTTTTAAATATTTCGCTGAACTAGATGAGTGAGATATCCCTATTTTTCTATCGAAACATTGATTATTTATTGGTTTTTCTGTGAAAATTACAAGGGGGTTTATGCTGCGGACAACGAAGGAGAAAATGATAATTAAACACTTGTTATAACAAAGATATCTTCATCAATATTAATCAGTCAGAGGTTTAAAAGGCACGTTTTAAATCCAGAGAATTTACGAATGAACATGCAAATTTGAAATTGAATTTCCAATTGAAAATTCTCTTTCTCTGACAATTTGAAACTATATTCCTCTGACAATTTGAAACTATATTTCCCTGATAATTTGAAACTACATCCCCCTGACAATTTGAAACTATATTCCTCTGACAATTTGAAACTATATTCCTCTGATAATTTGAAACTACATCCCCCTGACAATTTGAAACTACATTCCTCTGATAATTTGAAACTATATTTCTCTGACAATTTGAAACTATATATTCCTCTGATAATTTGAAACTATATTCCTCTGATAATTTGAAACTACATTCCTCTTATAATTTGAAACTATATTTCTCTGACAATTTGAAACTATATTTCCATGACAATTTGAAACTATATTCCCCTGATAATTTGAAACTATATTCCTCTGATAATTTGAAACTATATTCCTCTGACAATTTGAAACTACATCCCCCTGACAATTTGAAACTATATTTCCCTGACAATTTGAAACTATATTTCTCTGACAATTTGAAACTATATTCCCCTGTTAATTTGGTACTATATTCTCCTGACAATTTGAAACTATTTGAACCTGATGGAATAAAGGTGACTACAGGATCCCAAATTATTGAAACTCGGAAAGGAAACTTTTTCCTCCAACTTGAGGAATTATTTAGATTAATATATTTAATGTACGAAAATTTAAATACATATTATTTTTTTGGGTTTTTTTTTCGTCCGAGAAACAATCAGGACTGGTTGCATTTTTTAATTATTTAAGGGACTATTGAAAATAATAATGTCTGATTCAGAGTGCTGTATAATTCTTCATAGAAGGGATATTCTTTAAATCAAAAAAGATCGAGATATCGTTTATTTTCTATCTGAAAAGAGTGATAATTGTAATTGCAAAGAAATTAAGTCTTTGTCATAAAACTCAAATCTTCATTATCCCTTTATCTTTCCAATTTTTGATAATTCAAACTTGACTATTTGATCTTACAGATACCATAGCTTGAAATATCTAAAGTTTAAGACATTGGGTGGCAAAGATAGGGATTAGAAAATCAAACGGCAAGAAAGAAAATTGACAGAGTTAATTTTTTTACTTAAAAATAAACAAAAAAAAATACATTTCAAGTGCGGCGTTTGTTTAGTTTTTTAGATGCTTGTTTCTAAAAATATTCAGCTAGATTATTTTGCTATAATAAATATAAATAATATTACATAATCATTCATGAATTATGAATTATAACTAACGTTCGCATAGACTAGATTGGGAAAATGTTTGCATGCAATAAATAATTGGAGTTATAAAGCATGCGGCAGGCACTGATCTTATTTAAATAGTCAAATCTGGACATAAAAATAATAAAATTTAACCAAATGACACCTTCCCTCAACTCTAATTTTCTAACCCCATTATTTGTACAACCTGTGGTGTAAATCATTAATTTTCTAAACTTTTAAAATTCGGTGATGGTGATGGACCAAACCTCTGTATAGTAAAAAAGTAGATGTTAGTTCCACATTTTATTGAAAATATATTTTGGTCAAGGTTGACACTCGTAAGTTCTTGAGATTGTTTCTGTCATAAAGATTAAAAGAAAACTTAAATTTTAAACTTTGACTGCTTGATCCATCAAAAAATGACGACAATGACAATATTAGAAATTTTTTTTCTTTTCAAATAATTATGATTGATGATTTTGAAAAAAATATTTAAATACTGGGGTTTCGTAGCCTCAGAATGGTAGAGGATATGGAAAGGGTTTGGATGTCCGGAGGCCACCCAAGCCAACCGGAGGAGATGATTATGCAGAAACCCCTCCACCCAGAGGTTACAGTTTGCAGCCTCCAATCCCTAGAGGATATGCCTCCGAAATAGAGTCCTCTATTGACCCTACTATTCAAACTCCAGGTAAAATTGAAGTCAAAATTTGAAAAATTTCACTTCAATTTTCATTTTGACAACGTATAAAATGTGAAAAATTTATTTAAAAATCAAATATTTATTAACTTTTTTGGTTTCCAGCTTTGTCAAGCATATTTCGCTTTTTTAATCATAACAAATGGCATCAGAGCGTTTTAGGGTAGTTATTTTGGAATATTTTGAACAAACTCAAGATTTTTCGTGGACCTCATCTTTCAACTGTCAAGAAATATAAGCATGTTTTTTGTTTCTTTTTCAACCACAGAAATTGATTACATATTTTAAACATTGACAGAATTGTTAAAGAGTTCTAAAACCATATTCCAGATCCGCTTGGAGTAATTGAACCTGGAGTACTTGGACCTGGGGTACCTGGACCTGGAGTACCTGCTCCTGGAGGAAGAGATGAGCATTGTTTTTGGTTCTTTTTTAACCATTCAATTTTTGTTTTTCCTGAACTGGACTGTAAGCGTAATTTCAAGTGACCCTTAATGCAAAGATGGCAATGACCGATCACAAGTTCACAACGTTGCTCTCTTTAGCTTTTACCTTTGTCTAATTAAGTATAGATTATAAATAGGTTGAAAACCAACTTATTAAGTAAAGTAGGTACCTGTGTTAATTTGGCAATTGCTGTCCATTGTTTAAAAACCCTTAGCCCGCGATTTAAAAAGTTCGGAAAAGTCAAGTCGAAACTTCTTAAGTCAAGTCGAAACTTCTTAAGTCAAGTCGAAGATCTTGCAGCTGTCAATTTAAGGAATTAAGGCTCGAGTCGAAGTATTTAAATCGCGGGCTCTGCATTGTTTAAAAAGAATAACCAAAAAACATGCCCATCATCAGCTGAAGGGTTTAATAGCAAGCAGAAGATTGAACAGGAAGCAATGAAGATTATGAGGTTAGTTTTTTTTCAGTCGTTAGAATAAATTCTATTTTTTTGTCTATAGAATGTTTTTGGGGGGATATACACTTCAAAACGGCTAAACCAATAGAACCCAAATTTCTAATATAGGTCAGAATAAAATCCACGAATTTTTGTGTTATAATCATAGAGAATAGAATATATGTAAATCTATATTCTATTCTCTATGGTTATAATACACTAAGAAAAAAATGTTTTACGTTACATTAAAAGCTGAAAAAGTTAACTTAATCTTTCTGCATTACATGTAATCTCTTATTGGCATATTTATATATTTATTTTTTGCAAAGAACAAAACAAGTTTACAGTTCCTGGGAATCTTGAATAAACAGAGACTATAAAAACTCTGTACAATCGTCTCTGAAGTCAAATTCTTTGTGGGTAACCCTGTATATGGAATAAATAAATCAAATGAAACATTAATTTGATTATTTTAAGTTTGTGAGCAAATTAAAACAATTATATATGCATAATATACATTTTACAAAGTCACAGTTCACAATCATGAGATAGTTCAAAATGAATTCTAAATGTAAAAAAAAGCTTTATAATTTTGATGAGTTAAAAATCTGAATGCATTTTTTTATTTAGTGAAACTAAGGCAGAATTCCACGATGAGAAAGAAGATACCAAATGTCAATATAAAAACTGGGGACCCTTTGCAGCATGCTCTAAACTCGAAACTGGTAAATTCCAATTCATCTATCTATATAATAGAGCTTTTCGCTAATCTATCTATTAATATTAAAGCTCTTCGCTCATATATATTTGTATATATGCTAGCTATTGCTGGCAATATGGCTGGACCGTATGGGCTGACATTTTTTTTAGGGAACCCTTGAGTACCCCAGGGGTAACATTTTTTTCAAATCAATTTTTTCTTTTAATTTAAAATTTTTTTTCGTGGGTAATGCCGGGTAATATTAGCTAGTATGTATTTCTGAGTGAAGAGCTTTATTATATAAATATGTATATTTATATAAATATGTATATATATGACAAATAACCAATCTTAATAAGCAATAGAAAATTTTCTTATTTTAATAAGATATATATATATGTCAGTTATAGCTGCAGCCAAACGGCTGGACCGATTGGGATGACATTTATTAAGTAAACCAATGGGTATCCGGGACATAAATTTTTTTATAGAATATTTTTCTTCTTCAAAATTCTACTTTTTTCTTCAAAATTCCAATGGCAACGCCGGGAAATTCAGCGAATATGTATTTATGTGTATATTTGTTAGCTATAACTGGCCAAACGGCTTGACCCAATTGGCTAAAATTGTTTGAGAAACCCCAAGGGTACCCAGAGGGGTAAAATAGGCTAAAAAAACGAAATTTTTGTTTTCAAAAATTGAGTTTTTTCAAAATTATATTATTTTACAAATTCAACGGACAACGCCGGGCACTTCAGCAAGTAAATAATAAATATCAATAGACTTTTTTACATATTTACAGAATAAACGTACTGCAGTTTCCCGGAGGATAAGAAACAAAACTGAGTTTGCTAATAGATTTTTTTGTTGGAAATAATTAAAAAAAAGGATTAAGAATTGTTTGCCCTTCTTTTATAATTGATTTAAAGGGACAGACCGGCCATGTCAGGTAGTTAAACTGAGTATGCAATGTTGTGGACAAATTNTAAACGTCAATTATCTAAACGTCAATTATCTAAACGTCAATTATCTAAACGTCAATTATCTAAACGTCAATTATCTGAACGACAATTATCAAAAAGTTTATTATCTAAACGTCAAATATCTAAACGACAAATATCTAAACGTCAATTATCTAATCATCAATTATCTAAACAGTCAATTATCTAAATGTCAATTATCTAATCGTCAATTATCTAAACGTCAATTATAAACGTCAATTATCTAAACGTCAATTATTTAAACGTCAATTATTTAAACGTCGATTATCAAAAAGTTGATTATCTAAACGTCGTATAACAAAACGTCTGTGATTCAAAACGTCGACTGCAACAAAAAGTCGAATTAAAAAACGTTGAAATTATAAAACGTCGACTGCTACAAAACTCAAAATTTACAAATTGTTTATATTTGTTTAATATTTGTTTAGGTAAATGTCGTCAGGCGAGAGTAAGGGAACCCATGTTTCCGGAACAATGTGATAGATTAAGCATTGAAGCTAAGGTCTAAACAATTCTGTTTTTAAGCTGAATAGTGCATACCCTACGGTGGACTTGGGTCAATTTGAATTCGAACCAGACCGACCCTTTGTACCGGCCCGACCCTATCATATGCCTGATCTGTTTCAACTTTGATGGCGCGGCAAGACTTATTACAGTACCCGGTAGCATAGGCCTATTTGACTAGCTATTGCTTAGTGTGACCCCCCACTCTATATTTAACCCTTTCAAGCTGAAGTTTATTTATTAAACCTTCAAAAACATTTAACACAAACACTTTTTCGCATTCTTAATCTCTCTCAAGCCAGAAATAATTATTTCATATTTTGACTTTTAGAATCAATGATTTTGAAACATTTTTAATGCAAGTCTTATTTTGATTATGTTCTCGTTTTTTCAATCAATGTCAAATAACTGTTAATTATATAGAACTGCTATTCAGGGAGGTCAAGGAAATTTAACTTTACCAAGCGCTGGAGAACCTAGTTACCGACTTTTGAGATGAAAATGCACGAATTTTTTCGCTAAACTTTGGAGAGCGGGTCGTTATTTTACTGAATTGTCCCAAGGGATATTTAGCATTTAACGTTCCTCTGTATGGCGAGGCATGGGTCGGTAATGTAGATTAAAAGCAGTAAATTTGTTTATGAGCGTTTTATAACAAACCATACTCCAACATGGCCTCAAAAGTAAATATTTTTCTGTCATGCTCTTTCAGCGTTGACACTTTTAAACTCTTTGTTTTTCTTTAAATCTTTATTATAATCTTTCTTATAGGGGTATTTCTATGCAAATAGATATAAAGCTTCTTCTGCAATTAATTCCTTTTTAGGAATGTAATTGTGAATCTGTAATTGATAACCCTGAAAACCCTACTGGAACTAACTGGGAGAATAGAGGTGATTGTTTTGCAACTTTAGCAAAGTTTTTTTTTAAACGTGTAATCTGAATATACCTAGAAAACCTAAAAAGTACGCTAATAGCCCTTCCTTTTTAGAACCTAGCAAGGAAAGTTCTAAGGATGTCAAAGAAACTACTGAAACCTTAATGGAAATGTCATCTACAAAACTGTCTAATATAGGTTCAACCATCCCTTTACAAAAAATCAACTCAACTGAATCTACTACCTTAGCTGCTGATATCAACCCAGCAGAATATACTACTGCAGCTGCTGCTGAGATCAATCCAGCTGAATCTACTACTGGAGCTACGGCGGTTATAAACTCGGCAGAATCTACTACTGGAGCTGTTACTGATATCAACCCAGCTGAATCTACTACTTCAGCAGCTGATATCAACCTAGCAGAATCTTCTACTGCATCAGCTGATATCAACCCAGCAGAATCTACTAATTCAGCTGCTGATATCAACCCAGCAGAATCTACTTCTTCAGCTGCTGATATCAACCCAGCAGAATCTACTACTGCAGCTGTTTCTGAGATCAACTCAACTGAATCTACTACTGCAGCTGCTACTGAGATTAACCCAGCTGAAAGTTCTACAACTGCTTTCACTTCAGCTGACAAGATATCTTCAAATGAAACTTCTACTACCAATTATGGTGAGACCAATGCAGACAAAATTACTACTGCTTATGGACATACCAACACAGATGAAACTGCTACCACCGCTTATGGAGTGACCAGCAAAGATGAAACGTCTACTACTGCTTATGTTGAGACCAACTCAGCTGAAACTTCTAATACCCCTTATGGAGAGCAAAGCATAAATGAAACGTCTACAACTGCTTATGTGGAGACCGATACAGATGAAAAAGATGATACTGCTAATGAAGAGCAAAACACAAATATAACTGCTACTACTGCATATGGAGAGCATAATACAACTACTGTAGCTAGTGAGATTAACACAGATAAAAGTACTGCTGAAATCGGCGAGATTAGCACAGATGAAACTGCTACTACCACAGCAGATAATTATACAATTTTACCTATCATCCAAAATGAAACAGATGATGCTGCACCAGGAGATCTAGCATCTACCATAGCATCAGATTTGGAAACAACTGAATCAGAGCAACCAACCACAATGGCATCTGAAAATGGAGCAAATGAGACAGCATCTTCCTTGGGCCAAGAAGTAGAAACTAATACAACAAATACTGGAGATAAAGCCTTGAATATGACCATATCACCTGAATTAGGAGCAAACCACACTGATCAAACTCAATCTAGCACAAGTACATCAGAAGCAGGAACTAATGAAGGAGATGAATCAACAACAATAGCATCGACTGAAACAGGACCCAACAGAAAAGATTCAGATGAGTTAGAAGATACTAGTACACTAGCAACAGCCACCACCTTGGGGTCAGAAAATTGGACTTCTGGAAAAAATGCTTCTGAAGAATTAAAAAAAGGTTACACTGAAGAGAAAGTAGATGAGGAAGGATCAACTGGAGGTTATGATGAAGGAAGTGGAGACAAAGCGGAAGGATCAGGTATAGAGGGGATAGATGATAGTTCAACTGATGATAATACTGAAAGTACAACCAAACCAACTGATACACCAGACATTACAACTTTTGATTATCAAAATACAATTTCTAACAGTGATATGTACACTACTGGAAAAGATTACAAGTATACCATGTTATACAATTACATTTAAAACTCTGTTTTTAAAAAATGGGCATAAGTAGTTAATGGAATCAAATAGTTAAATTGAAAGACAAACAAACCCTAAAATTTAATAAGCGGCTTTTAACTTAAAACCATCTTTAAATTTGTACCTTGGTTGTTCAGAGATAAGATTTTAAAAGCTTAAACCCAACTAAAACCTGGTCTTTGTGTCTGCTTAGACCCAAGTAAAGCTCAAGTCAAGACTAGGGCTGGGCACGTTCCGACTTTTTTGAAATCGTTCCGTTCCGTTCTAGAACGAGGGCCTTCAGCTAAATCGTTCCGTTCTCGTTCCTCTTTTTTTATCGTTCCGTTCTCGTTCCGTTCCGTTCTGAATAGAAGAACGGTCTTCCCGTTCCATTCCGTTCTGGGCGTTCTTAGTTGAAGAACGGTTGCATCCCTCTTGTTCTGTTCTTAATTAAGAACGTTTTCATCCCCCGTTCCGTTCTTAGTAACGGACAATTACATCAAAGACAAAAGTTTTATAGAAAAGAGTTGGTTAAAAAGTAAAAAAATTACAATATTTAAATAAAAAGTTCCTCACAGCCGTAAATAATACTTTAAATTATATATTTTAAAATTATATAAAATAAACATACTATGAAAATAATGTATCTACATAAAGTTTGAATTTTCGAAATTTACATCTCCTTGTCACAGCTGATCTGACAGGATTCTGTCTGCTACATAGAGAAAGCTTACAAAACAGTCTCTCATTGGTCGAATCAGAACCAATCCTGACTTGGGTTCTATCTAAGCCCGAGTTTGGGTTTTAGTCGGGTTTAAGCTTTTAAAATCTCATCTCAGTATTTGTTTCAAAAAATAAAAATGAATACAATCCAGATAAAAGGTCTTTCCTACAAGTGACATAATTTTAAACCAAAATAAGTATTTTAATCAAATCCTTTTAATTGATATTTGATTGATATTCAATATCTTCGACAAAATTATATATGAAATAAAATAAAAAGAAACATATATTATTTACATGTTTAGGCGAAGAGAGAAGATGAAAAATTTACTCATGAGTCATGACTAATCATTCTAGCATCCAAAATATACTGGAAAAATAAATATTTTAGCTCAAATTAATAAATACTTTTTGTAGTACAGAAAATAAAGATTAAAATTACATTTTTTCTCATGAAAGAATTGCGTTGTACATATTAAACTTTGGTACTGTATCTCGGTACAAAACTGAACAAACTTGACGCGTCAAAATATGAAATTTCAATCAAAATTTAGAATCAAACTTTGAGATAAAATGTGAAATATAGTAGTGAGATCTATATACCAAAAAATGTTTGAAAAGTTAAAATGCTTTGTTATAACAGATGATAGAATTTTAGCTAAAATAATTATTTTTCATGTTTTTCATTAATTAGGCATGTTTGTTCCTTAAAAAGTTTAAAGAGAATTAGAAACTGGAAAGTTCTCTGATCTTCATCTTGATTCTTGATTCTTGATTCTTGGTTGAGAACACAAGTTGTTGATCATAAATTGTTAAAGCTTAAAAACGGTTTACACTAGAACGATTAATCGTCTTCACTTTTTTAACTTCAGAAATGTGAAAAAAAAAAATTTTTTATGCATAGGGTAGGGTGGAGGACGGTCAAACGGTCTGTTCTTAAAATTAGTCCATAACGTTTTTATTGAATAGCTACAGATCAAAAATTTATTTATTTTAAAAGCCCTTGAAAAATGGATGTAAATAACTTACGATACATGTTAATATTTATCGAAAGTAAAAAAAAACTATTTTCAGCATTTTCCGACGTACTTATTAAAAACCCTCTACAGCACCCCTCCCAATAAAGTTGGAGGTCGTATTTCAACTTTAAGGGAAAAAACACCCCTCCCCCCTCATATCTATATTAGACAAAAATAGTCAAATCGAGATAGGGTTAAAACCAAACATGGAATAGTTTAATGATATATAATAGACAAGGAGAGGAAGCCCAAATACAAATAGTTTGTTTAAAAAAAAGAACTTCATTAAACTGTAGAGTAGAAAGACGACATTCAAGCGATATTTTGATTATTTGATTCTATATTGTTTTGGAGTAAAAAGTCTGAAAATAAACTTTTTCAAACTTTTATATGGGTCACAATTTTTGTATTAGCTATTGACATTTTTTGTGGTGGTAAATGTAAATATATTAATTGCAGTACGTTTGAAAAATGTCTAGCTCTCTACTCTATCACATCAATTAAAAAAATATCAAAATTTTAACTATATTTATTTAAAAAGATGAACTGGATCATTTAAACATTGTGAGAATATATATCATTCATAACATTGGAATTTAAATAGAGTATTGTGTGCGGCATTCTCCTGCATTTATGCGCACACAATCATGTGCGCATTTTCTCTTAAGGAAAATTAAACATAGATAAAAATCCGCGTCAAGCATAAACTACACATAAACTACTGGGCTATCCCAGAAAAGTTCTAGAAAAATTTAGGAAGAATTTGTCAATAAACTGTTGTTTGTATTAAAATCTCATGACTGAGGACTGTAAATGCGGGAGATTGTTCACAAATACGACTGACTGCTCTAAAGAAAGATCTAGCTATATATAGATAAAATCACACAGTGGATAGAATAAGAAAATCCTTAGTAAACAACTTTTAGTTCTACAGTATTTAAGATTATGAGATATATTGGGTGAGATTCCTTAAGTTCTTGTTTTTACCGCCATATTTATTTTTTAAACGTTGCTTAAACTTTGCATAGTTAGGACCAATCAAGCAAATGGTTTCTTCTTCTCAAAATAACTTTAACGGAATATTTTCAGAGACTATTAGCTGTACGAGGCCTTTTACTAATAACTGAAATTAAATGTACAACCGTTAGCAATAACTAAACAATTTTCAAATATATTATTTCTTTTAAAAGATCAAATAATAATATTGTTCCCGATCTTTCAATTTAAGCTTAAAAATTTATTTGAAGTCTGAAGTAGGCTTTCAAATTTTTAAGAGTTTCAAATCTAAAACTTTGCAAAATATAAAATTTACAAATTTGGATGATACTAAATTGTTAATCTTAAACTTCAAAGTAATAGCGATCTGTAAAAAAGGCCTCTCAGCAAACCAAAAAAAGATGTAATAACCTGAATTTAAACATGATTAGACAAATCCCAGATATTTGAGACCTATATAGGTACCCAAACTGCCACCAATGATCATACACAAGAGCATCATTATCTTCTTCCTACGCGCTTTACTCTGATATTCAAGCGCCTTCTTGGTGTCGTTGGTGGCGCGCGTAGTGTATTCAACAGCACTCTCAACATGGGCATCAATTCTAAAATATTTACTGTTTTCAGGGTCTGTCAAGAAGAAAAAACAGACAAAGTGAGAGCCAGAAAACTGTGGAATATAAAGACGGACAACATAGCACTACTCAGATGTACTCAATTTTATTATACAAATCAAAATAAGTCTAGGAACTTTATAATTACTTATTTCTTTAATTGTATATGTTTAAATTTCACAAATATTGTGTCTTAAACCAAGTCCGAAAGTCAACTTATTATTCCAGAGATTTTTGGTACACACTGTAGAAAATGAATACGTCTAGTCTGTACACTACACACTGTAGAAAACTGAATATGTCTGGTCTATACACTACACACTGTAGAAAATGAATATGTCTAGTCTGTACAGTGTACACGAGTCCTCGAAAGATGCTTAAGGATTTAAATAAAGGGGAAAATTCAACAAGATGTTTTCCGATATAAAGGGACTGTAAACATACTTTTAGGTGTCCCTCAAGGCAAAGATGGCAATGTCCGATTTGCAACGATACCCTTCAAAGCTTTGTCAGATCAAGCATGAATTGTAAATCCACGTTTTTGTTTCTTCAAACTCTTTTTTTCTTTTGAGGTTTCTCTTCAAAGTGAATCGCCCATTTTCTTTCACATAAAAAATAATGAATTATCAGAATTAACTACTTTTTGAGTCATTCGAAATTATTTTTTCATTTTCGATCAGATTAAGGTTTCAAGGGTAACATTGTAAATCGGGCATGGAAGGTACCGCATAGATCAATTTTTAAGACAGGGTCGACTTTGAAGTGTCGCAACACCTTGTGCTTTGATTTTATCACTCTGACTCCCTTATGCTTTTCTGTAGCCCTTTACATTTACATTTTAGCACTATTAAGCACTTGTGCTTAGCTTTGGTTTCGAGAAGTAATTAGCAAAATTATTTTCGATTTTTGGTTGAGACCTTTCCAATTCCATTGGCAATGCCGGGCACTTCGGCTAGAATTGCCTAATTTAAAAAGTCATATCTTGACATAGTTGAAAGAAAAAGTTCAAAGACTTTTTTATTCTACATGCTTTTAAATTATTCCTACAAATTTTAAAGAAGTTTATTATTCTCGAAAAATCCTTTTTCCCCCCTCCTTTTTTGAAAATAATTTTTTTCCGATAGCAAATATATTTTTTAAAGTATTATTTGATGAATTGGAGAAAACAAATGATTTTTTTTTTAAAAGAAATAAATGAATGAAAATTATCAAAAAAGTATCAAAAAGAATGAAAATAATTTTATAATTATGAAATAATTTTGCTTGATGTCACATTTTTCCCCCCAAATCATTAAAAAAAATTCCCCCCCTCCCCTCCTCAAGGTCCGAGGGGGGTTATTCTGAAAAAAAATCCCCCCCTCCCCTCCTCAAGGACCGAGGGGGGTTATTCTTTAAAAAAATCCCCCCCTCCCCTCCTCAAGGTCCGAGGGGGGTTATTCTGAAAAAATATACACCCCTGTATTTTACTTAAATTTAATCTCTATTGGAAAAAAAACCGTAATTAGAACAACATTAAGGAATTGTATAAACAAGGCAAGCCATACTTATAAAAAGGGTTTAAGATTAACATCAACAAAGGAATTGAGTTTTTGCCACAAATTCAAATTTTCTAATCCCTATATCGTGGCAATCTGATGGTGGAAAACCTTGATATGTCAAACTTATATTTGATTATTTGATTAATTTGATCGAAAGTTTCAAATATCTAAGGTCTACGACATTGGGTTGCAAAGATATAGGTAATAGAAAATCTGAGTTCCTTTGCGAATACGAGATAAAAAATGTTTGAAAATAATTCTTTTATCTGTTTAATTTTACTTTTCTTCAGTAAAACTTAAATTCTTATGGCATAGATAAAAAAGAAAAAAGAGAAAAGTTCAGATTGTTCAGAAAATACAAACTATCTATACAGCAAATTATCTTTGTTTCTTTAACAAAGTGCTTTTTAACACCCATAGAATTAAATTATCTATATATATATTTTATTCTGTTTTTTTGGTTGGTTTAGATCCAGTAAACGTTAAAATGACTGATCGGACAAAAGTATTGTAGGGACCTATTAGTCAGGCCAGGTCGGAGGATTCATGAAAGGTCATTATTTTCCTCGAATAAGTGCTATGAAAATAAATATTTTTGAAATCAATCGTTGATAACCCTTTCCAACCTGATCACACTGACAACCGTGACAAATTCAACCACCATGATTAATTTCAACCACCCTGACTATCCTGACAATCCTGACCACCCTGACCACCCTTATCACCATGACAACTTTGACCCCAACGACAACCCTGACAACCCCAACAACCCACACCATCCTGATCACCCTGCCGACCTACCTGTTGACCATCTCCCCCTGGTTCTCTATCAACATGGCGATATCCATGAACATCTCGTGCAACTCCTTGATGCTCTGTTCCAGCTTCATGAACATCTCGTGTCTAAACAAAATGAAAGTTAGTCATCAAATGTTTATACAGCCTCGACTTTAAAGTCGCCATTTGCATTTGGTTTTACTTCACCAACCACTTATATTTCTGTAGCTCTAGGAATATACATTTTAAAAGTGCAAATGGAGTTTGGAAAAATGCTTATTTTTGCATGAGAGGGTGCAGTTCACATCTTGGTTTGAAATGGCTGTAAGATGGTGAGAATTTTAAACATATCTTAATATATGTCACCATACAACTGAATTAGTAAATGCATCAATGTTTAAAATATTCTGAACCGATGAATAAAGAGAAGATATGGTGAGAGAACAAGATGAGAAGAATTATGACATGTACATTGTACAGTGGTCGGTGTTTATATAAACACAATGAAGACGACTTTCCGATTTTATTGATAAATTCGACATCGACTGTAGCAATTATTTAAATTCGGTGATGGTGATGAACCAAACCTCTGTAGAGTAAAAAAGTAGATGTTCAATTTTTAATAAATTTTTTAAGAAAGAAAACTTTTAAACATAAATTGGTTTAAAAAATCCAATGTTCAATAGTTTAAACAAAATTTATATATTTTTCCATACAAATTGCAGAAAACTTTTTTTTATTTAAATTTTCATCTTTTCTTACGAATTGTCGAATTATTTATCTGTGGACAAACTACGTTGTTTGGTAATCATGTAGTTTTGTAATCATGTAGTTTTGTAATCATGTAGTTTTGTAATCATGTAGTTTTGTATTCGACATTTCTTTTCAGTTTCTTTTAATTAATCATTAATAATATAATTCAATTATTAAGCTTCCACTCTTTTGGTTAAAACTTAATTATCTGTATTGTATACTTTTGTTTCATTTTGACTAATAGTTCACATAATGTTTTCAAATGAACAATGGTACATCGGAGTTCCGTCAAGGTATCATTGGAGTACCATCGGAATACCATCGGAATACCATTGGAGTACCATCAGTGTACCATCGGAGTACCATCAAAGTACCATCGGAGTACCATTGGAGTACCATCGGAGTACCATCGGAGTACCAATGGAGTACCATTGGGGTGCGATTAGAGTACCATCGGAGTACAATTTGAGTACCATTGGAGTACCATCAGTGTACCATCGGAGAACCATCAAAGTACCATCGGAGTACCATTGGAGTATCATCGGAGTACCAATGGAGCGGAATACCATTGGAGTACCATCAGTGTACCATCGGAGTACCATCATTAGAGTACCATCGGAGTACGAGTACCATTGGAGTACCATCAGTGTACCATCGGAGAACCATCAAAGTACCAATGGAGTACCATTGGGGTCCGATTAGAGTACCATCGGAGTACCATTGTGGAGGCACATTTAATTGATGCCCCAAAAGTCTCCTTCTTACTAGTTGTCCTATCACAAATCTATATTATCGAAGACCCAAAAACTAAAATTATTAACGACACACCAATATTTTTGTACTTCACAAAATAGAAACATTTTTGATAAATATGCTTTACCTTTGTTCAATATCATTGATGGTTGCACGTAGTTGGTCTTCATTTCCCTCTATCTGAATATGCCCGGTCAGGCGGGCACCTCCACCTCCCTGATAATAATAATAATAATGATAATATTGATAATAATAATAATAATAATAATAATAACAATAATAATAATAAATAATAATAATAATAATAATAATAATAATAACAATAATAATAATAATAATAATAATAACAATAATAATAATAATAATAATAATACCTCAAGCATTTGCTCCAACTCCTCATCAGTAGCTGTTTGACCAGCAATCTCAAGCTGTCTAGCTATCTTTCCCTTACTCTCCTCCCTGTACGACACCTACAAAAACAATTTTCAGAAGTGAGAAAGTCAGAAAGCCAAAGGTCAGAAGGTCAAAGGTCAGAAGGTCAAAGGTCAGAAGGTCAAAGGTCAGAAGGTCAAAGGTCAGAAGGTCAAAGGTAAGAAAGTAAAAGATCAGAAGGTCAAAGGGCAGTAGGTCAAAGGTCAGAAGGTCAAAGGTCAGAAGGTCAAAGGTCAGAAGGTCAAAGATCAGAAGGTTAAAGGTCTGAAGGTCAAAGGGCAGAAGGTCAAAGGTCAGAAGGTCAAAGGTCAGAAGGTCAAAGGTCAGAAGGTCAAAGGTCAGAAGGTTAAAGGGCAGAAGGTCAAAGGTCAGAAGGTCAAAGGTCAGAAGGTCAAAGGTCAGAAGGTCAAAGATCAGAAGGTCAAAGATCAGAAGGTCAAAGGTCTGAAGGTAAAAGGTCAGAAGGTCAAAGGTCAGAAGGTCAAAGGTAAGAAGGTCAAAGGTAAGAAGGTCAAAGGTCAGAAGGTCAAAGGTCAGAAGGTCAAACAGAAAAATATTAAGAGTTGTACTCAACCCAAGGTCAGAAGGTGCAAGGGTAAGAATTATGCATTCACAAACTCTTACAGTTAGAAGAATTTCTATTTACAAAGGTTAAAGGTCAAAGGTCCGATTTTGAGTACTAAAAGGTCAAAAAAAGATTCACTAAATATGAACTTTGCCAAACAAAATAAGTAAATTTTTAAACAAAATGTGGAGCTCATCATCGTTTAAAAAATATGAAACTTTGGTTTTCAACATTTAAAATAATTGAAAAATCTGGAATGAAGACGACTTTTAGACTTAATTTATTACTTTGAATAGTCCAATTCTAATGGGATACAGCATTTGTGCAATGTAAAGAGACCCATTTCACTTTATTAGTGATAAGTGTCAAGTCTAGTAAAACATTTTCTTTGTAACAACATCAAATACACAAGTATTGCTATAAAATCGTCTGGTTATAACTGTATAGATATAAATATACCTGTATCCTATTGTACTCGGTCATAACCTCCACAAACCGCCTGAAAATTAAATAATTTTATAAATCAGGAAACCGAGCGGCCAGATTTTGTATCTTGGATATCCGGATAAACCTTTGAATTAAGCGACTGACATCCATTAGACAAACTTTAAAGATAAAGAACTTAAAGTCCTAAATTGGGAAATCCTTAAGTCTGATCAATTCACTAATGTATAGCAATTCCAAGGGCAGCCGTAGTACATTTGAATTTCCGAGCCGGGTCAAACTTTCCGGTCCCAGTTTGTACTGTATCGACCAGACATTGGGTGAATAAAGCAGACACACAATAGTACTAGCCGGTGCAACAAAATTGGCACGGTTAGACTTTAGGTGGAATTTACTTTTACTAAAGGGTCAGAGGTGCGTGATTCACCCTTGAAATATATTCTGTGGCTAATTCCAAACTTAATGTAAACCATAGACATTTCAAATTATCAAAGGACTACAAAATTAAAATTCAGAAATTCAATGAATTCATTAGAGTTTGAGCAAATTATTTTAAGTCCTATTGCCTTTTTTTTAAATCTGTTTTTTTAAAATCTGTTTGAATATAATATTTTAAATCTGCTTGAATATACTATTAAAAATCTGTGTGCATATAATATTTTAAATCTATTTGAATATAATATTTTAAATCTGTTTGAATATAATATCATAAATCTTTGTGCATATAATATTTTAAATCTGTTTGAATGTAATATTTTAAATCTGTTTGAATATAATATTTTAAATCTGTTTGAATATAATATTATAAATCTGTTTGCATATAATATTTTAAATCTGTTTGAATATAATATTATAAATCTGTTTGAATATAATATTTTAAATCTGTTTGAATATAATATTATAAATCTTTTTGCATATAATATTTTAGATCTGTTTGAACATAATATTATAAATCTGTTTGCATATAATATTTTAAATCTGTTTGAATATAATATTATAAATCTGTTTGAATATAATATTTTAAATCTGTTTGAATATAATATTTTAGATCTGTTTGAACATAATATTATAAATCTGTTTGCATATAATATTTTAAATCTGTTTGAATCTGGGAATTTAATAAAATGTATTTAATTAAATTCTGAGAAAAAGTATCATAAAAATCTCAAATTAAATAGAAATAATAAATTCCACCGAAACTGTTTTTAGAAAAAAAAATTAGATTTGTTATCTGAGATTGGATATCAAATTTCAAATTACACTTGATTTTATTATTTTTTTTAAGTTGTTAAGTTGTTAAGTTGTTAAGTTGTTAAGTATGAAATTGCAGATATATTATTTGTTTATTTTTAATTAAATTATGAAAAACTTTACAAAGATCTAGACTGCGTGGATAAGTTGCATAAATTTTCAAGATTTGTGTCAACTTCACAGTGTTGGGTTTACTTCACTAACTTACATTATACTTTTTTGTAACCCTAGACATTTAAATGTTAAAACTAAACAATTGGAAAAATTCTCATTGATTTTAATATGAAAGGTTGCACTGGATCACTTGGAGTTTAGATTTCATACAGTGAAGCCCTTAATAACGAATACATTTATCAAATGTCGTCTTGACAATTTTTCAATGAGTTTTATACTATATTAAGTATTTGCGACAATAAATAAATAGCCATGAATATGCGGGAACAGTTTTAAAGAGCTCCATATAATCATTTAGTTAAAAAACTAAATATCTGCAACATTCCATTATCAGAAAGTGAAGAATGCGACATTTGATCAATTCTTTCCATGTATTCGTTATAAAGGCTTTCACTGTACAAAAAGAGAAGAAAAGCTTTTTTTGGATCTCTCATAATTTATCATCAATATTCTCTGTGGCAACATTTGCTTTATATTTGTCCAGCTTATATCAATATTAAAGGATTTATACGAGGAATATGAATATATTTTAATGCCAGAAAGGAACTGCGGTTTTGCCACAAACTCAAATTTTATAATATCTTTTTAATCTGTCAGTATAAACCCTTCAAACGATCGTTTGAAATATCAAAGATCTTTGAAATCGGGTTGCAAAGATATATGGATAAAAAATCAGAGTTTGTGAGAATCAAAATAAATGTTGCTACAAATCAGAAACGAAAATAACATGGTTGTGAAAGTTTTAAAGAAAAAGTTTATAATCACTTTAAATGAATTGCATATTAATCAAAATTAACAAAATGTTTCTTATTTCAGTTTTTTCATTAAATACAGTTAAACCCTAAATATTAAATACATCAAAAGAATTTATGAAATGTCGTCTTTACGTAAATTTCAGTTTTTGCAAAAATAAATAAATAGCCATGAATATGCGGGAACAGTTTTAAAGAGCTCCATATAATCATTTAATTAAAAAACTAAATATCTGCAACATTCCATTATCAGAAAGTGAAGAATACGACATTTGATAAATTCTTTCTATGTATTTAATATTTAGGGTTTAACTGTACCATAATAACAAATGAATAATATATATTCTCAGGATGTAAATCCCCAATAGTATTGTATTCCCTCCTGCATACTAAACAAATATCACTGCTTAATTATTTTGTATGTTTATATAGGGGTGAAACATTTTAAGAATCAAAAACGTATTTTACAGGGATTCTTAATCACGTTTATTAAGTAAAGTCTAATCCTAATCCTATTCTCCGCCGTAGCTCCGCCTCGACCCTTACCTTGATGCTCCCATATGTTGTGTTTTCCTAATCCTATTCTCTGCCGTAGCTCCGCCTCAACCCTTACCTTGATGCTCCCATAAGTTGAGTTTTCCTGATCCTAATCTCCGCCCTAGCTCTGCCTCAACCCTTACCTTGATGCTCCCATATGTTGTGTTTTCCTAGCAAAAATAGCGCAAAAGTTCGCAAAAATAAAATTTGCGCGAAAATAGCGCAAATTTTGCGCAAAAGATTTAGCCATTTCGTGGAAACCCTACTACGAAGGCGACATAAAAAATAATGTTGTCTTCGAACTTGGGGGTAACACTGCAGAGAAACTATTGTTGAAAATAATTATATTTTAAAGAGATTTTAAAGAGATAAACATAATTATCTTATTCATTCTTAGCCAGACAATGCTTTTTATGGTTTACGACTGGAAACTCGAAAGACATGACGATCCAAAGGACAAATTAGTCTTTCAATGGTTCATTTAACGAGTTGAAAAATGAAGAAACAAATTTACAGTTTGGGGGAATTATGAATTTAATGTATCTAACAGACAGTGTTAATTATGTAAAATCTAATCCTTTGTGGGTAACCTTGTTTTATCTTTTCAGATAGTGTGACAATGATTTAGAGAAATATAACTCTCTGCTCATTCTATACAATGTAAGAATACCTTGATGCTTCCATATGTTGTGTTTTACTAATCCTAATGTCCGCCGTAGCTCCGCCTCGACCCTTACCTTGATGCTCCCATAAGTTGTGTTTTCCTAATCCTAATCTCCGCCCTAGCTCCGCCTCAACCCTTACCTTGATGCTCCCATAAGTTGAGTTTTCCTGATCCTAATCTCCGCCCTAGCTCCGCCTCAACCCTTACCTTGATGCTCCCATATGTTGTGTTTTCCTGATCCTAATCTCCGCCGTAGCTCCGCCTCGACCTTTCTCCTCAGTATCCGTCTCCTGTTCCATCTTCTTCAATCTAAATAATATTAAATATATATTAATATAAAAATTTGTATAAACTAGCTAAAGTGCCCGAAGTTGCCCGTGGAATTTCAAAAACTCTTAACATAAAAATAAAAAATATCAATAAAACTATGGAATGAGAAGATAATTATGAAAATATATATTACTTTTGCAACAGCCCTTTATGTACGTGTGAGGAAACCTTACAATTTCACGGCAAAAATAGAATTTTTGGTTTTTAATATATATATATATATATATATCAGGAAACTCAGGATAAATATATTATAGGTGCTAGGTACTTTCCCAAAGGCATTTGCCGAAAGGCGACTTCCCAAGTGACTTACCTGGATCGACAACTATTCGCCATCTTTTTGATCTCGGCCATAAGATCGTCCATCTGCGCCTGCTGGGTCGAATCAACCTAAATTTAATTATTATTAAAGGGATTGTTCAGAAATTTATTAATAGAGCGCATTAAACAATTCACAAAGTTGTAACCCAAGAAATTTATCAAAAATTGTAACATTACTCTGTACAGTTAGAACAGAAAACAGTTGAAAAGGAAGACGACACAATAGCAATCCTTAACTGCATTTGATCAATAGTTTTATTAAATTTTGTATTAAGTAAAATGGGCTTGTTTACATGTTAATTTACTATTTAAAATCACAACTTGAACCGGAATGTCGTCTTCCTATTTCACAATTTTCTAGTTCTCACTGCAATTTGCTAGAACAAGGCTTTTAGGGCGCTTCGCGCCATCTTCTTTTTAAACTTTTAACTATTGCTTTATCTTTGAGCACTTTCTCTTTGAACAGTATAAAAAAAAATTTAAACAAATTTGCGGATTTCATAATATTTTTTCGCGCATTTTCAAAATTTTACAAAATTAAATAATTTAAGATAAAAATATTTTAAGATGACATATTTAAAGTCTGATTGGCCATAAACCTTCCCTGGGGCCACGTGAGGTCCCACACAAAATTTGGGCCTGATCGGTTCAGTCGTCTTGACGTTTATTGGATACAAACAAACAAACAGACAGACACCCAAGCAAAATTTATATATAGACTAGACTTATAGGGCGCTTCGCGCCCATCTTCTAAATTTATTGTGAACATGTGCTCTTTGTGTACATCGTAAAACAAAACAAAAATAATTCGCGGATTTTCACAAAAAATTTCGTGGATTTTCAAAATTTTCAAAAATTTAATGAAGATCGAATTTTGATGGAGACAAATATTTGAAATTTTGATCATTCATAAACCTTCCCTGTGGTAACGTGATGTCCCACAAAAAATTTGGGCCCGATCGGTTCAGCCGTTTTGACGTTTATTGGATACAAACAAACAGACAGACAGACAAACAGACAAACACCAAGACAAGCCAAATTTATGTATAGATAGTGAAAAATGACGATTGTGAATCTATTATGGTACTTTTTAAAGAAGGGTCATTTACAATGAAGGTTAATATTTTTATATTATTATGATTTATTTGTCCGAACACACAAATAATGTCTATTCGTAATAAATTGTCTAGGATTCCCAAATTCCAGATACTTGATATTCTTACAATTAATCCGATCCTAATACTAACAGTAGAGATAGATCAGAACAATAATAAGAATTGTATCAAAAAAATTCGTTTGTAAAAAAAGGTTCTTATAAAATATATACTGTTATTTACAAATAGATTACAGATGGCAACAGAGAAATGGACCAATAATACATGACGTCACAAGTGTCAAATAGGAAGTTAGTTGAACCCAAACCTCCTTGTTATACTTCTCTTATGGCGCATTTACTCTGCTTTAAAGCAGAATTTAATCCCTCAATAAGGAAGGAAAAGTCTATTCATGAGGCTTAGGCTCAAATTCCCATTAGAGGGAGAAATCAAGCTAAACTGCCTTTTTAAATCAGAGCTTAAAACTTTAGAATGGTGGATATCGAGATTAATGCTTGATTTCCTCTTTTTCTTGATCTCCAGATTAAATAATGGTTGTTCTCCTCTTGTTGGTAATCTCCAGATTAATTAACCGATCGGGATACAGTAAAATCTTTCGTTCAGAAAAAAAGATAGTTTTTTTTTTAAAAGTTTTTTGTTAAGTAAACCCCCTATTTTGTTCAATATTCCGCAAAACCGTTCGTTCAGTAAAAAACAATCGTTATTTCGAGATTTTTATCGTTTTTTGTTCGTTTTAAAAAACGAGAGTTTTTTCATTTCCCTGAACGATCCAAGATCTTCGTTCATCGTTAGTTTATTCCTGTTGGCACCATCGTTCACGAAAACTTTCCTTCGTTCACATTTATACTAAAATTTGAAATATTTACCTGGATCGGCAACTATTCGCCATCTTTTTGATCTCGGCCATAAGATCGTCCATCTGCGCCTGCTGGGTTGAATCAACCTAAAATTTATAATTGTTAAAGGGATTGTTCAGAAATTTATCAATAGAGCGCATTAAACAATTCACAAAGTTGTATCCCTTGAAATTTATAAAAATTGTAATATTACTCTGTACAGTCAGAACAGAAATTGTTGAATAGGAAGACGAAATAATAGCAATCCTTAACTGTTTTTGATGTTGTTACAAAACAAAAAGTTTTATTAAATCTCGTATTAAGTAAAATGGGGTTGTTTACACTGCACAATTTCACTATTTAAAATCATAACTTGAACCTAAAAGTCGTCTTCCTATTCCACAATTTTCTAGTTCTCATGTAAGTTTTTAGAATTGCGAAAAATGACGATGAGCTCTTATTGTGAACCTATTATGGTACTTTTTAATGAAGGGTCATTTACAACGACGGTTTATATTTTTATATTATTATGATTTGTTTGTCGAACACAGAAATAATGTCTATCCGTAATAAATTGTCTAGGATTCCCGAATTCCAGATACTTGATATTCTTACAATTAATCCGATCCTAATACTAACAGTAGAGATAGATCAGAACAATAATAAGAATTGTATCAAGAAAATTGGTTTGTAAAAAAAGGCTGTTATTAAAATATATACTGTAAATTGCAAATAGATCATCAAGTACAATAGCTGGCAACAGAGAAATGGACCAATAATACATGACGTCACAAGTGTCAAATAGGAAGTTGAGCCCAAACCTCCTTGTTATACTTCTCTTATGGCGCATTTACTTTGCCTTAAAGCAGAATTTAATCCCTAAAACAGGAAGGAAAAGTCTAGTCCTACCTAGAGCAGTGAGGTCATTTCCATCCAGAGTTCCTTAAATAGGAAGTTGTCGGAAAATGGCCCTGGTACCTAAGGAACTCACTTTACCTTCCTTATATAGGAATGATAAATGTTTCAAAGCAGAGTAAATACGTCATAAGAGAAGTATGACAAGGAGCTTAACTTCCTATTAGAGGGAGAAATCAAGCTAAACTGCCTCTCAATAATAATAATGACAATAAAATTGACAAAAATGATGATAATGTTTAAAAACTAAATATTGACCTTAGCACTGTTGAGTATCTGAGATTGGAGTTGTTTGACCTCATTAATCTTGGCATCAATCTTATCCGCTAGATCCCTCATCTCCTCAACCTCCTTGAAGAACTCCTTCATGTGCCCCTCCGTCTCCTCGTCCACCGGGATATTAAACGAATCATCGTCGTCGAAATAAGTGTTGGCCTGCATGGCTGCAAGCCTGTCCTTGGGTGGCCCCATCTTTGGTTTGGTTTGGTTCGGTTGCAATCAGCTGTTGGAAGATGGCGCCTTCAAAATGGCGGAAGAAATCTAAACAAATAGTTTTTGCATAAACAAATTAAATAAGAAAAAGATAACTTCCCTTGTACTCTAATCTTTTAATCCGTTGATTTGCTGTCACACGATTCAAACAGTCTAAGTTGGAAATATTAAAGGGTTACCCCATCGAGTTGTAAAAATAAAGGTAATAGAAAATTTAAGACAAGTAAAAAGTAACCATGGAACCTTTGTAGAAAAAATGGGAGATCGATCTAATTATTGAAAATTTAAATAATTGGACTTGGGTATGAGAGTTTGTGTTCAGTATTTTAAACTTTAACTTAGTTTGATGGTAAATGCGTGAAATGAAATTTAAAAATCTCCAAAAGTTTTCTACCGAAGAAAACTTTTCCTTTATACAAAATCAATAAAAAGTTTGGGAGTTTTTTGGATTATTTCCATTCGACTGCACAATGATTGATATAAGTACAATTGTTTCAAGTCGAGTTGTTTAGATAAGTCAAATTGTTTTTTAGGTTTGTCTTTAACGGAATCATTAAAATACAATTAGATTACATTAAATTAACGAAATTCGTCTCATTTAAGTAGAGAGAAAAAAAATAAAAATTTCTTTCGTTATGTGATAACCAGAAAATTTTTAAATAGGAAGACGACTTTTAGACTCAAGTTATAACTTTAAAATGCCCAATGAGCATGAGAAACAGCAGTTGTGGGGGTGAAACAGACCTATTTCGCTATATTTTTTATTTATTAAGCAAAACTAGTAAAATTATTTGTTTTGTAACAAAATCAAATATACATATTGTTATAATGTCGTGTTCCAATATCTATAGTTTCTGTTTATCACCTATTTTTAGATTATATGGGATTAATCGAAATCTTTTTAAACAATTCCTTTTAATAAACATTATTGTATACGATTCAAATAATTTTAATGATCCCATTTAATAAACCTCATGTTGCATACAATCCCTTTGAACTCACCTAATGTTGATTACGATCCCTTTAATTCTAGCGTAATGTTCGATACGATCCCTTTGATATTAGCGTGATGTTGAATACGATCCCTTTAAACTTAATTAATGTTGTCTACGATCCCTTTAAACTCAATTAATGTTGGCTACGATCCCTTTAAACTCAACTAACGTTGTCTTCGATCCCTTTAAACTCAATTAATGTTGTCTACGATCCCTTTAAACTCAATTAATGTTGGCTACGATCCCTTTAAACTCAACTAACGTTGTCTACGACCCCTTTAAACTCAATTAATGGTGTGTACGGTCCCTTTAAAATATCCTAATGTTTGTATGCGATCCCTTTAAGCTGACCTGATGTTGTTGTGAAGAGGGGTTTGGTAAGAATGTATCGAATATGCTCCCTTTGTCAACGGCATACAGTCTAGAAGCAACCAAAATATTAATGAAATGGACTGTCGAAGTGTTGAGTGTCGAAGTGTCGAAATGTCGAAGTGTCGAAGTGTCGAAGTATCGAAGTTTCGAAGTGTCGAAGTGTCGAGGTCTCGAAGTGTCGAAGTGTCGAAGTATCGAAGTGTCGAAGTGTCGAAGTGTCGAAGTGTCGAAGTGTCGAAGTGTCGAGGTCTCGAAGTGTCGAAGTATCGAAGTGTCAAAGTGTCGAATGCCCCTCCATGTATAGAGGGGTATTCTCGATTCATAAGGATACCTTTAACCATTAAAAAAAATAGACAATTTGCGGATTTATGTAGCAGAGACAAAGAAGTTAATTGTCAGAATGTAACTCTTTTTGAGAGAGAGAAAACGAGGATATCTTGAAATTTCATCAACAGTCAACTCAAGAAAAGTGTTATTTAAAAAAAAATTTTATTGATGAACATTGGTTCTAAAAACATTTCAAATTGAAATAGATTTGTTTTCTCATCATGAAATATATTATGTATATAATATACAGAGCCTATGAGATTAAATTTAAGATAAAATAAGCGTTTAAGTTTTTTTAAAGGTNATTGAAACCAGAAAAACATGACAGCTAATTGAACCCAGCAAAACATGGCAGCTAATTGAACCCAGCAAAACATGGAAGCTAATTGAACCCAGCAAAACATGGAAGCTAGAAAACAAGAAGATTGGAAAATAATTATCTGCATTCTGCATTAACATTTAGCAATAAATTTGTTTCATAAAAATCTGGAAAAAGAAATTAAATAAGAAATTTTTAAAGAGAAATGATATTTGAATAAAGATGCAGTGTCCGAATTTAATTAATTTAAGCCGCGTCTCAAATCCCCCAAAAACCGGTTTCAAATGAGCGCCGGCTTACATCTTGAAATATTAAATACAATTTTAAGTGGTACCAACCATATTTGAGCCACGGCTCAAATTCTCTAATAATTCGGTCTCAGAACTTTCTGATTACATAATTCTTCCACTTTTAACGGAAACAATCTTAAAAGACAATTTTTCTTCAGCTAAAATATATTTTTTTTTGGTTAAAAGTGAATTTGAGGATTAGAAAAATTAAGATTTGAATAAGCATTTAAAAATATTTCTAAAATAAGTAAAATTTGTATCTTTAAATTTTTATAAAAACACTTGCTGTAAAAGATTGAAATAAGGTAATTTGATTCTGTATTTTAGATACCAAAGAAAGATAATTGTTTAGCAGGAAAATGTCCGAAAAAATGCATCCACATCAACAATATGAAACATCCGTTATTGATATTGTATTTTTTGACACTTTTAGCAAATATTTTTGATTATTGCAAAAACAAATGCTTCAATCAGGTTGCATAGATTTAGGGATTAGCAAAGTTGAGTTTATGGCGAAGACTCAATTCCTTTAAGATACAAATTTATCACCTTGACGTTTTGAACTCAATTCATCTACATTTTTTCAGACATTTTCATGCCTTCATATCATCTAAAAGTATAAAATAATCAATATATAATTCACAAAATTTTGTATCATCTAAATTGGTAACAAAACTTTCAATTATAATTCGAGGATTTCGTTGGAAGTTTCTTTTAAATGGGGTATTCCCCTTAAAACACTGAATCTCCCAAAATAAGAGAGAAAAAACAACAACATTAATTAATAAAAAATGTGATTTTGTTAACATGAGGGGGTGGGGCGGGAAATCAACGTTTAACAAAAGTTTTTGAACCATAATCGTAAGTTTTCATCGTGATTTTGAACCATAATTGTAAGTTTTCATCGTGATTTTGAACCATAATTGTAAGTTTTCATTGTGATTTTGAACCATAATCGTAAGTTTTCATCGTGATTTTGAACCATAATCGTAAGTTTTCATCGTGATTATGATACCAATTTAAAAAATGTTTTACAGAGAAGTCTAACCATACAAAAGCAATATTAATAAAAATAAATAAAAAAGTAAGAATTTCTAATAAAAAAATACTCTGTAGATATATTTCTCTCTTATATGAACAAAAATAAATATTATTATATTCCTTAACATTTAATATTCTCCAACGGTTACACGTATATCTATGCTATAAACGAAGTCTAAAATTAGAAAACTATAGGAATAGAAAGGTTATAGGAAGGCAGGAAGCTACGCAACACAATATATTCATTTAAATCATATCAGTATCACTGACAAATGAAATTCGTTCACTTTCAGAAGTCGGAAAAAAATAAATACAAGTACGGTGTAAAAATAAATTAATGCATGTTATTGTTACACTGTGAAGTGTACAGTATGAATCGTTAAGCATGTGTATAATTTGATTAGATTTACAAGTCTAAGATTACAGTGTGAATCGTATTTGTGAATTATACTGGTGTACATTCTAGGTGTACAGTGTATGTAAGCAGCACAGTTTGAATTGTACATGTGAATAATACTGGTGGATTTACAAGTCTGTGTGGACAGTGTGCGCAGTGTAAAATGCATGTACGTGTGAATTATACTGTTGGATTTATAAGTGTAACGGTACGGTGTACAGTTTGAACTGTACGTGTCAATTACACTGACGGATTTACAAGTCTAACTGTACAATGTACAGTGTGATTTGTACGTGTAAATGATATTGACGGATTTCTAGGTTTAACTGTACAGGTGCGATTTTTACGTGTGAATAATGCTGGTGGATTTACAAGTCTAACTGTACAGTGTGATTTGTACTTAAATAAATAATATTGGCGGATTTACAGTCTAGGTGTGGGTGTATCCACTGTACTGGGATCACATGATGGTTGTGGAGAGGGGGGGGTGGTTGGGTGGCCTCACTAGGATGGTTAAAAGGGGGAGTCTGGCCTAGAACTGCCTGCCACCGGCCTCAGGCAGCCTCAAGCCTAAATATACTTCCCTTAATCTTCTCTACTCTATTCATCCAAGATTAAATAATATTTACAGGTTAGTAAATAATATATATATATTATGTAAATGTATAATGTACATATTAAATAAACTTAATGAAATGAGAAAAATCAAATAACATTCTGAATAAACAAAATACTTTTCCTCTATTTACTATAGCACTTGCTAGCTATTTAGCTATTTACTTTTGAACTAGCTATCAATATATATATTTACTGTATAAATAGCTATCTATATCTATATAACTTATCTACTATTGAACTAGCTATCTATTAAAATATATACTATTGAACTAGCTATTTCCATTTACTATGGATCTAGCCATTTATTTATCTATTTACTATAGCACTAGCTATCTATTTATCTATCTAATATAGATCTAGCTATTTATGTACTATTTATGTACTATTTATTTACTATTTATGTACTATTTATGTACTATTTATGTACTATTTATTTACTATTTATGTACTACCTATCTATGTACTATAGAATAGAACTAGCTTTCTATTTATCTATTGACTATAGAACTAGCTGTCTACTTCTTTATTTATAAGTATTGACGAACTATCTATTTCTCTATTTACTATTAAACTTTCTATCTATTTCTCTATTCACTATTGAACTTTCTATCTATTTCTTTATTTACTAATGAACTATCTATCTATTTCTCTATTTAGTATTGAACTATCTATCTATTTCTTTATTTACTATTGAACTTTCTATCTATTTCTTTATTTACTATTGAACTAGCTTTCTATTTCTTTATTTACTATTGAAATTTCTATCTATTTCTCTATTTACTATTGAACTATCTATCTATTTCTTTATTTACTTTTTAATTAGCTATCTATATCTTTATTAACTATAAAACTAACTATTTGTTTCTCTATTAACTATTGAGAACTAGACAGCTATTTTTCTATTTATACTATTAAAAAGGCTATCTACAATCTACATATTTCTCTTTATACTATTGAACAGGCTATCTATAAATTTCTATTTACATTATTGAACTATGCCAGCTATTTCTAAAATTACTACTAAACTATTATATTATCTAAAACCATATTCACTATTGAACTAGCTTTTCCACTAAGACTAATCTAATTAGCTATCTGTTCTCAGATCTTTACTATCCATTCCAACTATTTACTACATAACTATCTTTTGAGCTTTCATTTGAGTTATCAATTTATTTGGTCTCGAAAAATCTAATTATTTAAAATTATTATTTATAACTTGAATCAGTCTATAACATGTAACCAATCTTAAATTGTAATTATCTACTAATTATGTACTTTTACTTTTTCAATTATTCAAGTTTGTGTTCAAGCTATCTACCTATCCTCCGTCCAAAACCTTTTCATAAATCTCCTACAAAATATAATGCAAAACGAGTTTTTAAACTTTCCCGTAAACGAGTGAAAAATTAAATTTTTAAAACAAAATTTGCCTATTATTTAAAAATCTTTTTTTGCCTTCTATAGTCTGTATGAATTTATTATGTATTAGCTTGGAAGCCCAGGGTAGTCATTTTTAGTTCTATCGTTTACCCGCGCTTTGTCGTAAATTACGAATTACGAATCTCAAAACCAAGCGAAGAACACCTGTCAAGTTCTCCAAATCAAATTTTGAGGCAAATCGGTCCAGGGGTTCCTGAGTTATGAGCGAACAAACAAACAGACAGACAAAAAGAAATTATAACTTTCTATATATAGACTAGCTTGAGAACCATGCGTGTGGATCAGGGGGTCATAGTTAGTCCCACCGTTTACACGCCCCTTGTCGTAAAATACGATTTTAGCAAATTTTTGATAAATAGATACTGACAAACTTGTCTACAAGGTTACCCTAAAGAAATAAGACTTTAAAGACAACTGTACAGAATTTATTCGTCCTTTTCTTTAAATTCATTGTTCTCTTACAGCTATAATTTCTTTTTTTTCCGGAGTAAATTTCATCTAATATTTTATTTAAAGGCATGTATCCGAATTGAACCTTTTTCTCATTAAAAAAATAATCTTAACCCCACAGTTGAAATCTGATTGGTTGCTCAAAAACTGCATTTTTCAATGATAAATGCATATTTATCTTACAAGAAAAACAAGCGTTCGTATATTCAATACCCATACAAGCGTTGAATTGTCTAGATTGAATAAGATGGGCCTGTTTTTTTATTGATTATCATCATTTCTGTGGGTTCCTTGTAAAAGTGTTTTGAGAAGAAGTAAATCTAAAGAACAATATAGGAAACATTGGAATTCAACACAATTTTTTAACTGTAAGGTACTTTCCCAAAGGCATTTCCCCAAGGGCAACTTCCCCAATGTGCAATTTCGTCAAAGGTTAGGTTAGGCCCTCTGAGGCGTCGCAGGCTGCAATGGGGACCGAGAGCGGCGACAAGGACACACTTGAAAGTTGCCGCTTGGGAAATTGCACATTTGAGAAGTTGCAACTTGGAAAACTACCCAGGGGAAGCTGCCACTTGTGAAAAATCCTTTGGGAAAGTATCTAACATCTGAAAAACGACGATATCCTCCACATTTTTGAAGAAAACCATTGTGAATCGGACATTTAGTCCCCGTTGAATGAAGAGTGACTTGAACTTACAACGTATAGTCCCTTTAATGCACAGCTGTAAGCTATAGTATCACCAGATTGTATAAAAACCTAGCCTAATAAATATTCTATCATATTATAGACAAATATTCTATCATATTATAGACAAATATTATATCATACTATAGACAAATATTCTATCATATATTCTATCATATTTTAGACAAATATTCTATCATATTTTAGACAAATATTCTTTCATATTATGAACAAATATTCTATCATATTATTGACAAATATTCGATCAAATTATAAACAAATATTCTATCATATTATAGACAAATATTCTATCATATAATAGACAAATATTCGATCATATAATAGACAAATATTCGATCATATAATAGACATATATTCTATCATATTATAGACAAATATTCTATCATATTATAGACAAATATTCTATCATATTTTAGACAAATATTATATCATGCTATAGACAAATATTCTATCATATATTCTATCATATTTTAGACAAATATTCTGTTATATTATAGACAAATATTCTATCATATTATAGACAAATATTCTATCATATAATAAACAAATATTCGATCATATTATAGACATATATTCTATCATATTATAGACAAATATTCTATCATATTAAAGACAAATATTTTATTATATTATAGACAAATATTCTATCATATTATAGACAAATATTCTATCATATTATAGACAAATATTCTATCATATTATAGACTAATATTCTATAATATTTTAGACAAATATTCTATCATATAATGGACAAATATTCTATTATATTATAGACAAATATTCTATCATATTATAGACATATATTCTATCATATTTTAGACAAATATTCTATCATATTTTAGACAAATATTCTATCAAATTTTAGACAAATATTCTATCATATTATGGACAAATATTCTATTATATTATGGACAAATATCCTATCATATCTTAGACAAATATTCTATCATATTATAGACATATATTCTATCATATTATAGACAAATATTCTATCATATTATAGACATATTTTATGGTCTCCTTAACGAAGAATGTTTTAAGTGTTCAAAGAATTTTATATTTGTACACCGTTTCTGAAACAAGCGACATATTTTTGTTAACACTAGGTATACAGGGTTAACCCACAAAGGTTGAGACTATAAAGACGATCTGAAACTCATAAAATGACAATTCCAAGGTTAAACAAGTTATAATTGAAGACTATCCGAAGAAAGCTTCGCCGAAGAAATTATTCTGAAATTTTGGTAGCTTAAGACTTCCACTTCCTGTACATCCTTGAAATCATCTCTGGATTGTTCGGTAGATTGACCTATCCAACATCTCAAAACAAAACCCCTCCGGACATTAATTATTTTATTAATAAAAGGCTTATTGTTTCATCATAGCATCTTAAAAGTTCTTCGATTAATACCTAGAATGACCATCTTAAACTCAAACAAACCTTTTAGTGGCCTTTTAAGCAATTTAACAAAGATAGAAACATGTTTACAATTATTGCAGTGAGAATCATAAAGTAAGGAGCAGTATAAATGCAGTACAATCGTACAATCGTCTCTGAAGTCTCTTTCTTTGTGGGTAAACAGCTAGCTGTAGATGCTATCTAGTTAGAAATATTGATCATTTGAACTACTCACATGTACGCGCAATAGTTTGAATAATCAATGTTCAAATTCACATTTTTCAAACTGATTTGAACTATTGATAAAATAGTTCATTCAAAAATTAAGTTCCATTGAACCATACATAGCTAAATTGAACATAAAAATGGTTAAAGTGTACATATAATAGTTAGAGAAATATAAGTTCGATCCAAAACATGTCTTCGACTATGTCACGTACAAAGTATGGAACAAAAAAGAACCGTTTTTCAAATTACAGACCACAGGGCGTCCCATATCATAAAGCTTTATTCAATATTTCAAATTCAATGCTTATTTTCTACGGACATTCCAATAAGGTATGGGACCTACTGTCTTTTAGTATAACTTTGAATCAAAACCGACCATGATGTCGTCTTTGAATCCCAATGTAAGAACAATTAAAACCCCGATTACCAACTCAAAAAATACAAAAAAAGAACAAAAATAAACTTTTTCAAAAATATGGTTTGCACATAATATATTTTCTCATCTTTAATCTGTCATTTTAACTATATAAAGGTTTCGAAAGATTTGAAAATGCATCAGATTTATCTTGTGAAGTTCCTTCCATGCCTCGGCCTCTCATCCCTATCCTTCCCTCCACGTCCTCCAAACTTATCCCTTCCTCGGCCTCCACGCTCCCATCCGCGTCGTTCCCCCCGGCCTCTAAACCTCCGATCCTCCCTAGGTCCAGGCCTAGCCTCCCTACCCAGGTCCCTAGGTTCACTAGTCCTATATCCTTCAGGACTCCAACCCCGGGAATCCCTCCGAAAACCGGCTCTTTGTCCGTTACCCCTAAACCCCCGCCCCCTATCCTGTCCTCTGCCACGCCCTCTGAAAGGGGGCGGGAGAACAGGCTCCCTGGTTGCTTCTCTAAGCTGTGAAGGTGGTTTAAGAGCTGCGGCAGCTTCGCGCTGCGCAAACAATTCCTTTGCGGCCTTGATGGACTGTTTGTTGTACCCGGTTGGACCGGTCGGCTGCTGACCTTTCAATTCTAACACTAAAAAGTCGTCCACATGGAGGGATGGTGGACGACTTGTGTTCGGCGGACGAGTTCTAAATGGGTCGGGACGAGTGAAAGTACCTCGGTTAAACCGTTGAGTTCTAAGATTAATCTGTCCTCCACTCTTGAAGTTTGAGATGATACTTTTGTTGTAGATAGCTTTAGTCTCAAGAGCAGACTTCTTCACCTTCTTCTTCCGTTCTAGAGCTAGGCTTGACTCCTTACATACCTCCAGGCACTCCTGAACCAGGTTCAGTTCCGGGAGGTACCTAGAGTTTAGATCCAGTAGATCCGTCTCTTCTCTCTCATCCACCAAACCTGAAATAAATCAGAATATTGAGGTTTCAAACTTTTTCTAAATATCTAACTGTCACAGTTTAAAATATTAAAGATGTATAAGATGCAGTGAGACCCATAGAACTGTGGAGTAGGAAGACGATTGTTACTGTTAGATTGAAGTACTGATCTTAGATCAGGATCCGGAAAAATATGCGGATCCACGGATCCGGAACCAGGGGGTAAAATGTCAAGCAAAAACTGAAAAAAAACTTGTTTACTCCTAAAACCCAAATCTGAACTTCTGAAAAAAGGGAGATTATAAAAATTTCCTCATTTCTGAATGGTTTTAGGATCAAAATAAGCGAAAAAAAATAAAACAAAAAATTGAAAATTATTTTTTTTGTTTAAAGAATTCAGTAAATCTTAAAGAAATGAGCTGGATCCAGATTTTGAATCCGGATAAATTTTTTTCCATTGTGGATCCAGGACCCGCATCAAAATTAAATGAATCCTAAGCACTGTTAAAAGTCAGTGTTTATTTGTTTTTTTTTAGTTGTAAAGTACAAAATATTTTATTGGTATTCACATATGTGTGAAAAAAGTGACAATGTCAAAGGTGGCGTGATTTTAAAACATTGGAGCCTCTGGTTTGTAATAAAAATCAAGAAAATTTCAGTTCGAAAAAGCAAAACAAGTAAAAATTGCAATTCTTTATTTTTTGACTCACCATTAAAAAATGTCACCCAGGAAAATAATAACCTTAATCAAAGAAAAAAAGAGCAGACACATTTTTTTGTTACAAAAAAATCTGAAAGGGTTGTTGATAACATTTGTAGATGTGTTTGAAACAATACCCCATTTCGAAAAACACTAGAAACTGTTTACCCTTTTTTTATACCAAATATCGAATTTTAAAACAAATTGTTTATTCTTAAAGGTTTTTTTTCCTCAAGGTAAAACAAGGTCGAATAAATGTTGAATAACAGATCCCGTTAAAGGGACTGAAAGGGTAATTTAAAGTGACCCTTTATTCAAAGATGGCAATGCCCGATTTACAATGGTACCCTTCAAATCTTTTTCCTGTCAAGCATGAATTAGATATCCATGTCTATATTTCTTAAAACTGTTTATTTTCATTTCCGGATTCCCTGAGAAAATTATTTGCACATTCTTTATTATAAAAGCAATGGGAAATTCACAGAAAAACATCGGTATCTTTCGCTATTTTAATCAGATTTCAAGAGTACCATTGTGAATTGGGCATTGCCATCTCTGCATAAAGGATCACTTAAAATTACGCTTACAGTCCCTTTAATATTAAAAATTATAAGGGAGCGAGATAATTTACCCGTGTCAGTTGAGGACGAGTGCAGACCGAACCAGTATTCCTGAGTAAGATGAACTGTCTGCTCCGGGTGTACTGTAACCTGTCTCCAGTCCCACTGTGTGAGTAGAGGAGTAGGAGAAGGAAGGATGGATTCCTCCTCCTCTACCTCCAATCCTTCAACTCCAGGCCCTCCAACCTCAATATTCTCCAGCTGCTCCATTAGCGCCTCCAGCTCAAACTATACAACAAGAAATAATCAAAATCTTTAAAGGTTTAAAGGGACTGCGCCGACTTTATCTTTACCAGGACATAAATAATCTTTATTTTTTTAAGTGAATAACTGGACATAATTGACAGAAACGAATGATATTGGGGAAAATGATCATCTGCAATAAAAACTTGCATCTATCAATTACTTGTCGCTTAAAAATTGTAATTTGTAAAATTATGAAAATAAAAAATTCCAAATTTGTTGATACTTAATATTTGCTTGCACTTTACCAACTGTTAACCCTTTTCCCTGTACTTTTTTGATGATACAAATTTTGCATAGTTTAATAAAAGCGAACTTACACAAAATACGGTTTTGAAATATTGGAACCTTATTTTTATGGTGCCTTTTAAAAATCCAAAAATTTTAAACTCATTAAAAAAAAGAAACAAGATACTTCGAACGAACATATAGGTGCCAAAAAATGAGACATCCATAGTCCACACATCAATGCATCGCAACATTTTATAACTGTACGAGTACACATTTAAAAATGGAGAAACTGTAAGATGTGGATCAATTTCATATGCAAAACTGTACTCTTCACAGGGAAGGAGAAATATTCACAAATTATTTGCATTTTCGCGTTTAAACGTGCGCCTAGCTCTGCATGAACTGCAAGGTGTCCCACGAAGCACGACAGTAGCAAGACGATTAGAAAGTCATCTTTGATTTTTAACTTTATTTGTCACATTTAATCGTCAACCTACTTAAACATGTATGATATTTGAAAACAATAATCACAAAATTCTCCTAGTCCAAGCGTTTCCAAATGTGGTCTGCCTTTTTGTGCTGTCAATATTACAAAAGATTGCAATTTTATTAACTTCTACACATCTCGGGTAATATTGAAAGAAGAAAAAGGCAAACCAGATTTTAGAAATGCCAGGATTTGGGGTATTTTATGATTATTAACTCTAGAATTTTACTTCTAAAATTAGGTTGACAAATAAATGCAGCAATTTATATCAAAAATCAAAGACTTTTGCTACTGTTGTTTCGTGAGACACCCTGTATATTATCACCTTTGTTTGGTTCAGATTTGGATAGGCCTCAAAATGATCCTTTATACTGTTCTGGATGAGTTTAAGAGGATGTTCTTTCTTTCTCTCATCTCCTTCCTCCTCAGATTCCTGCACGGTTCAAATATTCATTAACAAGATCCTATTTTCAACTGCTTGACAAGACTGCTTATTTTTGGCGGGAGAAGCCTTTTGGTGGATTTTGACGACGTCCTAAAATGCTCAGTCTCGAAAATCCACCATTATTCCGCAAAAAGTAAGGCATTTTTAGTTAATTAAAACAATGCAATTCTTCCCACTTACCCTTCTTTTTATTCTGACTATTTTTGAGGGGGGGGGGGGATAAATGGAAGAGTTTGCATATGTATCTCAATGAATGAATCCATTTTAATTTTAATCCAGGAAAATCCTCAGAATTCAGAATCTTTTAACAATTAAAAATTCTGAATTGTTAAGGAAAATGTAAATGAGGAATTAGGGGAGTTACGGTCAAGTAAGTGAAGTAAGTAAGGGTAGCAACAAAACCCATTATATTAGATTCGTAAAATTTCTTTATCGATAAAATGAAAATATCTTGATTCCTTATTTGCAATAATTATTTTCGCAGATTCTTCTTCAAAAGTCGTCTTAGCAATATAAGCCAAGGAAATCTGAAAGTTTTGAAACAATGACTGAATATATGAAATCAACACTAATAATATCCTGACATTGAATTCTATAATGCTCTCAACCCAACTTCCCTTTATGCTGCTCATTCACTTTAATGCAGTTCTATTCAAACATTTCTAAATATTCACCATAAAAATATTTTTAACTTTTTAGAAAACTTCAACTTAAATAAAGTTCACTAGAACTTGTAAAATATTTCTTTTAACTAAAATCTAGAAACAACGAAATAGAAAATATTCAATTAGGAAAATGGTCTTTAATTTCTAAAAAGAACTGAACATATGCCTCATACTTTTCAAGAAAACCCCTGTATCATTGCAACCTGGTGTGAAATTTTGATATTGCAGATCTAGTATTATTCAAAGTTTAAGATATCAAAGGTCTAAGAAATTAAGTTTAAATGTAGGGATTTGAAAATCAGAGTGAGGAAAAAGTTGGCAGTTCCAGAATTTTTAATGAGAAAACAGTTCTAACATTGTAAATGCAGTCAAAGAATATTTTCCTGAGGTATATTGTACTGAAGAAGCCAGGCTAGCTCCGGGACGGATAGAACCTGAATCCGAGCAGGAAATCCGTCCTGCTCTGCTCCAGGTACAACCAGCATACGGAGAAACTCCACCGTCTCGGTCAAACAATCTACGTACACGGGATCACCGGGATCAAAATCCGTGGCGAGGTTCCGCAGAAAGGAAAAAAGCGTCCGATGCTTAGTATTAAGACAAAGTTTAAGCCTACTAAAACTATGACCGTTTCTTGTAAACATTTTAAACGTCCGGATGCTCAAGAGCTGGATTGAATGATTAGTCTTGAGCTCGAATGTGTACGGGTTGAGTAGAACTCTGACGAGTTCAAGAAGTGAGTTTCCATCAGGAAGTGAGTCAGATAAATACTGATCCCAACCCTCAACACTTCCTAAAGGTTTAGTTCTTAAACTAATCGTTGGATCACAGAGGCTCTGTATAACTGAAATGGCGGACTCTTGGCAAACATCTGAACCCTGAGTAAAGCAGAGTTCAAGAGTTCTTGATAACTCTGTTCTAAAACTCTCCTCCTGCAGCTGGGAGTATATCACACTCAGAACATGAGGTAGAGAGGAGATCCAACTGAGAAAATTCATATTTCTACCGGACACAATCATTGCTTTACTCTGCAGAGCACTAGTACAGATTCTCACCACACCCTGGAGTATACAAACTGCTACTGGTGGAGCTAGTCCTACAAGTTGTTCACAAACTTGTTTCACCAACTGGAGTAGTGGAGGATATGCAACTCCTACAACTTGTTCAACTAGTCGTCCTAGTTCCTCCTGCAAAGGGTGCAGGTGGGCGGACCATAGCTTCCTCGAGTTTAAGACCACACGATTTTCCTCCTCGGAGAGAGGGCGTGGTGAAGGCATGGGTAGAGGTAGTGGGAGTAGTTTGGATACAAGACTTAAGCCTGGTATATAGAAACAAGGAGACTTGATCACGTGACTTAATACTTCACGGAGCATCTCAGTCCACAGCGACTTTGATATATCATCCTGCAAATACATAACGTTTTTAAAATTAAAAATATTTTTAAGAATCAAAAATCTAAAAAAATTTGGTTCTCCATTAATGACTTGCATGTCCGATTCCGGATTCAGAAGGGCAACCCCTTAAATGCTTTGTCTAAAGGAGAAAAAGTGAGATATCAATGTTTTTCTCTTTGAAAAATGGTTATTTTTAATTGCAGATTATCTACACAGTCCATGGAAACAACTACATCCTTTTCAGATAAGAATTTAAAGGTTACAATTGTAAATCGGACATACTCCACCCTAAAGTTTCACTTGAAATCACGACTTACAACAGTCCCTTTAATGGACAAAAAAATCCTGAAGTTGAATAGAAAATTGCATCGCAGAGACAAAACCCGTATTTTCGTAACCTTTTCTGTTTCTGTCTAGACATTCATATTTAGCTCTAAACCCGAAATTTTAAAGAGTATCGTTGAATGAAACTTTTGAGTTTCCTTTTTGGGGTCTTAACATTTTGTAAATTTTGATTTAAGAAATTCGACAAAAATGGAGAATATGAAAAAAAAAAATTCATAGCAAGAATATTGATATCCTTAAAACCAGTGTTTCGGATCCGTATCATTTGGTCGGATCCGGATCCGTATCAGAAAACGTTGATATGGATCCGGGTAGCGCCAAAAATTAACCAAAACCATGGAATAAATAAATCAAAATGGTTCGTAAATGTATTATTTACATGACGAAAATTTTTCAAAATTATCTTTAATAATTTAATGTTTACATTTATATAATAGTAATGACGACATTTTCAACTTTAGGATTACTATAGTTTATAAATTATAACCTTGCATAACATTTAATAGGGAAAATCCGATTCACAGAATCAAAAGTTACCTCGGATCCGGATCCGGATCCGAATCAAAATGATATGGATCCGAAACACTGCTTAAAACTGCCTAACCCCATTCGTAAAACCCGGATTTAAAACTGGTTTTCATAACGACACCCTGTCTTAAGTTTTGGGCTCTGATTAAAACTTGTAATTCGTTTTTCAGGCGTGAAGCAGCAACTAAAAGATTTAATGAATATTTGCTTCTATAAAAGCTTTCCTCGTCTGTCTGTCCGTTTGTATCCAATAAACGTCAAAACGGCTGAACCGATCGGGTCCAACTTTTGTGTGGGACCTCATTTGGCCCAAGAGAAGGTTTTTGGAGGCTTAAAATTACAAAAATGTGGGTCGAAAAGTTTTAAATGTATGTAAAATTTTCAAAAATACGCGAAAAAATAATACTAAGTTCTCTCGAACTTTTTTGTTATTCTTATATATTGTAGAAAGAGAAGATGCTTAGAGATAAAGCCACAGTGAAAAGTTGAAATAGAAGATGGGCGCGAAGCTTCCTTAAAGCCAAGTATACCTTATCTGGACTGAGTGTAGGTTTTGTGAATGAAAGAAGAGTTTCCACAATATCTTCTGAGCATTCCTTTGCCTGGTGTCAGAACAATATTGATAGATATTATAATTCGAGATTTATTGCGTCAGATTCATCAAAGGGACCACCGCGCAAATAGATTCTAGTACAATAGATGGAAACGTAGAATTTGTATACTCTCAGTACAGCTGTATTCTTACGACACAAGTGTCAATTTAGTTTTTGTGGCGGACAAAACTATTAGTAATCGTAAAAATTTTGGAACAAAGTGCTTATCTTACAGAGAAATAAGTGCAATTTTATGTGTTATTTATTTTCTGTTTTTACGCTTTTTATTCAATCTTGGAAAACATGTCAACTAATGTGAGAAAATTTGTTTTCCTTGTTATATTTGACACTTGTGACGTCGTGTTTATAATTGGTTCAATTCTCTGTTGCCACCTATTGTACTTGATAATCTATTTGGGGCCGCGTAGTTTGGTTTAATCTTCACATGCAGTACGAGGGGTATTTTGAGGACCCATTGATTTTCAAAGAATTTGTAAAGAATGTTAAAAAACTGGATATCAACTGACCAGTTTTCCTCCTTTTCTTATTTTCCTCTGAAGTCAATAAAAAAAATCGAGATTTATCGCTTTGTGTATTAAAGGTAACGCTTTATCTCCACCTAAAGGGTTTGTTGAAGTCCCTTGGTGGGGGGGGGGGGTGATTTTTAAAAATTTTGAAAAGAAAGTTTGAAAATTAGATATTAACTGACAAGCTCTTATCCACGTTTGTCAGACACTTTTAACTCAAAGTCTTGATTTTATTTCACAAAAGAATTGCAGTTTACTTCATGATTTAACAAAACTAAGGGATTTCCTAATCAATATTTTGGTTTTATTCTTTTAATGAATTCAAACTATTGTTCCTGTAAATAATGGGCAGATGATGCTGGTACTACAGCTAGGAGAGTATAACATCGTATCAGGGTTCCCAGGGGAGTCACGTCATGGTAGTCTGATCCACGCGCAGATATCACAAGGTCTAAATATTGAAATATATTAAAGGGACTGTCAACGTAATTTCAAGGGACCCCTCATGTCAAGATTTGCAACGGTGCCCTTTAACCTGCGTGATTAGAAAAAATGGTGAACATATCTTAATTTTGTTTCGAAAAAATTATAATTTCTAGCTAAGTGACTTACAAAGAAGAGCTTAATTTACAAAACTCATTTCACTTTTTAAAGATGAAAGACGGTGCGATATCTTTCACACTGTTCCACAGATAAAGATTTAAAGCCTAGAGACAGTGCTTAGGATCTGGATCCGTTGGATCCGCAAGATTTTGGCTTCCTGGATCCGGATCCAAAGGGCAAAAATTTAACCAAAAACTGCAAAAAAAGTTTACTCTCAAGACCAGAATCTAAAAAAGAAAGGTTATAAAATTTCCTGATTTCTGAAGGTTAATCATAAAAATAGGCGAACAATTTGAAAATTCTGCTTTATACATTAAACGTATGTCCTAATATGGAAAATGGAAAAAAGACAAATTATATTAATTACGTGGAGTAAAATATAATTATGTTACCTAGAAGATTGTTGAGTATGGCTAGAGTAGGTTTGAGAAGATAATTATGTTACCTAGAAGATTGTTGAGTATGGCTAGAGTAGGTTTGAGAAGAGCAAGTATAAGCCCCCCCTTAGTCCCAACCAGTGTAGCAGTATGTAGGGCAGGTTGTGAATGCTCTTCACATAGTTTATCTAGGAGAGAAACTAGGCACTGTACTCCCTCCCTAGAGTAGAGGAGGAGGCAGGCGTAGTGGTACTTCAGGTCGGAGCTCAACCCGTTCTTCATCCCTCTCATCCTAGAATAGTCATTAGTACATAGTGCAATTAATTTCTATGAATATGTATTTAATTATCAAGAAATACCTCCCCAGGGGCAGGGTAATTAATTTCTATGGTCTGGAAAGAAAAGTAAAATTGAAAAAACTGAACTTCAGTGCATAGTGCATATTTGCACTATGCACTTCATAGTGCATATTTGCACTATATTTGATATCCAATTCCCCCAAAATATTTACATTTCCCCAATTTAGCGAGAAAAAAGTTAGATTTCTTTTGCGCTTTAGAAATTACTGAGTTTCAATAATTTCTATTTGATTCGTTTAAACCCACATAGTCTCTCATTACCCCAAAAATGAAAAAGAATTTCATGGATATCAATTTGGGTTGAACTAAGGGTACAATTCTAACTATTGATTTCTTATAAGATTGGTATTTCCACTTTTAACAATAATTAAAAATCTCCCATATTGTTAAGTATATTTCAAGGGATGGGCAACAACTATATTTTTCCAACCAGAGGGGGGGGGGGAGGCGTGGGTTATGGGCCAAGATGATAAATGTTAGGGGACAACTCAAAAAAGATTTTTTTTACGTTAACAACCCAGACATTAGTAATTTGCCCCAAAAAAATCTTTATTTCCTGAATGAATTTTTTTAACATTTCTAAGTAATTTTAAAAAAATCATTATTAACATTGGTACCAGGAGGGCGGACTGAAGAAAACTTTCCCTGGAAATATATACCCCTGAAATCTAGTTACAGCTACCTGTTTGGATACTGTGGGATGGTTAGATGTGCAAGGATCCTGAGACACGTAATCACCTCCTGGGACACGTGACTTGAACTCTCTACATTCTTCTTGATGGAGTCCAGCAAGGCCGGGATACAGTCCACTGTGATGGACTCCTGCTCCCCGCAGAGCCGGGTCCAGTTCACCAGTTCAGATAGTTTACTGTGCTCGTCATGTTTACCAAGATCAAGTAGAACCTGAACATTTTCATATACAATTCAGGGATTTGAATAAATGAGTAATTAAACAATATACATCAACCGTCATTCCGGAGAGATCTAGGATCAAAACACAAATATCAACTGTTTACTACTAACCAATTTTATTAAAACTTCATAATTACTAAATGGTTCATTAAGTTTAAGAATAAAAATATGCGAATTAACAACAAAATTTGAATTTTTATTCTATCTTTTAATTTTTTTTAGTAAATCTTAAGGACATGTTCATGACCTGGATCCGATTTTTTTTTCAGGACGGATCCAGGATCCGGATCCGCATTAAAATGAATCCTATGCACTGGTTAAAACATTTAAAGATAGTTTACCTTAGCGTACTTAGAGAGGAAGTCCATGTTCTCTGAGAGACGAACACAGAGGAGAAGCAGCTCGTTAGCATAACCTCGGACAGCCGACTTCTTCATGTCCTTCTGTCCATCCATGGTGGAGTGGTTGGTCAGGACGAGGACGGTTTCAATATTGTCTCCCAGACAGAGGACATGCACAACAGCCTCTAGTCCTCGTCCTGTCAGGGTCATACCGTAGAGTACCTGGATAACCTCGAGGATACGAGAGGTTTCCATCCCTCGTCTGTCCTCTGATCCGTCCTCTTCAAATCTGAGGTTATCTATACACTGTACAGCGTGTATCCTGTGAACCAGGGTCAAACCACAATGTTTGGCCGAGGAATTGATCAGATTTGGTTTACTATCAATTCCGTTAGCAAGAGGGAGGGTCACACTGGTGTCCATAGCTTGGGGGGAGAAGGGAGAGGAGGGGGAGGGGTTGGGTTCGGAGAAGTTAGTCCGTAAGAAAACTGATATTAATCTGTTCGTTTCTATGGTTTGACTTGAAAGAAACAATAATCCTGAAAAAAAATATTTATTAAAAACTGTAAAACATATTGATTTTTGATTTTTAACTGATTTTGACAAAAACGGATTTTTTTTCATCGCCCCTTTTAAAAAAAACCATGTGCATTTTTTCTTTCTTTTTGTTTTTGCTAAATTCGGGAAAATAAACAAAGTAAATTTTAACGAAAAATATACAGAGAGTTTATAGACTTAATTTGATAAATGAATTATGCTCCTTTCAATTTTCTTAAAATTTCCAAATATATGCAAAAATCAAGAATTTATCAACAAGATCAAAAACCCGGAATGTATAACACACTCATAAAGAAAAAGGCTCATTTAACCCTATTTAGCCTGATGTCTGCTTTGCTGACTGGCTGCCGGTAATACAAATTTATAACATTTGATACGTTTTTGGAAAGCCTTTGGACTTTACTTTAATAATTTGCAAAAAAAATGACAAATTTGCAAAAATCCAAATGTTTATTGAAAAATCTAGTTAAGCAAAAAATGTGCAAAAAAATGCGTAAATTGCAACAAAGCATACATTTTTGAAAAGAATTCAAATAAGCAAAAACATTTTTTAATTTGTAAAACCTTAATGTGTATTCAAGAAAAACTAAAAAAGTGCGAATTCCCGTTAAAGGCGTCTGTGCAAAATTTCTTTGCTAAAATTGGTAATCTCCTTGCTTTTGACATAGGCTTTCCAAAGAGCTATCCAATGTTGAAATCCAATTATTGAAAGTAGGTCTAAATATAGATTTATTCTGGTATGGGTAAGATAAGGCATTAAGGCAGTATGCCTGATACTCAGGCAGCAGGTATAAAAGCCCAACTTTTAACCTTAAGTGAGGGTGATGTGAAAATTCGAGCTTTTTTGCTCAAATACTTTTTGAATTATCGCAAAAAAAACGATACTTAATTTTCCTAATGAAGTTATCTTCTAATAAGTATTATATCAAGAACCCCGTTATATATATATTTAAGTTTGCAATTTTAACCTACTCACAAGAAGAGCTCAAGAAAATTTTTATTTAAACAATTTTAACAACATTTTATTTGTTATTTACATCTTAAGCTTAGTAAATTATATGGTAATCGAACAACATAATACAACAAATTTAATCTTTAGTTTAAGATACACAAACTTTTTTCTACCTGGAAGTGAGTTGACCCATTGATGTAAAAGTTCGTAGATACAGGAAGTAAGGTTGACATCTGCCCTTGCAACTTCCAGTATACTGGACAGAAGTGATATTACCTCCTGTGTCGCCATTAAACTGAAAAACCCCCGCTCCGGTCGGTTAAATATATCCTGGTCCATATTAAACCTTCTCCCGCAGGGTAGATATCTAGAGGGATGCGAGATAGACTCAAGGTTGGAGTAAATTCGTCCTAGCTCTTTAATCCCTGATTCTAGAGCGGAGAAGACCTGTCCGTCCTGTAAAGAAGAGCTGAGCTCTTTAAGTTCGAGAACTAGCTCGTACAGATGTATCTTATTAACTAGACTGGACAAAGCAAACTTAGTTCTTGTGCTCTCATTTTTGGCGAGGATTTCTACTATTTCCTGATACAAGGAACCTGATCCATTGTTCATTACAACCTGCTCCATGCCCTGGTTAGAGTCTAAAGTTCTATCTATGACCCGGAGGATTAATAGTTTTCCAGGTATTGTCATAAACTGTTGAACAAAGAGACTCCATAGTTTAGAGATAACTCCGGAGTCCAGAAGTTCTCTCATTACTTGTTCACTGACCTCCATTAGTTCTAGAACAAACTTTGTTCCAGATTTGATGTGGCGGAGTTTATTTGCCGGCCTAGACTGTTGAAGAGCTACATTGTAGTTTAAACCAAGACATGCTATACGGATAACTGCCGGATGTATTGACACATCTATAGAGCAGCCAGGCTCCTCCTGTAGCTGTCCTGTCAGTTGTTCCAACAATTCAATCCACCGTTCATCGATCTCAGAGATAGTATCAAGTTTACTCACAAGGTTCAACACTCCTTCATTCCATTCCTTGGATGCGGGGAGGTTTCTAACCCTGTTGGGATAAATATAGTCGGCGGGAGAAGTAAGAACAAGAAGCGGTTTTAATTCAGCCTCAAGAGGATTAAAAACTTTCACAGGGTTTACTGTCTCCGTCTCAAGATCGAACTCGGAGTCACTGAACCCCAGAGGTTCAAAATCATCCGACCACTCCGCCTCCTCATCCGATATCTCCTCTATATCCTCCCTTGAAATGTATGTTCTTGTGATTGAGGTCTGACCGACGACCTCCGTTTGCTCCTCTGGCTCCGGCTCTGGCAGGTCTGGGATATCTCCTTCCGATATATCAGATACATTGTCTAAGATCTCTGAGTCTAGTACTGGACCTGCGGCGGGCTGATGGACTGCTGGAGGAGGAGAGGTCTCTCTGAACCCATTCCTGGAGCCAGGAGGGTGGGGAGCCGGAGATCTGGAGTATCGGGGGGAGAAGGGACGTTTCCCCCAACGATCTGGGGATCGAGATCGCCGATTAAATGGAGATCTACTTCTTGATCGGTGAGGACCGTAACGTGGGGATAATGATCGGTTTTTTCTTGGAGTTAATGATCGTCGGCGAGGTGAGACGGAATGTAGGTTGCGAGGAGAATGAGATCGCCTGATCACAATTTCAAATTAATTATGTAACTTGATATATTTTGCTAACCCCACCAGCCCCCACCCAACCATTCGTCTTATAAATGTTTTCCAAGTGGTCATAAAATATTATAATTGACTACTTCCGTCTGCAAACACGATTACAAACTTTAAATCGGGGTGAAACTATTTGGCACTTTTTTGACAAAAATGTTAAGTCCACCTTACACCAGTTATCTATGATACAGTTAAAAAAAAGATTACGAGAATTTTTTTTTTCAAAAATCGCAAATGTAAGCCAGAAAAATATCGTCAAAATAAATCAAGATAGATATCAAAATATCCGTCTTGAAAAAAAGGGACAAAAGCAGGTTCTTTTTTTAGGCGTGAATATCATTTTTTAATCCTTAGCTTTCGGGTTTGGGGAAAAAATGAAGAAAAATGGGAAAAGGGAGATAGAGAAGGGGAAAGGGAGAAAGAGAAGGGAAACGGGGACAAGGGAAAGGGAAAAGGAAAAAGGCGGACTTTATTTTTTATCAACTGGTTTTGGCTCTCACTGGAAACTCAGCATTTTTTCCCTCAATAGCAATGTCTGGTTTTTCCCCTTTCAAATAGTTAGTCTGTTACTGTGCACATTCGTGCCTGAAAAGTTTAAGAATTTTTTTTTTTTTAATTCTCTAGGGGGACATGGTGAATGCAATTTAACTTTTTAGGACACCAAAACGCTCCTAAATCCAAAAATTTTCTTAACTCTGTTGCAGCAAACATCCGTGGCTTTTGGTGGTCAAATTATTCGATTAAGGAATTCTTAGTTACAAACTCTGAATTTCTGATCCCTATATCTTTGCAACGCTGTCTTAGACCTTACATATTTCCAGTGTTTCGGATCCGGATCCGGATCCGTATCAGGAAACGTTGATATGGATCCGGGTAGCGCCAAAAATTAACCAAAACCATGGAATAAATAAATCAAAATGGTTNAATTAATATACACCCCTGATTTTTTAAAATTGTTAATTACTAATTGTTAATTTTTTTATTTTTTTATTCTTTTATAATTGCTGCTATTCATTTTCTACTGTATAAATTTTTGCTGGCGCACAAGGATTTTTGACATTTTTTGATGAATATTTTAAGGAATTCTTAGCTACAAACTCTGAATTTCTGATCCCTATATCTTTGCAACGCTATGTCTTAGACCTTACATATTTCTTTGAATTAACTTTGAATCTAAGTACAAAATATCAGATTGGTCAGATATTGGGATTAGAAAACTAATGATAGTGGCAAAGACACGATTCTTTTTGAATAAATGATGATCCCAGTCTCTAGAGAGGAAATAAAGTTAACATTTGAATTAGACACTTGGATAATTCGTAAATGGATTGCATTTCCTTCTAGAAATATTGGCAATCTATATATAAATTTGGCTTGTCTGTCTGTTTGTTTGTTTGTCTGTCTGTTTGTTTGTATCCAATAAACGTCAAAACGGCTGAACCGATCGGGCATTGGGTAAAAAATATGAAAAGGATGAAAAATTAAGGGTTTAATTTGTTTCATTGGGGAAAATAAACTTTTGGGTAAAAAATATGAAAAGGATGAATAATTAAGGGTTTAATTTGTTTCATTAGGGAAAATAAACTTTTGGGTAAAAAATATGAAAAAGGATGAAAATTCAAGGGTTTAATTTGTTTCATGGGGGAAAATAAACTTTTGGGTAAAAATATGAAACAGGATGAAAATAACTTGCTATTTCATGTCCAATTTTTAATTTTTTCTCAAATAAATATATACAAAAAAATGTACACCCCTGATGAAATGGAAAACAATCATATTTCGAATTTGTTAGTTCACGACCCCCATCAAACTATTCCCTATAAAGTAGTTTATATTTGAAGTTTTCCTGGGGGAATGATGTCTTCTACTCCCGGATGAATGATGGGAATTCTTGTCATACTCCCGTGGAGAACCATCCCTTGAATAACCCCTAGCACGAGGTGAACAGTCTCTTGAGTAGTCCCTTGGACGGGGAGATCTATCCCTAGAGTAACTTCTCCCTCTAGGAGATCTATCACGACCATAGTCTCGTCCGCCCAGCACTCGGGGGGACACCTCCCGAGCTAGTGATCTCGCGGCGGAGGCTCGACCCGCCGGAGAATAATCTCTAGATACATCACGGCGGTAGGGCGGAGTTAAATCAAGTTTAGGCGATCTATATCCTCTAGGAGTCCTTGATCTAGTTCTAGGAAGAGCAGGGGTGAGAGGACGAGAGGATGAGTTGGGTCGGGAGGGAGTGTGTTTACGAGCTGGAGAACGGATACCGGGAGAATGAGCTCGAACTGAGATAGGATATTTCTCTCTCTCTGCTGACTCTCTGAAAATCATCAATATACTTCTCAAATTTTTTATCAAACTTGAGTCAAATGGTTTTAAAATTTTAGGAGATGGAGGAGGGGAGGGGGGGGGGGTTAATTCAAATCTAAAGGGACAGTTTACATAATTAAAATAACCTCTGTTTGCCTGCTACCCTTAAAACCGTTATCTGAGAAATAATGAGAAAGATGTCAAATTTTCTTTCAAAGCTATGTGAATCGTCAATTTTTATCCTAGTCCCTTTAATAGATAACCAACCACTTTTTAGCTGGAAAAACAAAGCTATCTTCGACACTGTTGCAAGTGTACTATTATTAATCAGGCATGCAACTTACTGAATGAACGGAATTTCGTTAACAGTTCGTTCATGGTTACCTACAGGATGTCCCATGAAACATGACAGTGGCAAAAAGTCGTCTTTCATCTCTGAAATAATTTGTGGCATTTAAATGTAAAGCTTGTTCCTGAAATAAAATTTAAAATTTAAAAATCACAAAATCTTGGCAGTTTCAAAATGTGGTCTGCCTTATTTGGGCTTTCGATATTTCCGGAGATACTAAGAATTTCGTTCAGATTTCGACAATTTTGGTTTTACTTAATAAAATTAAAATCTGAACAAAATTCTCTATATCTCTGGTAATATTGAAATCACAAAATAGGCAGACCACATTTTGAAAATACCAGGACTAGGAGAACTTTGTGGTTATTGTTTTAAGAATCATGCCTGTTAAAGTAGGTGGATGACTGAATGTCACAAATAAATTCCGACTCTCAATTCGTCTTGCTAGTGTCATGTTTCTTGGGACACCCTGTATGTTTCAAAGAAAATGTTTCAATGTTAACTGACTAAAAACTCGGATATAAAATTATAGATATATATTATATATATTGATGAAGATTCCTGTATCGATCTCTTGAATGATTTCTGGATCTGGGTCTGAAAGTGCCCTTCAACGAGTTCTCATATGATCGCCGTGGATAACTTTCATGCGATCCTTCGCGGGATTTCAATCGATCACGTGATCCATCTCGGGATCGGGAACGGTATCGATCACGATCAAGTGACACGTCCCGAGACCTAATTTAGAACAAACAAATTCATATATTTTAACTTAAATTTAGACAGTTTTAATTATGTTGGTACATTATCAACCAATCAAACTATGCAGCAAATGCCGTACTCTTAAGTTCGTCCCCCACTAACAGCTGCCAAAACGATATCCCTTCACATTTTTGATCTGGTTTAAAGGGTAACTTTGTATATTTTAGAAATTCTGTATTTTATGTTTTATAATTGTTCTGTTTCCTGATAGTCAGAGGATATCCTGGAGATCTGTATCCAGGACTTCTAGATCCAGATCTATACCTGGATACTTCAACCTTACTCCTAGTACACACAATCAATCAATACAATCATAGGAACCTAAACATATCTGAGGTCATAATTATGAGTTGTTTAAAGGGACTGTAAGCGTAATTTCAAGCGACTCTCCATGCAATGATAGCAATGCCATATTCACAACGGTACCCTTAAAAGTGCATTATTTATACTGACAGACGGTTTAGGTTTCTAAAAATGGACAAATATTCAGATCTTTACTCGTAGAGCCGGTATGCATTAGATATCCTTGTTTATAATTTTGAAAACCAATTATTTTCAATTGGAGTTTCTCCATCATAGTGACTTGCGCATTTCTACTTGGGGAAATCAAAAAGGAATTATCAGAAATAAACCTTCCTCTAAGGATTGCAAAGGTAAATTTGTCAATCGGGCAATGTCATCTTTGCCACTTAATATTTCACTTACAGTCCAATTTAACGTCATTTTTATACGCTTTAATTTCAGCTTATTCAAATGATATTGATTGATTGATTGATTTGCCTGTATTCTGTTAAACCATCTCCATATTGGTTTACTACTTCTTTTTTCACTTTACTCAAGTTTAGATTATTATTTTCTTTATACTCGGGTCCTTTATCTTCTTCCTTGATATTTTTACTTCGAGTTGCCTCAAGATCAGTTTCTACTTTAATAGTCTGATTCCATCCACCTTGCAGATACAATGTTATTTATCTTATATATTGATGTTAATTACAACGAATATTATTTACCCTACCCCCAAATGAAATAATGGGTAAAAAATCAGAAGAGGTTTTAATTTTGAACGCATTTGCTGACATCAGACGCAATATAATTAATCGATTTCATCTCAATAAAGGTTAAGCACAAATTTGGGGTCCGTCCTTGTATACGATTTTTGGACCCCCCCCCCTCCTATCAATTTTGTACATGACCTAGATTTCACATTTTTTCAACAAAAAAATATTTATTTTGTATTAATTCAGGGTTAGGTTAGGTTATGACAATTTCTAGGCCGAGCGCTGCTGTTAGGACGGGCTAGGGGGCCAAGCGCCGAGGCCAGGACAAACCTTCAATTTCAGCTATTTTCAACAAAATTAGTATAGGTTTAGGGTTAGGTTAATTTAAGACACTTTCTGGGCCGAGCGCTGGGGCTAGGGACTAGGGTAGGACAAGAGGATCTTTATCTTGTGTCTTTTTTCTTTAAAACTACCTAAAAAAAATGATGAACAAAATTGATAGAAGGTGGGGATTTTTAAAAAAATCGCTTACTAGGAAATTACTTAAATTTGATATGTCAAAGTGAACAATTTTTGACCCCTCCCCCACACTCCCATATCAAGTTTGTACAAGACCTAGATTTAAATTAATTTTCAACTTTTCTCAAAGAAATTACCCAAAATGTGATAATTTCTTGGATAATAAGAGTTAAATTTTTAAGATTAATTGGAATATCAATTTAGATTAACTCATTACTAATCTAACTTCAACCAACTTGTTCAAATAATTTTTAACTGTTTTTCAGATTAAAAAAAATTTTTAGAGTCGGCAATTAAAAATTAATTTTGAAAACAAATATTTAAAATTAATTTTGAAAACAAATATTTAAAAAGAATTAAAACAGATAAATGTTATTCCTTCGTGGGAAAGCCATTCTTCAGGCGGTTCAGCTTTAAGCGCTTCCTCACTATGCTTAGCCGTCCAGGTCGCAGCATAGCTTTCACCGATAGTTCGACCATTACCATCCGGTATCGGGGACTCGGGAGGTCGAACCGGCTCCTCTTTCACTCTGATATCAAGAGGATTTTTACTGTTTTGTGTTTGCGAATTTGCCTGTCTGGCCAGCTGGTCATGGGAAGCATCTGATAGAACACCATAAACGGCCAGAGTTATGGTGGAGTAGTGTCCTCGCAAAACCAAACCATCGGTGGCAACCGTTTTAGAGGAAACCATCGATATCGCATCATTCTGACTGTATTTCAGCACACCGATGCTTTCAAATGTACTGGCACCCGGGGCTCGAAGGTTATTCACGAAGAATTCGAGATCGAATTTTGTTGGATTGGTTGCACCGAGTCGAACTCCACCAGGGAAGTTAGCACTGACCCTGGCTCCGAGGGGAACCACACGTACCTCCTTGACATAGACGGGGCTGGGGAATTGAACAAGATCAAGGTTTAAATCACTACATGAGGCAGAATCATGAGAAAATGTATCAAAAAATAAGAGTTGCATTCTACCGGGTTCCACTTGCAGCCATATCACGCACACAGTGAAATATTCCCTTGTTTCAGAACTTGATTTTCTCCGTGGTATTGTAGAACTGATTGTCGTGTTTGTTCTGAAGAAATGCCAGATAAAAGAACGAGGTTGCGTGGTTATTATTCATGCCGAATTTCTCTAAAAACAGGTTCATCTCATTTCAGGGATTATTAAACTCTCCTAAATAAGTTGTAATTATTAACAATACTTTTTTTGGTAATTTCTTAAATTTTATTTTCAATATTTAATTTAGATTTTTTACCCTAAATATTATGATTCGAAGAAAGACGACTTAAACGAAAATTAGGTTTTAATTCTCTTTTACCCGAAAATTCAGCAATTAAAACTCTAAAAAAATTTTGATATTCCGCGCAAACAAACCTATAACTTATGTAGGAAAGATAATTTTGATGAATTGGGGGGGGGGGGGACTTAATATCAAAAAGCATGTTTTTATCCTTTTTATTACTACATACCCAAAAATTCAGCAAATAAAACCCTACATATTTGTGTGTGCTGCTCCGCGCAAATATATCTAATTTCTCGGGAACAAAATAATTTTGGAAAAATTTTTAAGAAAGGAAGTGGGTTTTTGACACAACCTCAAATTTTCTAATCCATATTTCTTTGAAAACTGATGGTGTAAACCTATCAGAATTCATTTTTTAAAATATCAAAGGTCTACGAGTACGACATCGGGTTGTACAGATATAGGGATTTTAATTTTAAGTTTGTGGCAAAAATTAATTTTCTTTGCACCTCTGATATATAATTAACAAGCAAAGTCTATAAAGTATGAAAGACTATAATTGGTTCTTTAATTTAGATTAAAAGCTAATCAATACTTTTGTCAAAATGGGGTTTTTTAGGGGGGGGGGCACAAAATCTTCTGGAGGTGAAAAAAAAAATTGTACGCCTGACGGGTTCAATGATCATAAATATAAAAATAATAAATGCATGGAATAATGACTGCAACAATTGGCCAGTCTTTACAGATAACCATAAATTTATAAGTTTATGTGATTATTGACTATAATAAACCATGGTTAAAGAAGACAATTTCTGCCCAAAATAATGAATTGACAATCCGCAAAAAAAGAAAAAAATACAATTTTTTTAAATGGCAGCTGAAAAGCAAAGGTCTGTCTGCTATGGAAATTCCTCAACACGGAAACGGACCCAAAGTGAGTTAGGGTCCGTTTCCTTCTTTTTCAAGAATTATCGGAAATCCCTCAAAAACTAAAAAGTGAAGAGGAATTTCCGAATATTTTGGGTCGGTTTCTGCTATATTTACATTTGCTTCGTTTCGCCCGGTTTTTTTTTTTTGGGTCCGTTTCCTCTTTATTTTTGGGTCAGTTTCCGGTTTTCAGAAAAAGTTTTAAACCCTCAGTTTGTTGATCGGTTTCCCATTTTTTTGGGTCAGTTTCCTCTTTTTTGGGGTCCGTCTCCGATTTTCAGAAAAAGTTGTAAATTCTCAGTTTGTTGATCGGTTTCCTCTTTTTTTGGGTCCGTTTCCTCTTTTTTGGGGTTTGTTTCCGATTTTCAGAAAAAGTTGTAAATTCTCAGTTTGTTGATCGGTTTCCACTTTTTTTGGGTCCGTTTCCTCTTTTTTGGGTCCGTTTCCGGAGAGGAAACGGACCCAAAAAAAGAAAACGGATCAACAAACTGAGAATTTGAAACTTTTTTTGAAAACCGGAAACGAACCCAAAAAATGAGGAAACGGACCCAAAAAAAAGGAAACCGATCAACAAACTGAGAATTTGAAACTTTTTTAGAAAACCAGAAGCGGACCCAAAAAAAGACGAAACGGACCCAAAAAAAGAGGAAACGGACCCAAAAAAGAGGAAACCGATCAACAAACTGAGAAATTTAAACTTTTTCTGAAAACCGGAAATGGACTCAAAAAATGAGGAAACGGATCAAAAATATTGGGAAATCCCTCAACATTATAAGACTCTGATAAACCGGAATCCGACCTAAAAATCGAGGAAACGGATCAAAAAAACGGGAAATTCATCTAAAAATTGGATTTGAGGGATTTCCGATAATTTTTGAAAAAACAGGAAACACCTCAAAAAAATTCATTAGGAGGTTTCTGTTTTTTCTGGGTTGAGGCGTTTCCGTGTTGAGGCGTTTCCATAGCACCATAAATCCCAGGCTCAAAATGCTACACAGGGACACAAGCGTTATAGCTATCAAAATCCAGCTACTAATACAGTGCTCTGAACGCCACACAAGGACACAAGCCAAGCTATCAACAAGCTATAAGTCAATCTCAAATGATGGGGACAATCCGCTCAAAATGTTTTACATAGGACTCAAGCCTAGCCATCAAAATCAAGTGAAGGGGATGATCCAACTTGGCTATATCAATGCAGGGTTTCAGTACTATGAATGCCACACAAGGACACAAGCCTAGCTATACAACAAACTATATATTTATCCTAAATTAAAGGAGACAATTCCGTCTGATTATAAAAACAGGGCTCCAGGTTTACTCTCACGCAGCAAACAGAACGAAGTTACTCTATAGAACTAACTTTACTTAATATCTTATGTCACAAAGTTTACAGGAATTGACTTTGTTTCAATTCCTACGATGTTATCTATATTACATGATTAAGACCATCATAATACAAATTTATTGCACAATTAAACTTTAATGTACATATTTAGAGAGAATAGAAATAACGCAGTTAAGCTTTTTCTACACATGTTTTATTGCGTAATTTAACTGGGATCCCAGCCCATATCCAGAGTAAAGCTAAGTATGTCGCATGAGTTAAGCTAATCATGTTAAATATTCTATTGCAACGCAGTAGAGAAAATAGAAAATAGAAATATAAGTATTTACTGTAAATGATATTAAAAGGTGCAAAGAGTTAAACTTTAATGTACTTTAATGTACTGTAATGTACATATTTTATTAATATGAAAACTACCAAATCTGGCCTTGCTCAACATGCTGCCCTTCAACACCCTAAGGTAGAAAAGTCTAAGCCAATTACTTTTCTAAAAGTTATTTTTCTTGAAAGTGTACGAAAAGAAGAAAAGCTTATACTAAGATGCAAGAGCAGTGAGCCTTCAAACCAGCCAACTTACATATTAACTATAAAATTGTAAAATTATTAGATTATATTTTATTTTATTATGTATATTTTTTTATATTTTGTTATGTTGTTTGGTATGTTCATTAGTTTTATAGTTTTTTTTCTACTTTTCGTTTTCCTCTATATACATGATGGAAGAAGCCGGATTTACTTACTAATCTTGATCGGATCATTTTAATTTTTTTACAAACATACAAACTGTTCTGAAGTTACGAATTCTTCAACCCCACTCTCTCTCTATTCCCCACCATTCATAAAATTCAAACTCTTATTTATTTAATTTTCGGTCGAGTTAAAGCAAGGTATCACATTTGAAATCTGTCTATTTGTTTTTGTTTATATATTGTTGCTCTTATCTTTTAATTCTTTTAAATTTTAATTCTCAAACATTTATTATTCAAGTTTCTTATTTTGTATGTTTTTCAGAATATGCCCTGAAGATGGTTAAATAAACCAAAAATTTGGCAAAAAGAGTTTTTGTTTCACGGATCTGAGTGTCAGATTTAGAAAAATTGTATTTAGAGAGAATAGAAATAACGCAGTTAAGCTATCTCTACACATGTTTTATAGCGTAATTTAAGAATGTCGTTAAGCTTATCATGAAAAATATTCTATTAAAATGCAGAAGAGAAAAGTAACATGAAAAGGAAAATGGGAAATAGAAAATAGAGATAGAAATATTTACTGTAAATAATATTCAAAGGTGCAAAGAGTTAAACTTTAATGTTCTTTAATGCACTTTAATGTACTTTAATGTACATATTTAGACAGAATAGATGTAGAGCAGTTAAGCTATCTCTACACATGTTAATTACAGCGTAATTTAAGTATGTCGCATATGATTTAAGCTAATCATGTTAAATATTCTATTGAAACGCAGTAGAGAGACAAATAACATGAAAAGGAAAAAACTAAAAAGGAAAATGGGAAATAGAAAATATCTTATATAATTATATAATTATTTACTGTAAATGATAAAGGTGCAAAAGACGTAACATTATCTGTCCTTTTTCAATGTAGATGATTAAAATTAAATATGTATTTTGATGTTTTAACAGAATATATGAATGTATCATTTACTCTCAGACAAATTAGAATCAATGGAAATTTAAACCCCTGAGGAATTCAATGATAAATTGTCATGAGAGTAAATGACATTCCTTTTTAAAGAGGGGATTCAATGATAAACCCGAGGGCTTGCGGATTTTGCGGATTTTTTTTGCCTTTGTAGATTTTCAAAGTATCTTTCAATGTATAATATCCCGGCGGGATTAGATGAAAATTGTTGCATACCAAAAAACCAGCTTTTTATAAAGGAATGATTATTTCTTGTAATTATATCTGTAATTAAAGTAAACCATGTAATTTTCTTTGGCGCTCCGCGCACACATGAAAAGAATTGATTGACTCATATCGTTAATTTTACAGTTATTAAAAAACACAAGAAAAAAATGATTTGAATTGAACACAGCCAAATCATCTGCAACAACTGAAAATTTCCTTTTTTTCGACGGAACATGCGATCCTTTTTGTTTTCTGTTTAACGATAAGATGAGATTTCTCTGGGGATTCTGGGATTACTAATAGCAAATAGAATTCAATGTGGGTATAGCTCTTATAGCTCCTCATTTAATTATTTTATTGAAGGCTGGACCAAAGCCCCCCCGGAAATAAAGTGAAACCATTTCAATTTTTAAATTGAAATCTAATAATTAATATTTCCAATCTTTTCTTCTAAACTTGATATTTAAGTATATGAAATACAATAACGATGTTCTTCACTTCACATTTACTTTTTTAATGTATAAAAATTAAAAATACATATTAATTTGCCGAAAGCATGCAGCATAGTGTTGAATTCAAAATTGAATACGCACCCAAAAATATTCTACTGTCTGTGACATTCCAATATGATTATACTTCTATAAAAAGATTTTGACAGGTGAACTACGCGTCGCTGTCCCGTGGGCCGACACCCGCGCTACCGAAGTAAACTAAACTTTATCATGAGTGGCTGTGGGACTGAGGGACTACTGAGTACTCACTGTATGTTATTGACATTGTCTTAGTCGGACGTTGGACTTTGACAGTGAAACAGCAAACGCAGGGTGTGGAGCCTCATTGAATAAATTTTGATCTAATGAAATCAAGAACTTTAGAATAAGAGGATATAGACACAAAAAACAATGATTTATAAATCAGTGATGAATATGATTTAATAACAGTTTTCTAAAATATGCACTTATAGTGACAAATTTTGGCCCAAAAAAGAATGGCGATGGAAAAACAGAACGATGAAATTCTAGCATTGTTGGAAAGTGCCCAAGTTCTGCTGGAACAGGGAAGAGATAATATGAAAAAAGGAAAACTACCAATGCAAATAGAAATAAGGTAAGCAATTAAATTTGAAAACTGGCAAATGGAATTACGTTTTAGTTACAATATGAAACAGAAATAAGGTAACACGTATATTCAGTGCAGAAAACTGCCAATATAAATAGAAGTAAGATCTGCAATAATGAATCTAGAAACCTGTTAATGAAAATAGAAATAAGGTAAGCAATATTAAATGCAGGAAGCTGTCAATGAAAATAGAACGAAGGTAAGCAAATTGAATTCAGAAACCTGCCAATACAAATAAGGTTAGGTAAGTAATTTAATTAACTTACAGTAAATTGTCAAAGTAGGTAAGGTAAGCAAGTGGTGTGGGCAGGGTTAGAAATTTGAACCGTCATCCTTTTTTTTAAAGTAATGGAAAATATATCGTAATTTCTGAATTAAAACCTTAACCTGGTTAAAGTAGTATTTCAATGACAATTTGTGTAATAAGATGTTTCTCGCTTTCAACAACTTAAAGGGAGTGACCGGCAATGTATGGTAGTTGAACTGAGAATGAAGTATTGTGGAGAAATTTTTTAGGGGCTCATTAGAGACATATAGAACGTATTAATACTGAGTTTGAACTCAAAGTCGACGTTTAAAATCATCCATTTGGGTGTTAACGTTCTATTTATGATCCTGAACCACACAATGAAAAAAAAATTGAAAAATGAATAAATGGAGTTGCAGAAAAGCAAAGTTAACATCAAACATCTAAACATTTAGGGGGGAAAGACTTAACCTTATTGTTCAACTGACTAATTTGAATAAGCATGATTTTCAAGTATTTTTGTTTCAGAACCCTTGAGTTTTGGCGGGCAATAATTGGCGAGTGTATTGCCACATTTTTCTATGTTATGCTAATAAGTTCAACACATCAGGTAAATTTTTTATGTTTTTTATAGAACAAAAAATTGACACTCATTTTGATCAAAATAATCATTTCTCTCCCTCCTGAATTATTCACTAAATTGGAGTAAATAAATAATTTTAGGTTTAAAATTAATGATTTTTAGGGTTAATACTACAACAAAAATAAATTATTAATTTTACATTTGATATCCTATTTTTTATCCCCCCCCCCAAAAAAAAAAAACAATCATTAAAAATTATTAAGGGGGGGGAGGTTATACTTATGAAAAATATATTACACCCCTGATGCTTTCTGAAGTCCGATATAATAGAAAAAAATATAAAAAATTGTAAACCTTTTCAAACAATATTTTTATTCCCTTTTTTTACTTTTAAACATGCATTTTGAACTTGTTAAATCAATATTTACTTTAGGCGTTGAATTTTCCAAATGATAGTATTGCAACGGTTCAATTCTTCTCTGCTATTACCGCTGGTTTAGCCATGCTAACCCTTACTCATGCCTTTTACAAGGTAAGTGTAAAAAAATCGAAAAATTAATTTTTTAAATATTGGAAAATTTTGAGAAATGGTAGAAGCTGGTAAAATAAGAAATGAACGGTTAAAAAAGAAACTAACTCTGGTTTAACAAACATATGTCTCGACAGACCAATATTAATATTTAAAATTATGAATCCTGTAAAGTGTAAAAACTAGGAACTGAAATAAAAAAGGTTTACACCACTTGGTTGCAATGATATTGTGATTGGAAAATTATAATTTGATGTTTAATGCTTTGAAACTTTGATAATTCAAACTCAAAGGAACTGAGTTTTTGCTATAAATTCAAATTTTCAACCTGATGGTGCAACCCTGTGATATTTCAGTTTTAGACTATTTAATCCAACAGCTTTCATAGTTTAAAAATATGAAAGGTCTACGACATCGGGTTGCAAAGATATAGGGATTTAAAAATTAATGGCTGTGACAAGGACTCTTTTCCTTTGTTCATTACTAAGTTAATATTGAATAATTTTATGGTCTAAAAAAGAAATAATATAAAGTTTTGTGAGAGTAAGATGTGAGGAAAGATAAGATGTGATGTTTGTAACTGTAAGCAGCATAAATTGTTATTCAACTCATTTTATTGTTCAATGTTGTTCTAGGTTTCATGTTACACTCTGTACATCTTTTCTTAATCTTTTATATCTTCATAGAAAATTGTACCGCCAAACATTACCAATAATCACACAAAAGCGAGATCGCTCCTTTCTTGTCAGCTTTTACCTTCATAACATTCTCGCTAACCTGAGCTGAAAACTTTAGAATGGGATATCCTTAATCTTGCTCTCTTAATTAATCTGAAGATTAAAAATGAGAGGAGAACAATCCATATTTAATCTGGATATTAAGAAAAAGAGTGGATTAAGCCTTAATCCGGAAATAATCCCGATATCCACCATTCTAAAGTGTTCAGCTCAGAGCTGAAAACTTTAGAATGGTGGATGGTTTTTAGGCCAAATTGGTCGCAGGAATCTGAAGTAATGTCAAAGTTCTTTAATTTACCTGTAATGATACTTACAGTCGTGGTTGTATATATTAATACAATAAAGACTATTTTTTAAATTTTTATTTCTAACAAGCTTTTAACAGAATGGAAACACATATTCACGGAAACAAAGTAAACTATCAAATAACAGCTTCTCTTTGTTAGCTTGTACAGTTTTCATTCGAAAAAAGCTTGTTTACAAATTTTGTTTTGATTCAAGTAACAATTATAAATTCACTTTTAATTTGGTTAAGAATACCTTTCTCCTTTCTTTACAGCCTCAATTTTCATTACCTTTCTATTTTTAGATCTCTGGTTCACACCTTAACCCTGCAATAAGTGTAGCCGCAGCGCTTCTGAAGCGTATAACTGTGCTCCGTGCGGCACTTTATATTTGTGCGCAGTGCGGCGGTGCCATTGCTGGTGCCGCGCTCATTTACGGCGTGTACGGCAAAAATGGCGCCAAGGACCAGTTTAGAGATACATCAATCGCTAACTTTGGAATGGAGTTCATCATGACCTTCCTTGTGGCCTTTGTTTACTTTGGTGTGACCTCCAAGAAGAGGTCGGATACCTGGACCTCTAGCGTCAGTATAGGGATGGCGTACATGACCTCGTTGGTTGCGTACCGTGGCTCATTAAATCCTGCACGGGCTCTTGGTCCCGCATTTGTTGCTGACGCATTTGCATTCCACTGGGTTTACTGGGTCGGACCCATTCTAGGGGCAGCTTGTGGAGGATTCTGCTATACATTCATATTCAATATTCATAAGACCAAGTGGAAGAAGAAGGACGTAGATAACATATCAATGAAGAGCGACGATGACATGCTCGACGATTTGGAGCGTGTGCGTCAATTTAAAGCAAGTATGATGACCAACTATAACGATGGACTTGCCGGTGTACCTTCAGTGTACAATACTGCAGTGAAACCCTACAAACAGGCAGTACAAGAGTCTATGTACAGTGGTACAAAAAGTTTGTACAATGCACCAATGACTGACGGACGACGAACCCCTGGATTTGATTGCAGTAAGTCTATGTATGGTGGTATTGACGAAGTAAAATCCAGGGTTCAGCTAAAGCGATCTCTCTCTGTACACTCAAAGTTACAGAGAAGAAATCCGCAAGATAATCTACCCGACGAGCCAGCAGCTCTCCGGGCAGCGCATACAAGACAGCAGAGCCATCTGGCAGAGGGGCAGCTACGCCAAACGGTGGAAGGGCAGCTACGACAGGCGGCAGAGGGGCAGATGAGAGTTGGAGATGGTCCTGTTTTTGCCTCAGATGCTATGTACAGGTAAAAACTTTGTTAAAATAAATTTTAAAAATATACTCAACTTTTTAAAACATTTTTTTTATTTAATTTTTTTCAGAGAATATATTCGACAGAAAAATATAGCAGCAGATCAGCACTCTCCGGTGGATCAATGCTCTGGGAGCAGCTCCGGGTATTATAGCAGCTCCAGAGAGCAGGAGGAGCTAAGGAGAGAGCAGGAGGAGCTACGAAGGGAGCAGGAACTTAAACAGGAGTATTTCCACCGGAGGGAGCGGAGTGTAGGGAGCACACGAGGGGAGTATCGGAGGGAAGAATTGAGACAGGAGAGGGAGGGCAGATCTGCTCCACCTCTAGCAGATGATATAAGAGGAGGGCGGAGTCAAAACTACACGCCTAGCACCACATCTTCATTTCATTCAAACGGATACTGAACTAAAAATGCTGCATTGTGAGTGTTACAAAGCCTTTTGTTTAAAAGTGCATTAATCTGGACGACCAATGTTGCATCTTGAGGTGTTTAAAACCTTAAAAATAAAAACAATGTCCGTGAGAGTGAAACAAAATTTAAACATTTTTAACATTTTGTTCAAATCCTAAATGGCAATTTATGTCAAGTCTTTCAAGAAAATGGTGAAAAGAAAAAAAAGTTTGACAGTTAAAAATATGTAAAATCATAAAACATAGCCCACCCCCCAACATTCTTTCCTTGGATNTGAAGCACGATTAACGGAGACTCATGTTGACGGAGACTCCGGAGACTAGCGGATAAAAATCCGCAATTGTCACTTTTTTATAAAAAACAAATATAGCGGAAAGCAAATTTTAAAATTCTTAAAAAGAAAAACAAATGCATTATCATTACTTTAAAAACGACTGACAATTTTGGCGGGTAAATTTTGAATAAATTTTTATCATCTTTTGAACTTTTCATAAGCAGTGTTTTTAAACCTTCAGGACGGCATATAAACCCCAGCCTTTAGTAAAAATTTGTTTTATGAGAATAATTTGTTTTTATATAGTTAAAACAAACATACATGTGATCTCTCTCTCTCTCTGTTAAATATGCAATAAAATTAAACATAACAAAATCTTTTTTTATAGCGTGTCATTTAAAGAAAATTTAAAAATGGTGGGGGGTTAATTTTTATCACCCCTCCCCCCTCCTAACGTAGTTGTGCCTATTATGAAAAGTGTAGTAAGAGCAGTGTACGTATAAGGGTGCAGGTGCTGGCCCCTAAAGAGACCTAAAACAGGTTGCTTCTAGGGGCACCTGCTACTTTTTGTGAATTCATTTACGGATTCAGAAGTATCCTTTGTTTTTTGTTCTGTCTATTATATATTTCTTTAAGGTACAGAAGACGGAATATTAAGTGACCCGTCATTTAAAGAGTGCCATCTCTTTCTGAGAAACAAGTAGGAAGTAGAAAAATGCGAAATTCAAAAATTTCTTTCTCTCGCATAGCATGAATACTCCGGCACTTATATGGAGAATCCCAGTTGAAACTAATCTATTTTAATGTAGGAAAACATGGATAATTCCGTCATCATATTCATTACCCAGAGAAAAGTGTTTAAAGGATTCTCAATCTTTCATGTCACTTCAAGAAAGAAGTATCACTTAAAATTGCACTTACAGTTTCTTTAATGTTAAATATCTATATAAAAATGTTTCCCTACACATTTCTAACCTCCCCCCCCCCTGCCTCTTCAAGATCTTGCCAATAAAACAAAAACTAGGTTGTAGAAAATGTCCCAAATGTGAGTTTAAATTGAAACCACATGTTCCTAAAAATGTTGAAAAAACAGTTCCCACGACATGAAACAGGACACTTTAATACCACTCTCTTCGGTGATGTTACATCGTATATGCGCAATATCCTCCCCACTGAACTTCTGACCTACTAACTTTCCTTCCTACTGCAATATCGGACCTCGACAGCTGTTCTTTTATATGTATTATTTGAGGGTTCGGTTAATGGGTTAATATATCTTCTGGACTAAGCAAGGGGGCCTGGTGTTGCAGTCACATAAGCTCATCAAGCAGCTGTAAAACAACGAGCTAGGAGGTCGGAAGTGTAGTATAGCAGATTTGGCGTAGGTCAGAAGTGGAGTATAGCGGATTTGCGTAGGGTGAAAGGTACACCATCCTGTCGTTTCTCATGGGAGACTGGGAGCCGAATATGTTAATTTAAGAGGAGTGAAAAAAATATTCTTTGAAAGACAATCCAAAATAAATATTTAAAAAAGGGAGTTTTTATCAAGAAAAATCTCCTAAAACTCCAACCAGTTTTTGCCTGTTATTCTTAGCATTATTATTTATTAGCATGCTTGCATTATATGACCATGCAGCGGGTCTGATCTTAAATTGATTGAAATTAAAGGAAGTGTTCGCGAAAAATGAAATGGTGGCATCTGGATCCAAACCAAATTATTAATACAACCATTTCGTATTTAATTTGGGCCATTGTAATGATAGTTACTATATCATATTTTTTTCTGTGATCCGAGTGTTACTTTTGATAATTCATTATTATTGTAAAAATAAAGGATACAGGAGGGAGGGCACACACATTATTTTAAAAAGTTTTCCAAATCAAGGTTTTAGCAATTTGTTTAGCAATAGCAGCATCGGAAATAAATATGAGACTTTTTTAAGCTTCAATATTTCAAAATAAAAAAATGATAAAATATTAAGAATTTCTTCAAAATTTGGCTTTAATTTATAAACAACCAGAATTTTTAATAAAATTACTATTTTCCTTTAATCCATCGTGTATCCACGTGTTTAGAATTCTGTGACATATTTACATTAATAAATTATACAGAGATAAGAAGATTCAGATGTTAACTAAATATTTAAAGATACAGGGTTACTCACAAAGGATGAGACTTCAGAAACGAAACTACATAATTTAGTCAGTATTTTTCTTTAGATTAATGGTTCCCTACGGTTTAAAACTAATTTCTTTCTTTGATCAAATCATATTGAAAATTTTAAATAATTTTGTATTTGAATTATTTATTTGAAAACAATTGTTTGTTCTTTCAAAATATTCTTTATTGGGTCATGCCAATCTCAAATCTATGATTATCTATCTTTATAAAAAAAACAAGACATTCGTATATATGTTCCGTTTAGCCGGCCAAACGGCTGGACCGAATGGACTAAACTTTTTTGAGTAAACTCGTGTGTAGCCCGGGGGGTGACAAAGGCTAAAGAAAGTTCGATTTTATTTTCAAAAATCATAATTTTTTCAACGATTTCTTTAATCGTTAGCGAATTTTTTTCGGCGCTTTGCTGTTAACAACTGGAGCCGTTAACAATTGTCGAAAATTTTCTGTTATAACGTTGTTAAAAAATTGAGATCGTTAACCAACGGTTTAAAAAAAACGGTAAATGCCGTTAACGAAATGAACGTCCCTTTAAAATTAACGGCTATATGAAATTTCTCTTTTTTAACTATTGGCACTAACTTTAACGAAACTGATGAATAATGTAATCTAATAAAAGATGTAAACTATTAACTAATCTAGTTTAAATGATGTTTGTTCGGATTAAATCAAACAAATTGTGAACACATGTTAATGCATAAAAAATAGCCTCTGAATCAATCCTTAATTCGAATTTTCAATAAACACTTTATCATTGAATCATTGCCACATTTGAAGCACGATTAACGGAGACTCATGTTGACGGAGACTCCGGAGACTAGCGGATAAAAATCCGCAATTGTCACTTTTTTATAAAAAACAAATATAGCGGAAAGCAAATTTTAAAATTCTTAAAAAGAAAAACAAATGCATTATCATTACTTAAAAAGGATAAATTATATGGTAAAGTCTCCTTGAAAATAAGTATCTCCATTACATGCAAGGAGCCAAAATGTTTCCGCCGATTTTTACCCAAATAATTCCAATAAAAGGTATGAAGTAAAGTAACGCTTCTGTAATTTCTATTAATCAATGATGACAAAAAGTTTTCTAAAATTCGCTTTTCAGCTTGAGGTAAATACACTTATTTGAAAACGTTCAAATCTTTTTCTGTTCCCATTTTCTTCTGTTCTGTTCAGTTTCCGCAGTTTATTNCCATTGTAGATTTGAAGCATGGAATTTAGAGCTAAAAATATAATTCAATTTAAACGACATGAATTAGATCAAATATTTATGTTTCAGGATTACTGTCAAAAATAGTATTTTCAAAAGCCAAAAATATTTTTTTATTACTGATTTTTTCTATTATTATCTGATATTAAATAATACAATATCCATAACCTGCACATTTAGACATTTGATATTTCAGCTCAACTTTCAATGATAAAAATTTAAACTGTGTCTTCATGTGAAGATATTAATGTTAATACAGGGTCACACTCACATTCACATTCACAAAAGAATGCGACATAAGAGAATCAGAAAACAGAGCTGAAAACTTTAGAATGTGATATCCTTAATCCCGATCTGTTGACTTATCTGGAGATTAAATTCATGAGGAAAACAAGCCATATTTAATCTGGATATTTGAAAAAGAGAGGATTAAGCATTAATCCTGATATCCACCATTCTAAAGTTTTCAGCTCTGTACACATAACATTGCTGTATTCGAAATATGTGAAAGGTTTAATTACTGTTAAGATTGAAATATAAATCTATTTGTGAATTTGGTTTGAGACATTTTTCCTTGCTTTTGCAAAATCGATCAAGTATTTGTCAAAAACGCGGGAATGGATTTTATAATTTTTTCAAAAATCATATTAAAAAATTAAACTGTTGAAAAGATGACACATTGAATGAATTAAAGCAGTTTAAAGTTGAAATATCATAAATTAGACGACAGCAGATTTTATATATGCACTTGATCATAAAATGTCAGTTCAATTTTAAAACATATGGAAACGAATCTTTAAAGATGAAAAAATAACTCTCATATAGAGAGATCAGAGATCGAGTTTAATGAATAGAGAGATGTAATTGAAACACGGTTCAACAAGTTCTCTGGGCCACGCTAAGCTGGTTCAACTTGGTTTAAATAGATTAACTACATCTCCTATTGATTTTTCACATGACTTTTTTTATACATTTTTCAATTTTTTATAAAACCCTTGATAGCTTGCTATCTGCACGCCTAGCACCTGCCAAATATATTATCTCGACACAACGCAAACAAAGCTCTAATCTTTAGACAAAAAAAAAACAAGAAAAATTCTGCATTTTCATATTTTCAACAACAAAATTATCAGTAGTGGATTTTAATTATAATTACAGGGTGCTCTTTGAGACGGAAATTAAGTGATAAATTAAGTTCTAAATCTTCTTTGTTCAATGCAGCACTATTTCTTGAACAAGTATTGTGATATCCCATTTTGCACTTCACACCGAAGAGTAGTAGTCTTTTTAAAAATTCGGTGATGTCGATGGACCAAACCTCTGTAGAGTAAAAAAGTAGATGTTAGTTCCACATTTATTGAAAATATATTTCGGTCTGGGTTGACCCTCGTCAGTTCTTGAGATTGTTTCTGTCTGGGATTCCCTAAATGTGGTCTACCCTTTAACACCTTCAAAACCGGCAAATGGGGACAAAGTTGAGAGTCCAATACATTAAAGAACAACAAAATTGTTCAATGTTTATTCACTCTGTCAATTTTGAAGTTACAAAAAAGGAAGACACCTTTTTGAAAGGTTCATCTTAGATTCTTCCCTTAGATTATT